TTTGCCGGGCGGGCCGGGAAGGCAGGCGCCGGGTTCTGGAGCCGGGGTCCCCCCTCAGGGAGCTGGGGAAGTCCCGGCCCCGAGGTGACAGGGCCGGCAGCGGCGGCTGCGTGCCTTTCGGATGTCCTGTGAGGCTCCTGAGGGCATCGCCCATGCCAGCAGCTCCTGTCATGGCCGCTGAGTCACACGCAGAGGGCACGGGGCCTGGGCACCAGCTGCAGCCGCTGCAGGAACCGGTCCGGCCAGCGGCAGGCTCCCGGCCAGCCCGTGTCCCTCAACCAGTTAAAAGTGCGGATTTTGGCCAAAACCAGTGTGGCTCAGTGGATAGTGTCAGCCTGCGGACTCAAGGGTCCCAGGTTCGATTCCAGTCAAGGGCACATCCCCGGTGGGGAGTGTGCAGGAGGCAGCTGATCAAAGTTTCTCTCATCGATGTTTCTAACTCTATCCCTCTCCCTTCCTCTCTGTAAAAAAACAATAAAATATATTTTAAAAAGTGGATTTTGTAACCAAAGAAAACACGATATAATTTCAAGAGAAACATCAAAAGTGCTTTATCCAAAGCGATGTCCGTCGCCAGCCACACATCCCCCATCTTCCAGGTCACTGGTGGGTACCGTCCCGATAGAACTGTCCTTGTTTGGGGCAGACCGTGCAGAGACCCCACTGTCCACGTCTGCGTCCGTGTGGCCGTGCCGCTCAGACAGGGCGTGTGCGGTCGATCGGAACACGGGTCCTCTGGAGGAGCAATACAGCAACACAGCACACACATCACATCGCATGTATGTCAGCAGGTGTGTGACTCCATCTATTGGGGAAAATCCGCATTAGTAACTGGTACACCTGGTATTTTTAAAAAATATATTTTATTGATTTCAGAGAGGAAGGGAGAGGGAAAAACAAGGATAACCATGGCTGGTGTGGCTCAGTGGATAGAGCATCAGCCTCCAGTCCGAAGGTTTGATTTTGGCCAAGGACACATGCCTGGGTTGGGGGCTTGATCCTCAGTATGGGGTGTGCAGGAGGCAGCCCATCCATGATTGTCTCTCATTATTTATGTTTCTATTCCTCTCTCCTCCCTTCCTCTCTGAAATCAATCAATCTATATATAAATATAAAGAAACATTAATGATGAGAAAGAATCATCGGTCAGCTGCCTCCTGCACGAGCTTGCAACTCGGGCATGTGCCCTTGACTGAAATCGAATCTGGGACCCTTCCGTGTGCAGGCCAACGCTCCACCCAGTGAGCCACACCGGCCGGGGCTGCTTCTCCCGTTTTGCATGAAGTGCTTCAGAGATAAGACGTCTGTTTCCCGTCTCCTGGCGACCGCCGTCTGTTTCCGGGTCCCGGCCGCCCGGGGCACATTTCCTGGTGTCCGGGACCCTAGGATGTCCGTGCCCAGGAGGGGGCTGGCTGGGCCGGCAGGCGGGTACGGCTCATGGTCGGGAGACACAGGTGCAGCCGTGCCCTCTGGCCTTGGGGCCGGGCTGCCAGGCGCCCGCCCGCCCGCCCGGGACTGAGCTCCAGGCTGTCACCCTTCCGGCCATCTCCCGGCCCCTCCTGCAGCTCCAGGAGAAAGTGGCCGGCCGCCTCCCGAGGGCTGGCCCATGCCCCGAGCCGGGGGACAAAGACCTTCTGGGGATGAGCCCTCCGGCTCGGCCCTGGCCAGTGTGGCTCAGTGGGCAGAGCGCTGGCCTGCGTGCCACAGGTTCCCCGGGTTCGATATCGGTCACGGGCCACGTACCTCTGTGGCAGGCTCCGCCCACATCAATATTTATCTCCATCTTTCCCTCCCCTTTCTACTCTCCCTCTAAAAAAAAAATCAATGGACAAATATCCTTGGGCACTGTTGGCAAACTTGTTTGTCCACAGAGCCAAATATCAACGGGACAAAGATGGAAATTTCTTTTCAGAGCCAATTTAAAAAAATATATATATTATATTGATTTTTTTTTTTTTAACAGAGAGGAAGGGAGGGGGAAAAAGAGCTAGAAACGTCAATGAGAGAGAAACATCCATCAGCCGCCTCCTGCAAAGCCCCCACTGGGGATGTGCCCGCAACCAAGGTACATGCTCTTGACCGGAATCAAACCCCGGACCCCTCAGTCCGCAGGCCACACCGGTTTTGGCCAGAGCCTAATTTTTTTAAAGAATATATTTTATTGATTTTCCACAGAGAGGAAAGGAGTCAAATTTTTTAAACTTAAACTTCTTCTGCCAAAACTGGTTTGGCTCATTGGATAGAGGGTCGGCCTGCGGACAGAAAGGTCCCGGGGTTCGATTCTGGTCAAGGGCATGTACCTTGGTTAAGGGAGCATCCCCATTGGGGGGTGTGCTGGAGGGAGCTGATCACCGTTACTCTCTTATCGATATTTTTAATTATCTCTCTCCCTTCTTCCCCTCTGTAAAAAAAACAATAAAATATATTAAAACAAAACAAAAAAACTTAAACTTCTTCTAACGCCACTTCCTCAACATAGACTGCCCAGGCTGTGGTATTTTGTGGAAGAGCCACACTCCAGGGGCCAAAGAGCCGCCTGTGGCTCGCGAGCCCCAGTTTGCCCAGCGCAGTCCTCGGGTGATAATTAAAAATAAAAAATAAAAAAAAATCCCGGGCTCTGACCTCCATGGTTCTCCCCGAGGGTCAGGGAGGTGCTGACCTTGGTAAGAACTCCCTAAGTCGTGCACACGGCTGCGCTTTCCCCTGAGAACCTCCCGTGTTCTCTCAGCACAGTTCCGGGGGGATTACTGACTCTGCCTCAGGCCTGGGGGTGGGGGAACTCACGCCTCAGCCCTCAGGGCTGTGGGGAGGGACCCCGCCCCGGGCAGAGTTTCTGGAGCCTTTGAAGTGGGTCTCCCCTCTGGTCATTGTGCCCTGGGGAGCTGGGGAGGGTCCCAGGGGGAAAAAAAAAAATCGATATTTGGAAAACAAACAAACAAACAAAAAACCCCATCTAGAACTTGTCGATAAGGAGGCAGCTGGGTCTTTCCTTGTCACCTTGGAGTGTCCTTTAATACGCCTCTCCCCGGAGGATTTCTTCATCCTTCAAGGCCGGGACCTAACCTGTTCCTGGAAGGGCCGGACCGCAACCCCTGCGGACCCACAGGGAGTGGGCATGGCTGGGGTCCGGGGAACCTGATTTACCGAAACGGGTGCTGGCTATCCGCCCCCTCTCCCCGACGCACACCCTGACCGGGGACTTGGACAGACAGGTTCGGAGCGGACTCCCCAACGGCCTGTAATCGCGGTCGGCAAACCGTGGCCCTTTGGCTCCTGGAGGGCGGCTCTTCCACAAAACTCCCCGGCCTGGGCGAGTCAGTGTGGAAGACGTGGCGTTGGAAGAAGTTTACGGTTAAAAAATATGGCCCTTCCAAGAAATGTCCATCGTTGTGTGGCTGATGTTTGGCTCTGTGGACGGATGAGTTTGCCGACCACGGGCCTATAAGCACGTGAGAAAGTCACCCCCCTCGAGTGAGTTCCTTTTTTAAAAAAAAAATATATTTTATTGATTTTGTACAGAGAGGAAGGGAGAGAGATTGAGAGCTAGAAACATCGATGAGAGAGAGTCATCGATCAGCTGCCCCTTGCACACCCCTTACTGGGGATATGCCCGCAACCAAGGTACATGACCTTGACCGGAATCGAACCCGGGTCCCTTCAGTCCCCAAGCCGACTCTCTATCCGCTTAGCCAAACCGGTCTCGGCTGACTTTCTTTTTAAAAATTATTTTAATGTATTTTTTATTGACTGTATTGGGATGACGGTGCTTAGTAAAGTCATACAGGTCCCATGTGCATAATTCTATCGTGTGTCATCGGTATGTGGTGCCGTGTCCACTGCCCACGTCCCGTCACCATCACTCAGCCCCTTCCGCCCTCTCCTCCGCCCTCCCTCTGGGAACCTCCACACTGTTGTCTGTGATGGAGGGACTTCCTGCTGTGTGTCTGGCTTTCACTTAATTACAAAATTACAAACTCTGTGAGCACCTTTCTCTGAGGCTGGTGCACAGACCTGCCGTGTGTCCTTCCCCTGGGACTGACCTACCCTCTCCTCCCGGCCGGACTGGGGGCCCATTTCCCAGGTTTGGGTGCCCTTTGGCCAACAATCTTAAGAGAATAACCTTCTCGCCCTGGCCAGTGTGGCCCAGCGGATAGAGCGTTGGCCTGCGGGACTGAAGGGTCCCGGGTTCGATTCCTGCCAAGGGCACAGGCCCGGGTGGCAGGCTCGATGGAGGGGGGCAGGAGGCAGCTGATCCGTGATTCTCTCTCATCACGGATGTTTCTTTCTCTCCCATCCTCTCTGAAATCAATAAATACATGTAAACATTATTTTAAAAGAGAGAATAATTTTCTCACAGCTGTTCTCCCCTTAAGAGTGTATTCTTCCAGCTCCCCAGCCTCGGGGTGCGCGTGCCAAGACCCAGGTGTGATTATGGCGAACTGGCAGCCTGGAGGGGACACAAGGCCCAGCACGCCGCGGCTGGCCCCGCCCCTCCCATGCTAAGCCCCGCCCCACCAGCCACGCTCCCAGCAGGCCCCGCCCCTCCCGTCAGGCCCCGCCCCCTCCAGCGCCTGACCCATCCAGCAGGCCCCGCCCCTCACCAGCCCTGCCTCCCAGTAAGCGCACGGCCGCTCGCCAGGCCCCGCCCCCAACGCCCCGCCCCGCCGGCCTAGGCCCCGCCCCCAGCCCCCACCCCACCCCCACCGCGCCCGCCGCCCTCGGCGCTCAGTGCGCGTGCGCGGGCGTCCGAGGCTCCGGCCCTGCGGCCGCGGCTCTTTTGTTTCCCCGCCGCCGGCCGAGCCGGAGTCCGCGCCGGGCCGTCTGTCGCCCCAGGCAGGACCGAAGCGGGCACCGTGTCGGAACCGGGTCGTCGGGGAGCGGGATCCGAGCGGCGGCCGGGCTGGGAGCGGGCCCGGCCTGGCCGATGGCGCGCGCCCCCCGCCCGCGGCCCCCGGCCTGAGCCCGGCCCGCCCGGCCCGCCCGCCGCCCCGGCCCGCGCCATGGAGCCCGGCCGCGGCGGCATGGAGACCGTGGGCAAGTTCGAGTTCTCGCGCAAGGACCTGATCGGGCACGGCGCCTTCGCGGTGGTCTTCAAAGGGCGCCACCGCGAGGTGATGTGGGGCCGGGGACCCCCTCACCCCCGTCCCGGGACCCCTCCACCCCCGGGGCCCCGGGACCCCCGCATCTCCCCGTACCCGGGGACCCCCTCCCCTCCCCTCCCCGGCCCGGGACCCCTCCACCCCCAGGGCCCCGGGACCCCCGCATCTCCCCTCCTGGCCCGGGCACCCTCCCGGCCGGGCACCCTCCCGGCCCGGTCCCTGGACGGGGGGCTGCCTGCGGGAAGGGGCTCCCTGGCTCCCCGACTGAAAACAGCCCTTTGGGTTCTCAGAAGCACGACCTGGAGGTCGCGGTCAAGTGCATTAACAAGAAGAACCTGGCCAAGTCCCAGACGCTGCTGGGGAAGGAAATCAAGATCCTCAAGGTGAGCAGGGGGGACCTGGGGGGCCCCGAGGCAGGAGGGGCGAGGCCGGTGGAGGGGCGAGGCCGCGGGGGCGCCCCGCTCCGCCGCTCACCGGAAACTTGGGGTTCTGTCCTAGGAACTGAAACATGAAAACATCGTGGCTCTGTACGACTTCCAGGTAAGAGCCGGGAGCTCCGGCTCCGCCGGGGTCCCCGTCCTGGTGGGGAGGGGTCCCCGGGGGCCGCGGGGGCCCAGGCCGGCGGCCCGTGTTGGGGGCAGGAGCTGGGCCTCCCCATCTGGCCGGACGCGGGGAGCCTGGGGAACCCGGACACCGTGGTGAGCCCGGCTCCCCCTGGCCGTGCCCGGGAGAGCCCACCTCCCGGCTGCCTGCTCGGCTGGGGAAGGGCGGCCGGGCCCGGGCCAGCGGGGAATCGGCGGCCCTGGCACGGAGGAGGGAGGCCCGGTTGGCGCTTGGCGCGGGGTCTGACCCGGTGGCCCTGACCTGGAGTCCTGTCGGCGGTAATGGGGCCGCCGGCCGGCCGGGCCCACCTGTCTGGGCAGGCCCAATGTTTGTTGACATTGCTCCAGGGCCGGCATTGGCCGGCCTGGCTCTGCGTCAGAGCGGGGGGGGGGGGGGGGGGGGGGAGGGGCCGCCGGAGATTCCTGGGGCCGGCAGCCGGGGCGGGAGGGAGGCAGTGGCCTGGGGGGTGAGGCCGCTCAGGCCTGGCTGGCCCCGGGGGCCGCGGGCGGGTCCCCCGCCGTCCCCTGGGCCCCGTGGTGGTGGTGGTGGCGGCGGCGGTGGCCGTGGGGGCCTCAGATGCTCCGGGTGGGGACGTGGGAACCTGAGGCAGCCGGCGGATGTGGCCAAAGTGCTGACTAATGGTTTTGAAACCTGTTTACGGAGGCCACGGGACGCTCCGGGCCGGGCCGGGGCGGGCCGGCTGTGTTTGGGTGGCCGCCTCCCTCCTTCCCTGTTCTCCCCGCCCTCCTCAGAGCCGGCCTCGGCCTTGGGGGACCCCCCCCTTGTGTGGCACAGCGTGAGGTGCCCCGGGGAGGGCCCTGTCCCGTGCCTGGCGGCCCCCATGGAGGTACACTGTGTCCTGGCGGCCCCCTCCCTCCTCCTCCTCCTGTCCTCCCCCTGGACGGCCCCCTCCCCCTCCGCCTCCCGCTGGCCGCACACCTGGTTGTGGGCAGTGCCACTTCCTCCAGGGCTGGCAGTGCTCCGCTTCCCCACAGAGGAAGTGCTGGGAGCCCCGCCCGGCCTGCCCCCTCTGCAAGGCTCGTGCTCCCTCGAGGGGTGTGTGGTGGTTCCCTGGGCCCTTAGATTCCTGTCTGGGCCTGGGGTGTGGGGGGATTGTGGGGAGGGAGAGGAAGGTCTTTTAAAAATAGGTTAAGCCCTAACCAGTGTGGCTCAGCGGATGGAGCGTTGGCCTGTGGACTGAGGGATCCCGGGTTCGATTCCGGTCAGGGACATGTACCTGGGTTGCGGGCACATCCCCAGTAGGAGGTGGCTGATCAATGATTCTCATGATGTTTCTGACCCTCTCCCTCTCCCTTCCTCTCTGCAGGAAGTCAATAAAGTATATGTACTCTTTAAATAGGATAAGCCCGGCTGGTGTGGCTCCGTTGATTGAGCACCATACCATGTAGCAGGAGGTCACGGGTCCCATTCCCGGTCAGGGGCACAGGCCCCGGTTGCGGGCTCCATCCCCAGCAGGGGGCGTGCAGGAGACAGCCGATCCATGGTTCGGAATGATTTTTCTCTCTCATCACTGATGTTTCTCTCTGTGTGTCCCTGTCCCTTCCTCTCTGAAACCAACAGAGATGTATTTTTTTTTAAAAAGTATGAAATCGGACGGGGGGCGGGGAAAGGTGGGGCCCACCCCCCAGAGGGACTTCGCGTGTGCCGAGTCTGGGTCTTGGCGAGGTGGCGTGGGCACTGCAGGCATTCTCACTGCCCCCTCCCCGCCGCCCCCCCACCTCCCCCTGCCTCTTGGAGGGGTGCCCCTCACTCCACACAACCGGCTCACCCCGTGTGTGATGAGTGACACCCTCCTCCCAAGAGCAGGACCCCTGGGTCCCCTCGGCGAGGCCAGCGCCGCCAAGCCCGTGGTCCGGAGCCCAGACCCAGACCCAGGCCCAGTCCCAGTCCCGGCGCTGCAGCTTAAGCTAGCTGTGTGTTTCTGGGCCACTGTCTTACCCTCTCTGAGCCCCGCCTCTTCCTTTAAGACTGAGGCCCCAGAGTTGTTTGGTTTGAAACTGGTCATAGGACACAGCCTGGGTGTTAGCTGTTGGGACGGCCGTGGCCGTGGCCGTGGCCCTTGCTGTGGCTGCAGCTGCAGCTCTGAGGGGGTCACTCGCCCCCAGTCCGATCACTGAATCCGCCAGCCCCTGGCTGAGTAGGAATGGCCATCCTTGCGCTGGCCTCTGCCGTGTGTGTGTGCTCTGTGGGCAGATTCCTAGAAGTCATTCCGGGTGCTTTTAGCTCAGGACGGGGGCCAGGCTGGTCCGTGGAGGCCGGCCGGGACAGGCGGCAGACTGCCCGCGTGCGGGAGCCGTCTCCTCGTCCCTGCCAGCTGCGTCCCAGGCCTTCCTTTAGGCCCGTCCCAGGGTGGGAATGCATCTCGTCTTTAAAAATACATTTTTATCGATTGCAGAGAGGGAGGGAGAGGGAGACAGAAACATCAATGACGAAAGAGAATCACGGACAGGCTGCCTCCCGCACAGCTCGCAGCCTGGGCCTGTGCCTGTGCCCTGACCAGGAACCGAACCCTGACCTCCTGGCTCAGGCCGACGCTCAGCACTGAGCCACGCCGGGGTCTCTCTCGCTGATGCCCGCCGGGCGGTTCTTGCACTGCCCTGACCGGGGTCGAACCCGCCACCGGGCTCTTTGGGGAGCCGCCTCAGGCCCCGCGGCTGGCCTTGCCTTCTGCCGCCGGCCTGGTGCTGGCCGGGCGGGCAGGGCAGGTGAGGACACACGGCTGGCCTGCCGTGTCCTCTCTTATCGGAGGCCTGGGCACATGTCCTCCCAGGGCCTGGTCACACGGAGGCGGCCCTCGAAACTGCGGCCCCGGCTGCCCTCCCCTGCCTCTGACCCCACCCCCAGGGGACTGTTGTCAGTGCCGCAGGGACCTCCTCTGGGGGTGCCCCTGGATCTAGAGGCCCCCTCAGTGGTGTGGGCGTCTCTGTCTGTCCTGGTGGACAGCTCCTGGGGTGGGTGCTGTGACTGCCGCCCCTGCCCGTCTGGCTTGGTGGGGAGCTCGGGGTTTTCCTGGGGAGCCAGCCGTCGGGAGGCGGGCGAGAGCTGCATTGCCGGCCTGCCCTGGCTGTGCTCGGCCTCCCCGGGCCTCTCCGAGGAGCCCATGGCGCCCAGAGCTGGTGCTGGAGGGGGTTGGCGAGCACGTCAGCACTCACAGGAGGTGGCATGGTCAAGGTGAGGGCAGGCGAGGGCGAGGGAGCAGGTGGCCGGGGCGTGCCAAATCCCGGTTATTTCTGGGTCCGTATCCCGGCTCCTCTCCGCCTCCTTCCGCTGGGTCCTCAGCCAGCGCCTCCCCCGCCTCCTGTGACCACCTCTGACCTCCAGCAGCCGGGGTCCCCGCGTCAGTCCCAGTGACGTGACGGGGCCTCTAGCTCCTGCCCTGTTATCTCTGCCCCTCAGCCGGCCTGCGGGCGGGGCCTGCGGGGGGGGGGGCAGGCGGGGCTGAGGCTGCCTCCGTGGACTGCCACCCTCCGGCCTCAGCGTCCCTGCTGGCATACGCCCCACCGAAGGGCCTGGGGACTAACGCCAGGTGGGCATGCGGGAGCCGGCCTGCCTCTCCCAGGGGTGCCCAGCCCGGCCCCACGCCCTGAGAGCTCACCTCACACGTCTCAGTGGCTCCCGAGGCGTCTCCACCCTGGACACGGCCCTCTCTGTGGGCTCGGGGGGTGGGGGGGCTGACATTTCACATCCATTCACCAGGGGCTCTGTCCCCTCCTTGCCTCCCGGGGGCGGGCTGCTGAGAGGGTCCCAGGGCCCATGCTGGAGGGCTTTGGGGCTCCCTCACCTGGTGCAGGGCCGGGGAGAGGGTCCTGTTCCCAGGCCCAGCAGTGCCGGTGCTGACGTGCTTGGGGCCTTGTTCCTGGGGACGGAGGCCCTCTTTGGGGGACCCCACCTGGGGGAGAGCTGGGGTTCCGCACGCCAGCCTGGCACGGCTTCTCCGTTTCCTGGGCGGGCTGAGCTGCTGCACCCTGGAGCCCCGAGGAGCTGGCCTGAGTGGCTCTGATTCCGGAACCTGGGTCCCAGCAGCGTCCACACCGAGGGCCCTGTCCCTTCCCAGGGGGCCTGGGCCCCCCGGTGTGGGTTCCCCAGCCAGGGTGCGTCACTCAGAGCAGCAGGCTGAGCCCTGACCCAGCCCCAGGCCTGGTCTGACCCGGCGGCTGAGGGCTGCACCGGGAGGTGGGGCCCACACCCCACTCTGAGGCCTCTCCTGGGACCCAGACCTGGCAGGTGAATGTTCTGATTGGCTCCTGCTCCTGTCACTCAGGGAAGTGACCTCAAAACCCAAACACCAGAGCCCACTTGGCTCTCCCATGTCCTGTCTCCTGCCGCTGACCAGCTGGCGGAGCCTGGCACGCAGGCCCCCGGCAGCTGGCGCCAAGCTCACTGGCGGCTCCTGCCCGCCGCCCAGGTGGCGTGTCCATGGCGCCCGGCGCCCAGGCTACACGCCTGAGACCGGCTCCCCGCGGCTTCCTTCCCTCTCACGCCTCCCCTCTGTCCGCAGGAAATGGCCAATTCTGTCTACCTGGTCATGGAGGTGAGTCCCCGCGGGCCCCCCAGCTCTGGGACCCCTGTCTCCCGGGCGGGCAGGCTGCACTGCCCACGCCCTGTGTCCAGGGAGCACCCTCGGACCTCGTCAGGCGTGGATTGCAGACCACCTGCCTGGGGGGCGGGGGAGGCAGCACCGAGGCCCAGGAGGGGCGGGGGGAGGCGGGCAGGGCTGGAGGTGCCGGCGCTGACGGGCGTGGGGCCGTGTCTCCGTCTCTTGCAGTATTGCAACGGCGGGGACCTGGCCGACTACCTGCACAGTGAGTGGCCCTGCAGCCGGGGCCCTGCCCACACCCTGACCAGCCTCCACCCTGAGAAGGAGCGGGTGGTGGGCAGCTGCAGGGAGCTGCCGGGGGTGACTGATGGGGTCCGGACTGGGCGGGCGGCCCGGGGTGGCCTCATGGACCGGACACGTAGCCGCGCCCTGAGCCCCGTCTCCCCACAGCCATGCGCACGCTGAGCGAGGACACCATCCGGCTCTTCCTGCAGCAGATCGCGGGCGCCATGCGGCTGCTGCACAGCAAGGGCATCATCCACCGCGACCTGAAGCCCCAGAACATCCTGCTGTCCAACCCCGGCGGCCGCCGCGCCAGCCCCAACAACATCCGCGTCAAGATCGGTGAGCCGGGCCGCGGGCGCGGGCGCGAGGGCTGCCTGCCCACGTCCTCCGCTCACGTCCTCCTCTCCCGCAGCCGACTTCGGCTTCGCCCGCTACCTGCAGAGCAACATGATGGCCGCCACGCTCTGCGGCTCCCCCATGTACATGGTAGGTGCGGCCCGGCCTGCCCCTCCCCGCCCCGGCCTGCCCCTCCCCGCCCCGGCCTGCCCCCTTCTCACCCCGGCCTGCCCCCTCCCCGCCCCGGCCTGCCCCCTCCCCGCCCCGGCCTGCCCCTCCCCGCCCCGGCCTGCCCCCTTCTCACCCCGGCCTGCCCCCTCCCCGCCCCGGCCTGCCCCCTCCCCGCCCCGGCCTGCCCCTCCCCGCCCCTGCCTGCCCCCTTCTCACCCCGGCCTGCCCCCTCCCCGCCCCGGCCTGCCCCCTCCCCGCCCCGGCCTGCCCCTCCCCGCCCCGGCCTGCCCCCTCCCCGCCCCGGCCTGCCCCTCCCCGCCCGCAGCCTGCCCCTCCCCGCCCGCAGCCGCTGTCCTGTGGCCGCACTGGGGTGGTCAGCCAGTGTGGCTGTCCCGTTGTTCCCCGCCACGGCTGTGGTGACTGGCTGGAACCTGACGGGTGTCTGCTCTGATTGGTTGGCACCTGGCTGGTGTCTGTTCTGATTGGCTGACACTTCATGTGTGTCTGCTCTGATTGGCTGGCACCTGACAGGTGTCTGCTCTGATTGGTTGGCACCTGACTGGTGTCTGCTCTGATTGGCTGCCACCTGGTAGGTGTCCGTTCTGATTGGTTGGCATCTGGCTGGTGTCTGTTCTGGTTGGCTGACACTTCATGGGTGTCTGCTCTGATTGGCTGGTTCCACATGAGGTCGGTGCGCACTCGGTGTCCGCTGTTGCCGAGGCCCTGACCCCGTGCTTGTCGCCCGCAGGCCCCCGAGGTCATCATGTCGCAGCACTACGACGGGAAGGCGGACCTGTGGAGCATCGGCACCATCGTGTACCAGTGCCTGACCGGGAAGGCGCCCTTCCAGGTGGGTGCCCGGCTCCGTGGCTCAGCAGGGAGGGAGGACACGCACGTGCTGGGTCTTCCCTCCGGGCCCTGCCCGGCGCGGCTTCCGGGTGGGGGCGTGGGTAACCCCTCAATTTCAAGGAGCAAAACCCAATTGCACCAGAGCCCTGGGCCCCCCAGGGCCAGCTGCCTCTTCAGACAGCGCGGCCCGCGGCTGCCCCCCTGCCGTCCCCACGCTCCTCAGCTTCCGGGGTGGGGGCGGGGCAGGACGTCCCAGAGGGGAGCGGGCTCCTGCCCCAGCCGAGCACCGCGGATGGCGCAGCTGCCCAGCTCCACGCCTCACCCCCCGTCCCCCGCCAGGCCAGCAGCCCCCAGGACCTGCGCCTCTTCTACGAGAAGAACAAGACCCTGGTGCCCATGTAAGCCCCTCCGCGCCCGCCCGCCCGCCCGCCCCTCCGGCCCCCAGCCCCGCTGACCTGCTGCCCTCTGCCCCCAGCATCCCCCGGGAGACCTCGGCCCCCCTGAGGCAGCTGCTGCTGGCCCTGCTGCAGCGCAACCACAAGGACCGGATGGACTTCGGTGCGGGCCCTCCGCCGGGGAGGGGATGGGAGGACCAGGCCGGGCCGGGGGAGGGGGGAGGGGGGAGGGGATGGGAGGACCAGGCCGGGCCGGGGGAGGGGGGGGAGAGGGGAGGACCAGGCCAGGCGGTGGGCCTGGGCCAGACACGCAGGGGTCCCCGGGGCCCTGCCTGCGCCCGGGGTCGGGCCAGCTGGGGCTCGGGGGGAGTCTTCACCCCAGAAAGGCGGGGCTGGGTCCTGAGGTCTCGCCCCTCCTGCAGATGAGTTTTTCCGTCACCCTTTCCTCGATGCCAGCGCTTCAGTGAAGAAGTGTGAGTCCCTGAGGGTCCCACGCCGGCTCAGCCCTCCGGCCTGGGTGCGGCGGGGCGGGGGCGGGGGCGGGGGCTGGTCCCTGTGCCGGGCAGCTGCCCGCAGCGGCAGGGGCGGGCGCAGGGCAGGCAGGACTGACCGCCCGCCCCACAGCTCCGCCCGTGCCGGTGCCCTCCTACCCGAGCTCCGGCTCTGGCAGCAGCTCCGGCAGCAGCTCCACCTCCCACCTGGCCTCCCCCCCGGTGAGTGTCTGGCCAGCCTGGGGGTGGTCTCGGGGGGGGGGTGGCCCCGGGGGGAGAGCGGCCAGCGTGTCAGCCTCCCCCCCGGTGAGTGTCCGGCCAGCCTAGGGGGTGGCCCCGGGGGGGGTGGCCCCGGGGGGAGAGCGGCCAGCGTGTCAGCCGCCCCCCGGTGAGTGCCCGCGGCCGCTCCGGGTCCGGCCAGCCTGGGGGGTGGCCCCGGGGGGGAGTGGCCCCGGGGGGAGAGCGGCCAGCGTGTCAGCCGGCCGGGCTCACCGACTCCCCTGGCCAGTCGCTGGGCGAGATGCAGCAGCTGCAGAAGACGCTCATCTCCCCGGCCGAGGCCGCCGGCTTCCTGCAGGGCTCCCGCGACTCGGGCGGCAGCAGCAAGGACTCGTCCTGCGACACGGACGACTTCGTCATGGTCCCGGCCCAGCTCCCAGGTCAGGCGGGGTGTGGGTGGGTGTGGGCGGGGGTGGGCGGGTGCACGGCCTGCCCGCAGCCCACCTCTGCCGGGTCCTGGGCGGGGCTGTCGGAGGCCCTGGGGGAGGTGGTCCGGGAGGGCGTGGACACTCCGGCCTGGGCCCAGCTCACCCTTCTCCCGTCCGCAGGTGACCTGGTGGCCGAGGCGGCCGGCGGCAAGCCGCCCCCGGACAGCCTGATGTGCAGCGGGTAGGCCCACCGCCCCGGGGGAAGTGTGGGCTCACCCTGTGGGTCAGTGTTCAGGGCGGGCTGAGTCTCCTGGGACCCGGGACAGCCGGGGTCTGCACACACCCAGCTCCTGTCGGTCTGTTCCCCCCAGGAGCTCCCTGGTGGCTTCGGCGGGCCTGGAGAGCCACGGCCGCACCCCGTCTCCGTCCCCGCCCTGCAGCGGCTCCCCCAGCCCCTCGGGGTAAGCGGCCGGGCCGGCCAGAGCCAGGCTCCGCAGCCCCGCGGTGGTCCGGTGGCAGGGACCGTGGTGTCCGGGTGGACGGCTACAGGGACCACGGGGACCCTGGGGCCTCCGGGCCGGCAGGCATGGGTCCCAGCTCCCTGCCCTCGGTCCCTCCGGCTGGTCCTGACCAGGGGTCCCGGCGCAGGGGTAGGGGGCTTTGAGCAGCCGTCTGCCCAGACAGGGCCAAGCTGGGGTCAGCCTGGTGGCCGTGCTGGTGACCCCCCCCCCCCCCCCCGTGCCCCGCAGCCGGCCCGGCCCCTTCTCCGGCAGCAGGTGCGGGGCGGCGGCGCCCATCCCCGTGCCCACGCAGGTGCAGAACTACCAGCGCATTGAGCAGAACCTGCAGTCCCCGGCCCAGCTCCAGGCCCCACGGTGAGCGTGCGTGTGCGTGTGCGTGCGTGTGCGTGCGCGTGCGTGTGTGTGTGCGTGTGTGTGCGTGTGCACGTGCACGGGCACGCACAAGAGCCGGGCAGCAAGGCTAGTGAGGGCCCTGCCTCCTGGGTGCAAGGCCACGGCCCAGTTCCAGGCCCCACGGTGAGCGTGCGTGTGCGTGTGCGTGTGCGTGTGCGTGTGTGTGCGTGTGTGTATGCACAAGAGCCGGGCAGCAAGGCTAGTGAGCAGCACGGCAGAGCCACACACCCAGACAGCGTCCCAGGTGACAGCCATCTGCAGCGTTGCCAAGTGTCCTGAGCTCACAAGCCAGGGTCGGCTGAGGTGGCAGTTGTCACAGACGAGGGCTCATTTCTGTCACGCGCAGAGGGCCCTGGGACTAAGGGTCTCCCAGGGACTCCCCCTCCCAGCAGGGCCGGGCCGGGCCGGGCCGAGCCGTCCGGGAAGGCCGGGCCGAGCCATCCGGCCAGCAGGGCCTGGCTCACTCCCGGCCGGTCCCCGCCCCCAGGTCCTCCACTATCCGCAGGTCGGGCAGCACCAGCCCCCGGGGCTTCGCCCGGGCCAGCCCGTCACCCCCGTCCCACGTGGAGCACGGAGCCGCCCTGGCCAGGAAGCTGTCCCTGGGCGGAGGCCGGCCCTATACACCGTCCCCACAAGGTGAGTCCGTGTGCGGGGGGCGGCCCGGCGGGGGGAGGGACGGGCTGGGTGTCCTCTCCGCCTGGCACTGACCCTGCACCCCTTTCCTCCAAGTTGGAACCATCCCGGAGCGGCTGGGATGGAGCGGGGTGCCCTCCCCCCAAGGAGCCGAGATGCGGGGCGGCAGGTCCCCTCGTCCAGGTGGGTGTGGCCCTGGCCCCGGGGTCAAACAGGCCGGCGATGCAGGGTCTGCTGGGAGCGGAGCGCAGGGGCCCGGGGGCGGGACGGGGAGGGGGCGGAGTCTCCCCCTTGGGCGGGCTGCCTTCCTGTGCTCAGGAGGGAGGCAGTGGCTCCACCCGCGCCTCTCTCCGCGTGGGACCCGGCGGGGTCTCCAGGGCCTGGCTGCTGCCGGTGGAGGTGTGACGGGCAGACGGGCGCCTCGTCCCTGCTGGGGGCCCGCAGTGACCAGGCCTGTCCCGTCCCCTCCAGGCTCCTCGGCGCCCGAGCACTCGCCCCGCACCGTGGGGCTGGGCTGCCGCCTGCACAGCGCCCCCAACCTGTCCGACCTGCACCTCGTCCACTCCAACCTGCCCAAGCCGCCCACCGACCCGCTGGGGGCCATGCTCGGCCACCCGCAGGCCAGCCCCCCCCAGCCGGCCCACGGGCTCCAGTCCTGCCGGCCCCTGCGTGGCTCCCCGAAGCTGCCGGACTTCCTGCAGCGGAACCCCCTGCCCCCCATCCTGGGCTCCCCCACCAAGGTAACGGCCCCGCTTCCACGGTACCGTGTCTGCTGGTGGCTGTCTGCCCGGCGTCTGTCCCAGAGCCGGCCTCCCTCTGCCGTGTGGCCTCAGAGGAAGTGCCCCTCCCTGCCGGCAGCCACAGCCCCGCGAGCACAGGCTGTGCCACGGAAACGCTGTGGTCTGTCCCTGCTCTCGGTGTTCCTGTCTGTGAAATGGGACAGAACCCGCAGCCACCCTGAGCTCGTGTGTGCCGGCGTGTGCGTGTACACGCGTGCGGCGCTTGGTCAGCTCGGAGCAGTGCTGGCCACGGGGACGGGGCCGTAGGGGGTCGGTGCTCGGGGCTGGGATCTTGCCAGGCTGCCAGGAAGTCCCTGACTGGCCGTGCTCAGCGCCCACTGCCCCCCAGGCCATGCCCGCCTTCGACTTCCCCAAGACGCCCAGCTCCCAGAACCTGCTGGCCCTGCTGGCGCGGCAGGGCGTGGTGGTGGCGCCGCCGCGGAACCGCACGCTGCCCGACCTCTCGGAGGCCGGCCCCCTCCCGGCGCAGCCGCTGGGCCCGGGCCTGCGGCCGGCGGAGGACGCCAAGGGCCCCTTCGGCAGGTGAGGGGTGAGGGGGACCCCTTCCCCACAAAGCCGGTCTGCTGGTCTGTCCGGGGTGACTGGCTGCCCCTGGGCGGGCGGAGGACTGAGTGGCCTGGACCCGGGGCTCATTGCACACACACACACACACACGCACACACACCCGTCTCCTGCAGGTCCCTCAGCACCGGCCGCCTCACCGACCTGCTCCTGAAGGCCGCGTTCGGGGCGCAGGCCCCCGACTCAGGCAGCTCGGACAGCCTGCACGAGAAGCCCATGGAGATCGGTGAGCGGGGGGGGGGCCCTCCTCCCTCCTCTCCGTCCCCCTTCCCTTCCCTTTCCCCTCCCCCTTCCCTTCCCCCCCCTTCCCTGTGGGGGACAGCCCTGAGCATCTCTCCCTCCCACAGCGCCCTCTGCTGGCTTTGGAGGGAACCTGCAGCCGGGCGCCCGTGCTGGGGGGGCCCGCAGCCCCTCTCCCGTGGTGTTCACGGTGGGCTCGCCCCCGAGCGGGGCCACCCCGCCCCAGGGCCTGCGCGCCAGGATGTTCTCAGGTGAGGACGGGCTGCCTGGGCTGGCGGCCGTGGGCGGAGGCCGGAGTGCAGGCCCACCACAGGCCCGTCCCGGGCGGCCCAGGGCGGTGTGGGTCCCGGGGCTCCCGGGAGGGGGAGCCGGTCCTGACGGGGCCTCTCCCCGCAGTGGGCTCCTCCAGCTCCCTCAGCTCCGCCGGCTCCGCCTCCGCCCGCCCCCTGGCCGCCGGGGCCTGCAGCGAGGCCGCCCCCGAGGCCCTGGCCCCCGGCCACTGCTGCGGCTTCGCCGACACCGTCACCGCCAACCTGGAGGGGGCCGTGCCCTTCGAGGCCCCCGACCTCCCCGAGGAGACGCTCATGGAGGTGAGGGCCGGCCGCAGGCGGGCGAGGCGCCGGGGTGAGGGCCGGCCGCAGGCGGGCGCAGCCGGGCGAGGGGCCGGGGCGAGGTGCCGTGTGAGGGGCCGGGCGAGGCGCCGGGGTGAGGGCCGGCACCGCAGGCCGGGGCGCAGCCGGGCGAGGGGCCGGGGTGAGGGGCCAGGGTGAGGGCCTGGGTGAGGGGCTGGGGCTCGGGGCCTGGGTGAGGGCCGGGGCTCGGGGCCTGGGTGAGGGGCCGGGGCTCGGGGCCTGGGTGAGGACCTGGGTGAGGGGCCGGAGCTCGGGGCCGGGGCTCGGGCGGAGCAGAGGCCCTGGACGCCCGGCCCAGCCGCTCTCTGCCCCGCCCCAGCAAGAGCACACGGAGATCCTGCACAGCCTGCGCTTCACGCTGGCCTTCGTCCAGCTCGTCCTGGAGATCGCCACCCTCAAGGGCAGCGCCAGCGAGGCGGCCGGCGGCCCCGAGCACGAGCTGCAGGAGAGCGTGGTGGCCGACCAGATCAGCCTGCTGAGCCGCGAGTGGGGGTGGGTGTGCCGCGGCTGGCGGGGTGGGGCGGCCGGGGTGGGGTCCCGGGGGGGCGGGTCCCCCAGCCTCACATGCCTTCGCCCCCAGCTTCGCGGAGCAGCTGGTGCTGTACCTGAAGGTGGCCGAGCTGCTGTCCGCCGGCCTGCAGACCGCCATCGACCAGATCCGCGCCGGCAAGCTCTGCCTGTCGTCCACCGTGAAGCAGGGTGCGTGGCCCGGCGCGCGGGGGCCGGGAGCCGGTCAGGCGGGAGGGGGCCGGGGAGATGGGAGCCGGGAGCCGGTGGGAAGGGGCCGGGCAGCGCCCTGTGGGGGCGGTGCAGAGTGGGCCGGGTCCTGAGTGGGGTCCGGGGAGGCCGGCCCCGTGCTGACGCCCCCCCCCCACCGCAGTGGTGCGGAGGCTGAACGAGCTGTACAAGGACAGCGTGCTGGCCTGCCAGGGCCTGAGCCAGCGGCTGCAGCGCTTCTTCCTGGACAAGCAGCGGCTGCTGGACCGCATCCAGAGCGTGTCTGCCGAGAAGCTCATCTTCAGCCACGCCGTGCACACGGTCAGCGGCGGGCGCGGCGGCGGGCGGGCGGGGCGCGGCTCCGTGGCTCCGGCACCCCCTGGCCACTCCTCCCGGAGACTCGGTTCCGGCCAGGGGGTCCTGCTGCCCCAAGAGCTCCGTAGCAACGCCCGTTTCTGAGGCGGCGATCGTCGGTTAAAGAGCCTGCCTCCGGGGTGACGCTGCCTTGGCCACGCGGGCGCCTGTTAGACACCGCCTCTGCCGGCAGGTGCAGTCGGCCGCCCTGGACGAGATGTTCCACCGCCGGGAGGACTGTGTGCAGCGCTACCACAAGGCCCTGCTGCTCATGGAGGGGCTGCGGCAGCTGCTGGCGGACCCCGCCGACGTGGAGAACATCGCCAAGTGTGAGCGCGGCTCCGCGGGCGGGCGGGCTCCGCAGGCAGGCGGGCAGGCACGCGGGCGGGCGGGCGGGCGGGCGGGCTCCGTAGGCGGGCGCGCGGGCGGGCGGCGCTCACCGGCCTCCTCCTGCAGGCAAGCTGTGCATCGAGCGGAGGCTCTCGGCCCTGCTGACCGGGCCCTGCTGACCGGCGTGCCTGACCTGGAGCCTGCCTGCCGGGCCAGTGGCTGGACTTCTCTGCGGGCCCCGGCGAGGGCTGCGAGGCCAGCCCGAAGCCCGGTCCGGAGCCGGGTCTGCAGCCACGGCTGTTTCCGGGCTCCGGCTGGCGCGGGGTGTGGGGCGCTGGGGGCCGCACGGACTCAGCCCGGCCCCGCCCCCGGCGCCCCAGCCGCCCCCGAGGGCCCACTAAGCCAAAGCCTCCCGCCCGCCGGGCCCTCCTCCCGAGACCACCCGCTTCGTGAGGCACGAGCACTTTACCAGGCCGGCCAGGACCGCCCGCCCTCGGGCGCCTGTACATACGTATACACATGTACATACATACGTGCTGCCGTGCGCCCGCAGCACAGGTCCTCTCTAACGTTCTGAGGGACACACAGTACGGCGCACCGAGCTTCCGGGGCAGACGTGGCAGTCCTCACACTTCACTACGAACGTGTCTTACCCCGCGGCTCTTGTTCAGAGGAGAGACGCGCAGTGTCAGGCGTTCTGTTCTGGAAGGTGGGAGGGTGTGCCTGGGTGTCCGCCGTCTCACCTGTAGGGGCGTGGGGCTCCGGCCACAGACGGGGCTGGTGAGGGGGTGTTTGTGCAAAAACCTCCCATCTGGCCCTCCCAGTCGGTTTTTATATCAAATTCCCTCGCCCCCTCCCCACCCCCCAGGTCCCGCTGCTATCAGAGGGGTCAGGGAGCCACCTTCTGGGCTTAGGGCCTCTCCCCGTGAGTGCACCCCCGGAGTTTGGGGGACGCCCAGCCGAGTCCCGGCACCGGCCCGGGTTCGAGGTCTACAGCTCAGACCGGTGTTCCTCTGCAATACTACTTGAAGAGTGCCGCTGTCGGACTCGGAAGAAGCCCTGTGACTGCCCTCCTTGCCGCACAGGACATGCTCCTATTTATTGCTTTACGGTCGGTCGGCTGGACTCAGGGCTGCCGGGAGGCTGGCGCCACGGAGGGGCCCCCTTCCTGCTCCTCATTCGTGGCACCGGCGTGCCCGCGTGCCTCCGGGCCGTGCCAGCGGTCTCTCCGGGAGACGGCCCTCGCCTGGGCTACTTCAGAGGGATCCCTGCGGTCCCGCCTGTTGTGTTAATTGTGTAATACCGGTTAAGGAAATAAACCTTTGGAATTGTTGAGCTGCTGTCACTGATGATTGCTGGCCTCTGTTCCAGGCCTGCTGCGGCTCCCCCCGCCCTCACCCTCCCCCACCCCGCCAGCGTCCTGTGGCACCTTGGAAGGGCCCTGCACACAGGCCCCTGGCCATGTCCCAGTGGGACCTGCTCACCTGGGACGCCTGCCTCTGGGTTCTGGGGGCAGGGGGGGTCCCCTCGGAGGGGAATGCAGGTCATGTGCAGGGACCCAGCACCAGACTGCAGGCCGCCACGCCCCTCCCGTCCCCACCCAATTTCTCCACATCCTCATGGGGCTGGTCAGTCTCCGTTCTTTTTTAATCTTTTTTTTCTTCATTGACTAAGGTATTATGTATGTGTCCTCATTCCCCCATTGCCCCCCAGCCTCCATGCTGATTCCCCCGCGCACGCTGTGAGGTAGGCTTGCCCATTCCTGGGTGACTGGTGACCGGGCATCTCCCTCGTTGGCCAGGTTACATCTTCCTCGGAGAAATGTCTGTTCGTGGCCCGAGGCCTTTTCTTAACTGGGTGGTACCTCTTTCTAATGCTTAGTGGTAGGCTTTGCATCTTTTTTCAACTACATTAGTTAAAAATAGCCTCAGTGACCAAAAAGGCTCACCACAATGTGAAGCGAAAGTTCACGGAGAGGCAGCGCCGGAGGAAGTGAAGGTGGGGCCCCGGGCGGCTTCCTCAAGTGCACGGCCCCTCCAGACAGGAAGCCGAGCCGGGTGGGGACCGGCCGGACCCGCCCGTCTGCTCTGTGGGCTCCTGATGCCCAAAGCAGTGGAGGCAGCCCTGCGTTTTGTTGTTGCTAAACTTAAAATCTATGATAATAAAAGGGTAATATGCCAATTAGACCGGGCATCTTCCTGACGTCCTTCCTGACAGCCGGGCTGGAGGGAAGCCAGCCTGGTCCCAGGTGCCTGCAGGTGGCTGGACGCAGGAAGCCGGTGCCAGCAGCTCGGGGAAGGAAGGCCTACTCTTGCACGGATTTTCATACATCAGGACTCTAGTATATATATATATATATATATATATATATATATATATATATATATATATATGATTTCAGAGAGGGAGGGAGAAGGAGAGGGAGAAACATCAATGGTGAGAGAATCACTGATTGGCTGCCTCTTGCACGCCCCCTACTGGGGATCGAGCCCACAACCTGGGGCAAGTGCCCTGACTGGGACTCTAACCACGTGACCTCCTGGTTCATAGGTTGACATTCAACCGCTGAGCCATGCTGGCTGGGCAAAGCTCTGTTTCTTTTTAAAATATATTTTATTGATTTTGTACAGAGAGGAAGGGAGGGAGAGAGTTAGAAACATCGATGAGAGAGAGTCATCGATCAGCTGCCTCTTGCACACCCCGCACTGGAAATATGCCCGCAACCAAGGTACATGCCCTTGACTGGAATCGAACCTGGGACCTTTTAGTCCGCAGATCGACGCTCTACCACTGAGCCAAACTGGCTTCGGCAAAGCTCTTTTTCGAAATGGCTACTTAACCCCGTGCACCTGCTGAAGACATCTCGGTGCTCCCCAGTGTTAGGAACACGAAGGAGGTTGTTTTAAACATCCCTGTGCAGGAGCCCGACGGTGACGGGGTGGGAGGCCCCGGAGTGCTGGGCTGGGGGTACGTGGTCCATGTGGGCGGGTCCCGAAGTTCCCTGCGTGTTCCTGGCTCCTTCACAGCCGCCAGGCCCTTGACGGCCCCCTCCGTCAGGAGGGCTGGGATTGGGGCCCCCCCCCACCCTGTATCAAGCTGTGGCCTCCTGCTTGTCTGTCCCAACCTCAGGTCTCAGTTTACCCGCCGTGGAACGGAGATGCAGGATCGTCCACAGTAGCTGGTGGGGTGGAGGAGGGAGCAGGTGCGTGGGCTGGGCTGTGTGGTGGAGGTGGGAGTGCTCTGGGTGAGGGTGGCCGGATGCTGCCTAACGCTGCTCAGCCAGCCACCTGGGCTCCCTGGGTCACAGGTGACCTTGACGTTCCTCACCCTGGGAACAGGAAGGGCAGCTGCTGCGTCTGCAGAGAGAAGGGTGTCTTGGGGGGTCGTTAGGTGCAGGTGAGCTCTTTCCCGCTGGGTCTGACTCCTGAGCTAGCGGAGTTGTCAGCGCGTACTAACCCACTTCCTGCTTCCGAGGTGCCTGCTCTGGACATTTCACACACCCGGTGTCACGCTCCACACGGCCTTTGGATCAGACCTCTTTGGATCTGAGCATCACGTTTTCTTCCTTCCTTCTCTCTCTCCCTTCCTTCCTTCCTTCCTTCCTTCCTTCCTTCCTTCCTTCCTTCCTTCCTTCCTTCCTTCCTTCCTTCCTTCCTTCCTTCCTTCCTACAGAGAGGAAGGGAGAGGGATAGAGAGTTAGAAACAGAGGAGAGAGAAGCATCCATCAGCTGCCTCCTGCACACCCCCTACTGGGGATGTGCCCGCAACCAAGGGACATGCCCTTGACCGGAATCGAACCCAGGACCCTTCAGTCCGCAGGTCGACACTCTATCCACTGAGCTAAACCGGTTTCGGCTGAGCATCACGTTTTCAAGCGCACCCACGTGGCAAGGGGCATCCGTGCTTCCGATTCCTCTCTCTCAGGGCATCTGTGACTCCATGGCTGGCCGTTAGGTGACGGATCAGTGTAGTCGCCCTGGAGACGCACGCGTTTACCCGCGTAGCCCAGCCAGAGCCCCAGGTTAGCATCAGGACCATAGGTTCGCGCTAAGGAGTCCTGCGCAGCCGCAGTCTCGGCGGCCTGCCACCTACCTGGAATCGGAAGCCGGCAAGCTCCGCCCCTATCAAGCCCCGCCTACGCTCACGTCAAGCCCCCCCCCCCCGCTAAGCCTTAGCCACGCCCACCGTCCATACTTTGCTTCAAGCCCCGCCCAGCTAAGCCTTAGCCACTCCCACCGCCCACACTCCACTCCAAGCCCCGCCCCGCTAAGCCTTAGCCACGCCCACCGCTCCTACTCTACTCCGAGCCCCGCCCCGGAGGACTTTTGTCCGCGCTCGGCCGCCGTGGCCGCGCGCGCTGCACTTCCGCCTTCGTCCACGTGGTCCTGCGCGGGTTCAGTCCGTGAGTGGGGCCGGGTGGGACGCGCCCCTCCGGTCCCCGCGGGGCTTGGCGGGGTCTCCCCGACTTCCGGGGGAAAGCTGGTGGGTGGGGCGGGAGGGGAAGTCGGGGAACTGACGGGGAGATCAGAGGTCAGCCCGGGGTCAGGGGGCGCGGAGCATCGGGGACCCCGGGGAGGTCCGGAGTGGCGCGCGCGTGTCCCCCTGCGGCCGCGCATGGGGCTCCCCGGCCTGCGGGCGGCGGCCGAGGCCCTGCGGAGCGCCTGCGGAGCGTGGACGCCGCGCCTGGGACGCCTCCTCGGGTAATGCCCGCCCCGCCCCGGTGTCCAGTGCAGCCCGAGCGCCGTCCGTCCGTCTGTCCGGCTGACAGCGCCCCCTGTCTTTCCAGCCTGCCCCCCATGGCCGGGAAGGCTGAGGCCCCGGCGCCCGCGGCGGGGACCCAGCCGGAGCCGGTCGGGAAGGCCGGGAGCCGCTGGCGTGGCGGGGCCAGGGTCTGGGAGGACGCGGAGCAGCCGGCCAAGAAGCTCAAGAGCAGCGGCGAGGACGGCGAGCAGCCCAGGAAGCTGCCCAAGCGCAAGATCGTGCTGCTCATGGCCTATTCGGGGAAGGGCTACCACGGCATGCAGGTGAGGGGGGGCTCGGCTCCAGCCCGCTCAGCTCCCCCTCCGGGGCCGCGCCCTGGCTCCGGGGAGGGGCCTGGGAGCGAGTGAGGCCGCCTCGGGGTTCTGCGAGGCGCGGCGGGTCCTGTCCGGCGCGGGTGAGACGGTAAGCCCCGCGCCTGGACCTGCTCCGTGCACGGGAGAGGCTGCCCCGGGGCGTTGTCTGTCCCCCACGTAGTTACCGGCCGCCTGCCGCTGACCAGCGTCCTGGCCTGGGGCGAGTGATGGGCGCTGTCCGTGCTGGCACGTTCCCTAGGCCAGTGGTCGGCAAACTCATCCGTCCACAGAGCCAAATATCCACAGCACAACGATTGAAATTTCTTTGGAGAGCCCCGTTTTTTAAACTTAAACTTCTCCGAACGCCACTTCTTCAACATAGACTCACCCAGGCTGTGGTGTTTTGTGGAAGAGCCACACTCCAGGGGCCAAAGGGCCGCAGTTTGCCGACCGCTGGTTTAGGAAAAGCCAGGGATGTTGAACCCGTGATGCCCCTGCTGGCAGTATATCCGGGTGTGTTCCTCTGAGCGAGAGGCCGGCTCCCGACAGTGAAGGGGGGGGGGTTCCCTCTGCCACGGGGGCTGCAGACAGGCGTGTCCAGCTGCAGGAGGGACTGGTGTCAGAGCCGGCGGGTGGGGGGACTCTAGGACCCCTGCTGTGGGCTGTTTCCCCGCTGCCCAGGGTGGGGGTCCAGGAGACTCTGGGTACCCTCAGGTGGCTCTCCCCTTTCCTCTGGGAAGGGGACACGCTGCACGGCCACAGGTGAGGCCCGGGCTGCGGGCGCGGGCACCCTGGGCCTGCCCTGCCCGCCGGAGCAGTTGGGGCCCTCTCCCCTGGCCCGTGACCGAGCGAAGACCCGTACCTCCTGCTCTCTCCCTCAGAGGAACGTCGGGTCCTCGCAGTTCAAGACCATCGAGGACGACCTGGTGTCGGCCCTGGTCCGGGCGGGCTGCATCCCCGAGAACCACGGCGAGGACATGAGGAAGATGTCCTTCCAGCGGTGCGCCCGCACGGACAAGGTAGGCGGCGCGGCGCCCGGTCTCCGAGGCCCAGGGTGCCCCCTCGTGGCCTCACCGTGCTGCTGCCGTTTTCCTGGGGCGCCGAGGGCCACGTGCGAGCTGGGACTCCGTCTCCCACCTCTACACGATGTCCTAGGCCTGTGGTCCACAACCCTTGACTGGAATCGAACCCGGGACCCTTCAGTCCGTAGGCCGACGCTCTATCCACTGAGCCACACCGGTTTCGGCAGAAGAAGTTGCAAGTTTGAAAAATGCGGCTCTCCAAAGAAATTTCAGTCGTACAGTTGGTATTTGGCTCTGCTGACGAGTGATTTTGCCGACCGCGGGGCTAAGTGAGGCAGAGCATTGTCCTGGCGCCTGGTCCTTCCCTTCTGGTGCATCTCTAAAAGCAGGACTCCTGCCCTAACCGGTGTGGCTCAGTGGGTAGAGCGTCGGCCTGCAGACTGAAAGGTCCCGGGGTTCGATTCCGGTCAAGGGCATGGACCTTGGTTGCGGGCCCATCCCCAGTGGGGGGGGGGGGGGTGCAGGAGGCAGCAGCTGATGGATGTTTCTCTCTCATTGATGTTTCTGACTCTCCTTCCCTTTCCCTTCCTCTCTAAAAAAAAAAAATCAATGAAATATAGTTTAAAGAAAACGGGAGTAACCATTGCGTGGGCGTGAGCCCCGGCGGCCCCTCACGCCCCGTGCTCCCTTCGCAGGGCGTGTCCGCAGCCGGGCAGGTGGTGTCCCTCAAGGTGTGGCTGATTGACGACATCCTAGAGAAGATCAACAGCCACCTCCCGTCCCACATTCGAATACTGGGTAAGCCAGGCGCCCCCCGACCCCAGTGCTCACGGTGGGGTCCATGCACATGGGGTAGAAGGGGGATGCGGGGCGGGGGTGGGGTTCACTTGACCAGCCCCCGCCCCCCGCCCCCCGCCCCTCGCCAGCCCAGGTCTGACAGACCCTGGGTCGTGTCCCTTAGGGTGTGGGGTGTGGGGTGTGGGGTCCAGTGTGAGGACTTGTCCCCGTGCCTGAGGCCTCCGTCCCCGTCGGCCCCCCCCCCCCCAGGCTTGAAGCGCGTCACGGGCGGCTTCAACTCCAAGAACCGGTGCGACGCCCGGACCTACGTGTACATGCTGCCCACCTTCGCCTTCGCCCACAAGGACCACGACCCGCAGGACGAGACGTACCGGCTGAGCGCCGACCGGCTGCGGCAGGTGAACCGGCTGCTGGCCCGCTACAAGGGCACCCACAACTTCCACAACTTCACCTCGCAGAAGGGGCCGCGGGAGCCCAGCGCCCAGCGCTACGTCCTGGACATGGTGTGCGGGGAGCCCTTCGAGCGGGAGGGCATGGAGTTCGCCGTCATCGAGGTGAAGGGCCAGAGCTTCATGACGCACCAGATCCGCAAGATGGTGGGCCTGGTGGTGGCCATCGCCAAGGGCTACGCGCCCGAGGACGCGCTGGAGCGCTGCTGGGGCGAGGCCAAGGTGGACGTGCCCAAGGCGCCGGGCCTGGGCCTGGTGCTGGAGCGCGTGCACTTCGAGACCTACAACCGGCGCTTCGGCGGCGACGGGCTGCACGAGCCGCTGGACTGGGCGCGCGAGGAGGCCGAGGCCCAGGCCTTCAAGGAGCAGCACATCTACCCGACCATCGTCAGCACCGAGCGCCACGAGCGGTCCATGGCCCAGTGGCTGAGCACGCTGCCCACGCACGACTTCAGCGCCACGGCCAGCGCGGCCGCCGGCGCCGGCGCCAAGGTGGGGCTGGGGGCCGGGGGGCTGGAGTCGGGGGGGGGGGGCACAGCCCTCCCAGGAGCTTGTGCTGTGCTCGCCCGTGTCTGTCGCCGCTGGCCGAGCCTCTGACCCGCCGTGCGCTGGTGTCACCGTGCCCGTTGTGCCCAGGAGCGAGCTGAGGCACACGGAGGGTGCATCACACCCCCCGCCCCCTCCTCAGGTCACACAGCAGCAGGAGGAAGCAGGCTGGGGCAAGGTAGCAGGTGGTCAGGGACCCTGAAACACTGCCTCGTGCTCACCCCACGCCAGGCCGGGACGTGCAGGCGGCGTCTTTCCGTTTGTGACGTGGCAGTGACTGGAGGATGCCTTTTTTTTTCTTAAATAAGACTTAAAATATATATATATATATATATATATATATATATATATATATATAAAATTGATTTAACAGAGAGGAAGGGAGAGGGATAGGGAGCTAGAAACATGGATGAGAGAGAAACATCCATCAGCTGCCTCCTGCACGCCCCCTACTGGGGATGTGCCTGCAACCAAGGTACATGCCCCTGACTAGAATCGAACCCGGGACCCTTCAGTCCACAGGCCCACGCTCTATCCACTGAGCCACACCAGTCAGGGCAGAGGATGTCTTTCCTGGGCTGGTGGCGCCGGCCTGTTAGCACAAGCCCTCTCTTGCTGATGCAGTGGGTGCTCAGAGGGTAACCCCCCACCCCCACCCCCCAGGTTCCCTGGGGATATACCTTCCCGTGACCCAGGTGTGTCCGGAGACCCGTGCCATCCTCCACACCTAGAGGTGTAAACTGTCCCTGTGGGGGGGTGCACAGGTGCAGCAGGCGGGTGCCAGAACAGCCTGTGGGCAGGGCGGGTCATGGATGGCAGCCCAGGCCAGGAAGGCCGTAGGGATGGGTGGTGACTAGCAAACCAAGAGCTCCCGTTCCCCTGTAGGGGCAACGGGCAGCTGGGCAGCAGCCGGCGGTGGCCACGTTGGAGGTGGGCCTGGCCTTGGCAGAGCTGCTCACATTTTTCCCAAGAGAGATAAGTGAGAACAATCCCAGGATTTTATGTGAACCCCGACTCTTCAAACGTTGATGTTTATTACGTTTGCTAGAGGCCCAGTGCACAGGTTCGTGCACCTCGGACAGCTCCCTGCTCGGAGAAGAAGCACACACACCTCCCCACAGCCACCTGTCTGCCTCTGCTCTGCAGGTCGCCAGCCCCCAGGAAGGCAGCGAAGAGGACGGAGATGGTGACTGAGGCGGGGCCGCACCCTCGGAGACGTGTGCACCAGGAGCTGCCATCGCTGCCGCCGCTGCTGCTGCTGCTGCTGCCACCATCGGCCGCATCCCTCCCCAGGGTGGGAGCCCAGACGCGGCCTCGCAACCTCAGGACCTCGAGACCCACATCATCCTCAGCTTCCCTCAGGAGAACCCGCTGCCAGCCCGTTTCAGCTCGGCGTGCACGCTGCACACCTCAGCGTGGAAAGACACTATTTTTTTAAAGAAATGATTTTCTTATTAAATAGATACAAGCTTTGCTTTGTCACTCCTTCCCCTTTTTCGGTTCTTTCTGTTCCTTTTGCCAGTGTGCGCACGGGACGTGCTTCGGCGGCTCTGGGGTAGAGAGCCAGCAGGCAGTAGGACAGTAGGGGTTCTTCCCAGGGACGCGGCCTCGAGACCCCAGGACGGGGCTTGGCTGTGTGCAGTGGGAGCCAAACAGGCAGCCCAGCACTGAGGCCCCCTCGGCGGGAGGAAGGCCTTGTCTCCGTCCAGCTGGCCCTCTCCAGCTCCTGGCCTCCATCCTGGTCACAGCCGCCCAGCTCTGTCCTCGGTCTGGGGGGGAGGGGTGAGGCAGAAGGAAGGGGGACATCCCTGACCATGTCCCTTAGGTCTCCCAGCAGGCCCACCAGCCACTTCCCTCTCTCCCTCCCTGTCCAGAGGCTGGTCATGTGGTCCCCTCTAGCTGCAAGGGAGGATGGGAAAATGCCTTCTGTGAAGTGGGGCTCAGTGCCAACCCCGAACAAAGGGACCTGTTAGCCAAGAAGAGGTGGGCGGGTTATCGGCAAGTCCGCTGGAGAAGCCAGGAGAGGACTTCAGGCGGGGAAGTGGTGTGTGTGCGTGCGTGCGTGCGTGCTTATGATGTGTGTGCACACCCATGTGCGTGCATGTGTGGCATGAGAGTATAGGTGACACATAGCATGCTTACGATGTGGCATGCGCACATCTGTGTATGCATGCATGCACAACAGGGTAAGACGGATACCTTCCCCAGCTGGTGCATTCTCACCATTTCAAATCTCTCCATCTGCCTGGACTGGTGGGCTGCATTCTTCTTTATCAATACCCCCCACCTTCCTGAATCCTAATCCAAGCTGATAACGCATCTTCCTCCTCCTCCTCCATGCTGCAATGGAAGCCACACTCCTGTTCCACACAAATGCCCTCAGACCCCATCGTCGCTTCCCGCATCCCCATTAAATTCCCTTTTTCTTACCTTTCACATTCCTATTGCATCATCGCACTCACAAACGTGAAGTCACTTCCATTATCCAACCTACTGATCCCCTTCCAACTGCCCCTCTCCTGTCCCTTTGATAGCCAAGCTTTCTTCCAGACATTCTCAGGGTGTGTAGTATCAGAGAGGGCATGGGCACCTGCATTTCTTCTTTATTTAAAAAATAAAATTCTAAATGGAATATAAAACTCATTCTTTCAATGTGCACAATTAAGTAGTTTTTTAAAAAATATATTTTTTATTTATTTCAGAGAGGAAGAGAGAAAGAGGGAGAGAAAAACATCAATGATTCTTTCGCTGCCTCCTGCACATCCCCCACTGGGGATGGAGCCCACAACCTGAGCCTGTGCCCGTCCAGGGAATCAAACCTGGACCTTTCAGTCTCCAGGCTGATGATGATCTATCCACTGAGCAACCCAGCCAGGCTAGGGCTCACTGTGGTCTTGCATTTCTCGGTCCCCTGATGAAGATGTCCTCACTAGCCGTTTCCTCCTGCGGCATGTCTGCCGAGTTCTTTGCCCGTTAAACGAGTTGGAAATCCTTTGCTCCGGATACACGCGCCTTACCCGGCGGGGGCTTTGCAAATGCTCTCTTTCAGCCCCTGGGCTGTCTTTTCTCAGCGGCGTCATCGGAAGCACCCGAGTTTTGAATTTTGCTGACGTTCAATGTACCCCGTTTCTTCTTTCGTGACTTCGGCTTTGGGTGTCACTTCTAAAGAAACCAGCGCTGTGAGGCTGGGACGCCTGCGTTTTGCAGCATCAGGGTCGCTTTTGCAAGTGGGAGTGAGGTCGGGGGTCCCGAGTCCGGCGTCATGGCTTCACGGGCGGGCGCCCTCGTCCCAGCATCTTTTGTTGAGGAGCCCAGTGATTTGGGGAGGTGACTCCCTCTGCTCCGTTCTCCCTCTCTCCCCTCGCGGAACGCACCTCCCAGATCGTAGACTCCCGGCGGCGAAGTCACTCCGATCGCGATGGGCGGCTGGGCTGCTGAGCGGATGTGCTCCAGGGCTCGGTCCGCCGCCGGCCCGTCGGCCCACGCCCTCGCCCGGCCTCTCTAGCCCGCCAGGCCGTCTCGATGCCTCGCGCCCGCTGACGTCACGCCGGCCGCCAGCGCGCAGCTGCGGCGCGGGCGGCCGTCCCTTCCGGCTCGCCGTAGCTGGCGCGCCGCCGCTATTTCCGCCCGGGGCCCCGGATGCTCCGGTCCGATCCGAGCGGCGCCGCCTCTACCTCAGCTGCCGGCTCCCGGCTCCCGACGCCAGTCCGACGCGGCCGCAGCGCCGCCCAGGCCCTGGGTAAGTGGCGTCGCGGAGGACGGGCGGAGAGGTTCCGGGGGCCGGTGCCGAGGGGCCCGTCGCGGCCGTCTCCCCCGGGCACCGCGCCGAGAGCAGGCCGCGCCGCCGCCGCCGCCGCCAGTGGGCGGGGCCTGTGCGCGGGCCGGACCCGGGTGGGCGGCGAGGGGGTGGGTCGTGCGGCCTACGCCTCCTTTCTTCCCCGCCCGCCGCTCCCGGAGCCCCTCGGGGGCGCGCGTCGCGGTGACGGGTGGGCTGGGCGCGGAGACGCGGCCGCCGGGCCGGGGGCGCGGGCCGGGGCGGGCGGGCGGCGCTGCACACCTGATGCGGGGCGCTCTTCACGGTCCGCGTGACGGGAGCCGGGCGCGGGGCCCGCGCGTTCATTTTAATCTCGGTCTCGCGTTCCGGTGCCCCAGCGCCTCAGCAAGTGGGTGGGAGTCCCCACGCGTGGGTTCTGCGCGCGCCGCCCGGCCGTCCAGGTGCGGGAGCAGGTGCAGAGGGAGCGTCATTGGTGAGGCCTGTGCACGCCCACCGGCCCCGGCCCGCGCCCCCGCCCCGTGGCCGAGCCGGCCGCCGCCCTCCGGCCCCCCGCAGCCCCGCTGTCGGCCGCAGAAATAACGCAGCGGAACTTCTGCAAATAGCACTTAGGCCCCGGCTTAGAGATGCGTGTCACCCTCTTTATTTTGTGATGGAGCTTTTACGTGGGTGCAAATGAAATGGTATTTGTCACTTTAAAATTAACATACTCTGAAAATGGGAAAATGGAGACATGTATTTTATTTTTTAAAAATATATATTATTGTGTTTTTTTTTTTCTTTTTTTTTTTTTTTTCTGAGAGGAAGGGAGAGGTGTAGAGAGTTAGTTAGAAACATCGATCAGCTGCCTCCTGCACACCCCACACTGGGGATGTGCCCTCGATCAAGGTACGTGCCCTTGACCAGAATCGAACCTGGGACCCTTCAGTCCGCAGGCTGATGCTCTATCCGCTGAGCCACACCGATCAGGGCTGGTGACATGCATTTTAAAACTTGAAATCATTCGCCCACCCAAAGATACGCACAGCAGTTCCTTTTTGGCCCCCTGTTCTACCCATGCAATTTCTTTTCTTCTCCCCCTCCTCCTCCTCATTCCCATCCTCCTCCTCCTCCTCGTTTAATTGCAATTGTATAATGCAGTTTTGCGTTCATTAGCGTGGTCGTGTGCCGTTGAGCCTCTACAGCAGTGGTCCCCAGCCTTCCTAACTCCGCGACCCTTTAACACAGCTCCTCACGCTGTGGTGACTCCCAACCATAAAATTATTTTCGTTGCTACTTCCTACCTGTAATGTTGCCACTGTGAATGAATCATAACGTAAATAGCTGTGTTTTGCGGTGGTCTCAGGCTCTACAGCGGCGGTTCTCAACCCGTCGGGGGTCACCACGACGTGAGGAGCTGTAGTAAAGGGTCGTGGCATTAGGAAGGTTGAGAACCACGGCTCTGCGGTCGTTGCTGGTAGTGCCTGCCACAGTCCCTCGTTTAATTAAATACGAAATTTCCGCAATAGGACTCAAACCGGTTGTTTGATCCCAAACAATTTCCACGTGGGGCCTCCTGGTAGTCAGCCCCGCCCCAGCCCTTGGCACGTGTTGACCTGTGTGTTTCTGGGGTGCCCGCTGGAGGAACTCTGCGTGGACGGAGCCTTGGAGTCTGGCTTCGCTCACGGCCCAGGGCATGGAGGTTCACCGTGGTTGCTGCAGGGCTGAGCGTTGGTCTCTTCCTGCTGCTCGGTGGTGTCCCAGGTGTGGGTGGGCCAGGGTCTGCCCGTGCACCTGCTGAAGGGCGTTCATGCGAGTAAATGGTAGTTCACGCTGCGTGGTGTTCACACAGTACAGCGGCACGCAGAGCATGGCAGCTCCTCTGTTTCCTCCCGCTTTTGACTCGTCCCTGGCTTGGTACAAGTTCTCCCAGCTTTCCTTCTGGACACGAGAACCTGCCACGGACTCCCCCACCAGAGGGCAGCGTTGGTGCTGGAGGAGGGTGAAGCATCTTAGGACAGGGACTCGTGGCTCCCGTAGGGCGTGCGTCGGCAGACACAGTGCAGCCGGGTGCTAAAATGTCACGGGCGACCATTAGGAGAGAAATGCCGCCCAGCTCCGCGGGGCAGTGGGAAAACAGGCCGGGAACAGCAGGGTGATGAATTCGGGCTCAGAGTGGCCACTTAGTGTGAAGAAGCACTTCTTCAGCTTGTCTGGCCCTTCCCGTCAGGCTGACTGTCCAGTTCAGGGGCTCTGGTCCATCAGCCCAGGGGCCGGCCACCTTCGCCATGAGTCTGGCATGTGGGCTGTGAGACTCAGGACCCTGGCCACACTGAGGCTGGGCTTACCACTGTAGCCACACACCAGGGAATATGGGGTGCAGTGAATCCTAGGAGGTTGTCAGCCTCGGTTTGCCCAGTTTGTATCACGTGGAATTGATATGTTTTAGGAGCCAGTGTGGGACCTTCACACTCAGAGGGGAGAAGGATGGGTGTCGTGTTAGCAGATGGGACTTTATTTGTTGAGCCACTTCTGGTGATAGACAGTACCTTTTCCTATAGTGTTTTACAAGGACCATTTCCAAGATACATAGATTTGAAAGAACTTTGCCTACCAACTGTATACCCATCACCTAGTCTCAATGATTGGTGTCTTCTTGTACCTGTTCTGTCACACCCATCCCCTGTCCTTTACCCCTCCTGAGGCGAAGGCAGTGTCCACGCACCGTGTCCTGCGCTGTGCTTCTGGACTCACTGGGAGTGCTGGGCCTGCTCTCCACCGGCCCCTGGCGCCCGCCTTGCCTTTCACCTGTTGCAGGGCTCCCGTCGATGGGACCTCAGTGGAGTCAGCCGTCTGCAATACGGACCACTCTTACATCCAGCATTTGTGCATTTGCAAATAACCCATCGTGAATACCCGCGGTGCTTATGTATTTTCACATTGCAGGCGGCTGTCAGGGTGCACGTGTGTGGGACTGCGGGTCCAGGGACAGCGTGTGCCGTTGTTGAGTGGCCAGGCCTGCTGCTCGCATTCTGTTTTCGAGGTTGCAGTGCCTCAGGAGTATGCTGCCCAGCTTCCAACGTTATGTCAGCCTGATGGATGAGAAACGCTGTTTCAGCTCAGTGTTAATTTGCATTTTTATTACGAACGATGGATTTACAAGTAGATGTGCCTGAAAAATTCAGCTTCAAGTCTTCTCTTGGGGTTACTCTGGCTTTACTGTTTGTTTTTGTCACAGGAAACCCCACTTTATCAATGCAGGCTGGGAGGGAAGGGACTCGGACATGGGGTTTGTCACTGGGAGCAGCCTGTAGAGGATTGTGGTCTGAGCAGGAAGGCTGAGCTGGTCCTGGTTTTGCAGCAACGTCTCTGGGACCTGGTCCCGGCCTCCTTGTGGGCAGTGCTGCCGTGGAAGCCATGAGCCGGCGGATCCGACCCAGCTTCTCTGAGGGACTTGGGAGTTAGAGATGCAGTGAGAGGGACATGTGTTGCCGTTGGTGGTGGCTCTGCTCTGCATGGGTGCCTCCACCACATTTCTGGGGAATGTTGTTAGGTAAGCAAGGATTTGATTCCCGGTCAGGGCACCTGCTTGCATTGTGGGCTCGGTCCCCAGTGTGGGGCTGTGCAGGAGGCAGCCAGTCATGTTCCTCTCTCTCAAAGTCAAATAAAAACTCTTAGAAAAAAGAAATCAGGATCCAGAACTCGTATTGAAAACAATGGCATACCTCAGAGTCCCTCCCACGCTGTGCCCACCCCAGTGCCCATCACATTCCTGGCTTTCTGCTTGGAGGGCAGTGTGGGAGTGGGCTTCTGGTGGTCATGAGGCTGCTGCTGGCTGTGGCCCTGACTTCCTGCTTAGATGGACTTGTTACCGTTGCCCCTGACCTTGAGACTGTTTTCAGAGACAGCCATCAGGAAGTGAGTGCCTTCTCTGAGGGTCACACTGAGTTTTCTCAGCCTTCACTGGTGTGACTGTCACCGTAGCTTTTGATTTCGTGCAGATGTGCACCGTCCTCAGCAGCTCCTTCATATGCATATGCACTGCAGCTCTGTGAGGGTTCTAACTTTCCCCTGTGCATTTTCTCTGATGAGCAGTGGTGCCTGGAACATGAAATGGTGTTTCTGCGTGTCTAGGAGAGGAGAGTCGGCAACACCATAAGTAGGAAGCTAGTGTTTGTGAATGCCGAGGACTTAACTGTTAAAGGAGCCATTTTTGAGCCCATGACCCAGCCCTGCAGGGGCAGATGGCCCTGGAGTGCGGTTGTCCTGGTTGCACTGGACACCGAGGCTCCAGCCGTGTCTGCGTGGAAGCCTCGTGCCTTCTGCTCAGAGTTCCCCGCTCCATCTCGGATGGCCGTCCTGAGGCCGAGCTTTCAGCGGCCTTCGCTCTCCCGCTCTCTCCTCATCTGCACTGAGCGGTTGGGGCTGGGAGCAGCGGCACCAGTTCCCCGAGTCCCAGGACGTGTTGGCCTCCGGTGGCTCCCGTCTCCCTGTGAGAGTTCCTCCTTGGCAGCCCCTCCCGGCTCACGGAGGATGCTCGGCGTGAGCGCCCTCAGGTTTTGGCTGTCTCCTCTGACGGGCTGGACTCTTCCTGCAGGAGCGTGGGGTGCAGTGTCACGGGGACTCCTGAGCTGGGGCTTGATCAGCAGCAGCTGTGAGGCAGCTCAGGTGTGCACGGGAACTGCTGTGCCGAGGGATTTGGCACGGGAACTGCTGTGCCGAGGGATTTGGCTGTGGTGCTGGTGTGGAGGGGTTGTGTGTGCAGCCCGTTCCTGCCCGGAGAGACGGGCACCGCCCCAGCACGGTGGAGCACAGAAAAGCCCTGAGCTGGGAGCTGCGCTGGGAAGAGCCCCCTGGTCACAGAGCCAGCACGGAGGTCACACCCTGCTCGGCCTTGAGAGCTGGTGCTTGTTACCTTCCCAGGAACCAGTTGGTATCCCCCGTGCCAGGCTGTGAGGGGACCAGTCCCCCGTGTTGAAGGAGACCTTCCGTGTGTCCATGGCTCTTTGTGAACTAAGACTGTCCTTTGGGACAGATTCACCATCCAGTGCTGCTGACCAGTCTCGTAATAAGGGGTGATCAGATGGTTATATTTGCCTCCAAGTAACTTGATTTCAACTTTGATTTTTCAGGAGAACATTAAGTTGGATAAAAAAGGGGGGCGATAATGCACCACGGCAGCGGCCCTCCGAATGTCCAGCACCAGCTGCAGAGGTCCCGGGCCTTCCCCAGCAGCGAAGAAGAGCAGCAGGCCCACCCAAACCCACCCCCGTCCCCCGCCACGCCTTTTGCGCCCTCGGCCAGCCCATCTGCACCCCAGTCGCCCGGGTACCAGGTTCAGCAGCTCATGAGCAGGAGTCCCGTGGCCGGGCCGAACGTGAACCTCGCCCTGCAGAACGTGGGGCCGGTGGTGGCAGGAAACCCTCCACTCACGCTGGCCCCGCTGCCACTCCCCAGCCCCACCTCTCCGGGCTTCCAGTTCAGCGCCCAGCCCAGGCGCTTTGAGCACGGATCACCGTCCTACATCCAGGTCACCTCACCACTGTCCCAGCAGGTGCAGACCCAGAGCCCCACCCAGCCCAGCCCGGGGCCGGGGCCAGGCTTACAGAATGTGCGGGCAGGCGCTCCCGGGCCTGGCCTGGGCCTGTGCAGCAACAGCCCCACTGGGGGCTTCGTGGACGCCAGCGTGCTGGTGAGGCAGATCAGCCTGAGCCCGTCCACAGGCGGGCACTTCGTGTTCCAGGAAGGCTCGGGCCTCGCCCAGATGGCCCAGGGAGCCCCCGTCCCACTGCAGCATGCGGGCACTCCCATTGCGATGCGAGAACGCAGACTGTCGCAGCCCCACGGGCAGCCCGGGGGCACCGTGCACCACCTGGGGCCCCAGAGCCCCGCGGCCTCGGGCGGAGCTGGCCTGCCGCCCTTGGCCGGCCCCGGCCACATCACCACCGCCAGCCTGCCGCCCCAGATCAGCAGCATCATCCAGGGGCAGCTGGTGCAGCAGCAGCAGCAGGTGCTACAGGGGCCACCGCTGACCCGGCCTCTGCTGCCCGGGGTCGGGGGGGCTTCGGCGTTCGGGATGACATCCCCGCCGCCCCCCAGCAGCCCTTCCAGAACCTCAGTGCCCCCGGGCCTCTCCAGCCTCCCCCTCTCGTGCTCGGGAAGCAGGAAGACGCCCAAGAAGCTGGAGGAGATCCCCCCCGCCTCCCCAGAGCTGGCGCAGATGCGGAAGCGGTGCCTGGACTCGCACCTCCGGGAGATGGAGGCGCTGCGGGAGGCCTTCCGGGAGTACCTGACGGAGCTGTTCTTCCTGCAACACCTGCAGGGGAACATGATGGACTTCCTGGCCTTCAGGAAGAAGCACTACGCCCCGCTGCAGGCTTACCTCAGGCAGAACGACCTGGACCTGGAGGAGGAGGAGGACGAGGACGAGGAGGAGGAGGAAAAGTCTGAGGTTATCAACGATGAGGTGAGAAGCGGCAGCTTAATACTTAGAGGACTGTGCTACGCAGGTGTGAGTCTAGGCAGCTGTGAACACAAGAGGCCCCGAGAGCCCAGGGTGCTGCTCAGACGCGGTTTCCTGAGGATTTGACCAGGAGCCATGGAAGGTGGAGTGCTGTTTTCTTCGCAGGAGGGCAGAGCTGCCCTGTGGTTGGGGGCAGGGGCGGACCAGGTGCCTTCGCGGAGAGCAGAGACTCCGCCCCGGATGGAGAGCGAACCTGTGGCCGTATCTGCCCTGGCCTGCGGGGTGCACCCCTTGGGCTGGTTCCCCAATATTCACATTTTACTGAAATAAGTCCCCCCATCGAGTCACCATGAATGTGGATTTTAAACAAGGGGTTTAAATATACATGTAAATATTGGTACGGTATTTTCATGATTAAAATACAGTTATATGGCAAAACCAATTTTTAGATTTAGTCTTAGCTTTGAGATTATATTTTAAATTCACTTTTATAAATACCCATGAATGATACTTAAGATGGCATCTTTTTTTAAATGGTGAAAATTTTGGGTGCCTGGAATGGGTGCTTAATAAATGCCCGAATTGAGCTTTCTTGATGCCATTGTGATTCCAAGCCATTTACCTGCACTTTCTGAACAAGGAGCTAATCACAGCAGCGAGCGTGAGGTGGCTGTCGCACTGTACGTGTGCCTCTGTGTGTGTAGTGTACAACATGTTGGTGCAGCTGAGTTGGTTCTAGGAGACGGCTGACATACCTTGAGTCTTTGTCACTCTTCTCCTGCAAAGAAATCGGCCTTTGTGAGCAAAACTGGTCTCTTTGCTCAGTCGTCCTCATCGACGTTTATGGGCGTATCTGTGTGGCTTTGCCATTTTGTGTTTTCTTTAACACCCTTTCCAGAATGGACCATTTTTATTTTCCAAATGAGGACATGATTATTGTGAGGATTTCCCCTCTGGAGTAGTGAAATCCAGTTATCTCTATGTTTGTACACCGTGTTGTCTGTAGGTGCAGTGCCCCTACCTGTGCTTATGAAAAGGAAGTCCCTTTTTGTAACTTCCTGTTGAGCTGGGCCTCTCCATTCTGACCTCCCAAGGCAGCTGCTGGAGCAGCCGCTGTGCACACTGCCTGGAGGTGGCCGGGCTTTGTTCCTGGACCGCCTGCGTCCCCACGTCTAGAATGTGCAGCTGTGCAGCCTGAGGACATTGCAGCAGCGACTCCGATTGGAGTTCCTGCGAGATCGGCGTTGAGTTAGGTTGCTATGTCATAAATCAGTGCATTGTCCTTTTGCAAAGTTTGATGCAAAAACATTCCATTTTTAAACACCAAACATCAGTGAGCTGTCAGTAAAATTCTAACAAAATTTTGAGCAGTCTTAAAAATCATGTTGCCTTTTTTTCTCAAAATATTTTCTCTCAGGTAAAGGTTGTGACAGGAAAGGATGGGCAGACTGGTACTCCCGTTGCTATAGCAACCCAGCTTCCGCCAAATGTTTCTGCTGCTTTTTCATCCCAGCAGCAACCATTTCAGGTACTTGTCAATGGTTCTCAAATGTAGCCTCATCCCAAACTTCCCCTTCATTCGGGTATTTTAACCTTCAATTACTATTTGCTCTTAGCATTTTTTTCCAGAGCCCATTCCTTATTAAAGAAATAAAGAAGCCTTCCTGCATCTAGAACTATACAATTAAGTTGCATGAGTGAACAACCCAGAGCTAATGCACTGTTTGTGTTGACCTGTGCTGCAGTCGTAGCCGTAGCGTGCATGTCATCTAATCCCCACAGCCTGTCCGTGTGCCAGGACTCCTCGTGTGCTCTGTCTCATGTGGGCTCTTTCTGTGTCTTCTCTCTGTCTTTTTGAGAACAGTGCAAAATAGAAACAGTAGAAGAAAGATTTAAGCAGATGACAACTTGATAGTTTCTTAGCTGGAAGAAACACTGCGGTGAAAGCTCCGAAGTTAGAGCCTCTGGCTTTAAATGGGAGTTAGTGAGCGCAGGCAGGTTATTTAAAATGTGGGCAAGGTAAATTACTGTGTTCCAGGAACAGTCTAAGGATCTGAACATAGAGGCCTGATTCTGGCAGTTTTGGAATGGGTGGTGCTGGGTTCTGAAACAGTTTCATCTTGGTGGTGCTAAGTCTTTTAAATTGTTAATTTAAAAAAATTTTACTTCTCAGCTATAGTTGACATATAATATTACTTTCAGGTGTATAACAGTGATTAAACACTTGTGTAACTTACAAAGAGATCAACCCATACATCTAATACCCATGTGGTGCATCATACATAGTTATTTTAATATTTTTGTTTTTAATTTTGATAAAATTTCAAACATAGGTAGTAGTTGTGTAATAGTACAAAGAGCTCCCCTTGTATTCCTTACCCAAATTCACCAATTGTTAACTTTTTGCCCCATTTGCATTCCTTTCATTCTCTCTCATATCTGCACACACACATTCCCCCTGAGCTTTGGGGAGGAAGTTGCAGACATCCCGTCTGCACTCTTATCGCTAAGTACTCACCAGTCCTGGGGGAGCGTGCTCTCGGACCCCGACCTCCAGATCAGGGCACGGTTCAGGGACGCCGTACGGTGGCAGCGAGGCCGCAGCTCAGATGCTGTCTCCTGCGGGTGATGGCCGCTGTGGTTTCCCCTCGGTCTGGATCTTTGGTCTTTCGTGTGGGCCAGCTCCTCCGTCTTCCGGGGCCTCTGTGTGTGAGAAGGCCAGCACTTGTCGGGAAGTGTCCTTTGATGGGGCTTGTCGATGGTTTTGTGTCTGATGCGGGTCATGCGGTTTGGAGGGGATGCCACCAAAGTGACCATGTGTCCAGCTCAGGTGCCACGTGAGAAAGCCGTGATGTCAGCTGTCAGCTTGTCCTGACCCTGGTCCCTGAGGCTTTTCCAGTGGATGGCTATTACTTTTCTTTGGGTGAATGAGAAGTAATTTGGGGGAACATGAGTTCAAGACCACTTTCCACCACTAATTCTAGCATCTATGCCGAGTCTTGCCAGAGCCAGCTGTTACCTTAGGATTGCATCATGGATTTTCTAATTCCATTATCCCTTTTACCTTTGTTAGTTGGCATTCTGCTATAATGACAAACTTTTTTTTCAGTTGATGTATTTTATATGTGGGTTCTCACTTTCACCGGTGGGTTATAACATGTCACTAACAGTGTTCATTCATTTGTTCACTTGCACTTATTAACGTGATAGAATTGGCTCTTTCTGGTCTGCAGTTCCATGAGTTGTGACAAACACAGGAAGCTGTGTGATCGCAATGCGGTCAGGAACCAGGAGTTTTGCACCCCCCGAGTGTTCCCTCTGTATCTCTCCCTTCACCTTTGTCTGCACCGCTGGGATTGTGCCTTCCCGGAAGGAGGTGTGTGTGGAGTCAGACAGTCTGTTGCCTTCCATCGGCTGCTTGCAGTTGGCCCGGCACACGGAGAGTTGCCCAGGTAGTTGCGTGTTCCGTGGCGCTGAGAGGTAAAGTTAGGGGTGAGTGTCCACAGACCGTTCATGTGAACACACAGGAGGCCTTCGTGGGGGTAAACCCTGGAGGACAGGAGTGCGGGGCTGTTCGGTTAGCGGGTGTACGCTCAGCTCCAGACAGACTGCCCACCTTTCCATAGCGGGTGCCCTGCCCACCTCCCAGGCTCCTGCGGTCCCCCTGACTGTCGGAGAGGTTTCCGTTTGCATGGCTCTAGAGACGAATGGCGATGGGCATGTGTACACGGTCATCGCCACCTGGGTGTCGTCTTCAGGAGGGTCTGTTCCTTTCTTCGCCCATCTTTTCATCGGGTCACGTGGTTTATTTTTTTTATTTTTTATTTTTTTAAAATATATTTTATTGATTGTTTACAGAGAGGAAGGGAGAGGGAGAGAGAGCTAGAAACATCCATGAGAGAGGAACATCGATCAGCTGCCTCCTGCACACCCCCTACCAGGGATGTGCCCGCAACCAGTATACATGCCCTTGACCGGAATCGAACCCGGGATCTTTCAGTCCACAGACCGACACTTATCCACTGAGTCAAACCGGTTTCGGCTGGTCACTTGGTTTATTGTTACACATGAGACTCTGTGCATATTCTGGATATTTTTTTGTCAGCTATAGATTTGCATTTCTTTTTCATTCTGTGGCTTATCTTTTTATTTTATACTATTTTCACAGAGCAAACGTTTTACAATTTTGTTGTCTTTTTCAATTTTTTTCTTTTATGGATTGTGCTTTTGACATCATATCTAACAACTGTTCAATCCAAGGTCACAAAGATATTTTTGCCAGTGCTTTCTTCTGGAAGCGGTATAGTTTCATGCTCTACATTTTGGTCTGTGAAGTTTTGTATAACATGGAGTAACTTCATGTCTTTGCATATCAATATCCAGTTGGCCAGTGTCATTCCTTAAAAAGAATGTCCTAAGTGTGTCTCATTGACTTTGCACGTGTGCCAGAGTCCTGTGCGTGAGCCTTTTGTTAGACTCCCCTTCCACCTGGGTCTGCCTGTGGCTAGTGCCACCCTCTCCTCACTGCTGCAGCTTTTCAGTAAGTCTCAACATCAGAGGATGTGAGTTCTTCAACTTTGCTCTTTTTCTTTTCTCTTTCTGTTAAGATTTTAAAATTTGTTTTTAGAGAGAGAGGAAGGGAGAGGGAGAAAGAAGCATCCATGCACACGCAAGAGCAATACATCAATCAGCTGACTCCTGCACACCGCCTACTGGTGATTGAGTTCACAACCTGGGCATGGGCCCTGACGGGGAATCGATCCAGGGACCTCCTGGTGCATGGGACAGCGCCCAACCAGCTGAGCCACACCAGCCAGGTGGCGACTTTGTTCTTTTTAAAATTGTTTTGGTGATTCTAGATCCTTTCTCTCTTTTTGATATCTACACAACATCCTCCCAGGGTTTTGACTGGGATTCCATTGAGGCTGTTGGCCAGTTTGGGGGAAAGTAATGTCTTGACATTGTTGCATCTTACGGTTCAGGAATACGGTACATCTCTCCGTTTACTGTGGCCGTTTGTTTTCTGTCTTCAGTTGTTATGTAGTGTTCAGCATCCCAAAGCTATGTGTGTGTTGTTATATTTATACCCCGGTATTCCTATTTCTCTGTGGTATTGTAACTGGTAGTTAAATTTTAAAATTTTTGTTGTTCATTGCAAATACAGAGTGTCTCAAAAAAATGTGTACACACTTTAACAGCTGATAGCTCAAGTTTGGAATGAAGTGTATTTTAATAAACGCTGCCTTTATAATTATTCAAAGTGTGTGTATACTTTTTTTGTGTTTTTTTTGTGTGTGTGTTTTTTTGGGACATTCTATATATAGGAATACAGGTGATTATTTGAACCTGTATCCTGCAACTTTGCTAAACTCATTTAATTGTTTCAGGAGCTTTTTGGGTAGATTCCGTAATATATTCAACAGAGAGAATCATGTCTGCAAAGAAAGCAGGATTTATTTTTTGTTTTCCTATCTATATGTTTACTTTTTCTTGCCTTATTGCGTTGGCAAAGACCAGAATAGGAGTGGTGAGAACAGACATTCTTATTACCTTCTTCCCAGTCGTAGCGGGAAAGCATTTAGTCTTTCACCATTAGGTCTGATGTTAGCTGTGGATGTTGTAGGTGTCCTTTACCAGGTAAGAAAACTCCTCTAATTATATTATTTATCATGAATGGATGTTGAATTTTGTCAGATGCAATTTCTGCGTCTTTTCACATGATCTTGTGATGTTTTTCTTTTTGGTCTATAGATAAGGTGAATTATGGGTATTGAGGTATCGTTTATAAGCAGGGAGTGGATACAACTTAGGTGTGACAAGTGCCCATGTAACCCACGTGCCTTTCAAGATGCCCACTTTCATCACATCCCCTGGTGACCCCTGCTAGGCCTCTGCTGCTCAGTCCCCTCCGCTGTTCTGATGCCCAAACTCCGTGACTGGCCATTTGGAGCCCTCTCCAAACTGGCACTGGGCACTTGCGACACCCCCTTCTCTGAGACGCTCTCTGAGCACGTTCCTGTGGGCACTTCCCTTCCGGAACAAGATGCTGAGGCTCGCTGGGCACCTTCCTGTCTGCAGCCCCGACCCGGGCATTGCTTTGAGGAGCCTGCTTCCTGGTGGTGGGGAAACGAGTTTGAACCCAGTGCTCAGGTGCTGCTTGTGAGTTTGGTACAGAGGGAGATAGATTTGTTAGACTGGAGGCTCAGAGCTGGCTCTGGGCACCTTCACTGAGTGCCTCGCGGAGTGTGGCGCACGGGCAGGTGCCAGCAGGAGGGAGGGCCTGCAGGCTGCTGAAGACGCCTCGGTCACACCCACCGCGTGGCCGGAAAAACTACATTGGACAGAATCTGATGTGATCAGTGCGATTCTCATCACTTCTGACAGGAGTGAGCGTGGAGGAGGTGACCGTGGGCAAACCCTTTGGCCGGCAGAAGCTCTAAGATCACTCACGTGTGTGCACCAGAAAGCCTGGTCTATAAATTTAGCCCCAGACCTGAAAGAACCGAAATGCCCACCGCCAGCAGCGCAGGCCAGCGAGTGTGCACCCTCGGCAGAGGAGTGCTGATGGGAGTCGTCCGTCGCAGCATGGGGTGCTGCGAGGGCTGGTCTCAGCAGCACCCGGTGCCGCTCCTGGGCAGGGGAGGGTGCCAGGAGAGGCCTGTGCGGACTCTCTCCAGGGAAAGCTCGCTGGGAAGCAGAGCCAGCAGGTGGTCCAGGGTGCCCTCACACTCGCATCTCCAAGGTATAGGTTGTTTCTTAAGCCCGGTGACGACTCCATGGGTGGCCCTGTAATACTTTTTCAGCTCTGTATATGGTTTTCCACGTTCCTCCTCAGCACTTTATTGTTAAAAATGTTGAGCAGAGAGAAAAGTTGGAGTCCCCAGTGAACATCCACACTTCATCATTTAAATTTTGATTAACTTTACTGTGTTTTAAGAATTACATACATGTGTTAATTCCTTTTGTATATAGGATATCCTATATAATAAAAGCCTATATGCTAAGTGTCTGGTTGACCAGTTTGCCATTCAACCATTCAAAGCGTAATATGCTAATGATATGCTAAGGCCACTCAACTGCTCGCTATGATGTACACTGACCACCAGGGGGCAGGCAGTCGACTGGTAGGTTAGCTTGCTGCTGGGTCTGGTCGATGAGGACTGAGCAAAATGGGCTGGACACCCCCTGGAGCCCTCCTGAGGTCCCTCCCGGCTGGCCAACCTCCCGTGTCCCTCCCCGGCCCTGATGGATGGTGCACCTCTATCAGGTAGGGTCCCTCGGCTTGGTCTGCGCCTCCCTTGAGCAACACTTGCTGTCCTGGTGTCTAAAGCCCCCAGCGTGTCTCAGGTCCAGGCCTCTGGCCCTCTCTCGAGACTGTCTCAGCTCACTAACCCCACCCACTCTGCTATCCAGCCTTCCAGTGTTGTGTTTTTTGTTTTTTTTTTAATTTTTATTTCAGATAATTTAGTTTTCAGATTTAGAACCTCCATTTGGTTTTCTGTTGTTTTCTTCTGTCCTCCATTGCGACATGCTTCCTTTATGTCCCAGTGTAGTTACTGAAGCCACTGGCAGATCCTCGCTGCCCAGTCCCAGCACGTGGGCCGTCTGTTTGCTGTCCGGCGGTGGTTTGGAGCGTGGCTCCTGCTTTCCTGTTGCTCTGTGCTTTGGAGCAGTTTGGACTTGGATTTCGAAGGCTGTGACTGGCAGGGTGCAGAGCGCCTGAGGAGTACGCTGCTTTTCTCGCACAGTGAGCCACGGCGATTGCATTGGAGCCACGCACTCCGTCTGCCGAGCGTTGGCGGTGTTCGCGTCGGCGGGGTTCGGGGGCAGCAGCGCTGGTGGAGAGGGCTCACGGTCCTGTGGCAGGTCTCCGTTCTCCCTGCTGGCGTCCTGCCCTGCCCCATGATCTGCAGGCCGCGTGGCCGGCCCGTTCCCTCAGTCCTGCAGGCTCCAGGTCCGTCCCCGAGGCTGTCTGCTGCTCCTGATGTTCGGTTTCTTCTGGAGTTTGTGTGTGTTGGGAGTATTTCTGGTCCAGTAGGACGGACTTGACACAGAGCCTTTCTCACTTTCTTTTATTAAAAACAAAACAAACCCTTCTTCTGATAAGTAATGCAGGTTCATGGTGAAACATTTGGGAAATTAGGTAGGTGCATGTACACACAGAAGATGGATCAATCCCTGTAATTCTCTCCCCAGAGATAACCACCGTTCACACATCACCTGATTTTCACACCATTCTTTCTTCTGCCCTCTTTCTCCCTCCCACCTCCCCTCCATCGTCTTCCTTAGATGTAACTGGGCACTGCCTCTCCTTCTAGCCACTCTGAGCGTCCTCTGGGAGGCAGCGGCCTGCGGCCTGGCGGGTACAGCCAGGTTATGTCCACTGCACGGGCCACGGGGCCAGCCGCCCTTCATGGAACAGTGGCTTCAGGCATTTGTGACTTTTCATTTAAAACGCCTCCCTAAGGAGAGTGATCATCACTGAGCCATTAGGACAATTAGCGATGAGCAGCTCTTAGACGTCGTCCTAGTGTTCAGTCTCCCTGCAGGTGAGGTGCAGAGGTAGAAGGCGCAGGCGCCAGACTGCGCTCGGCCTTGGCCAGCGGCTTTCCTGCAGACATTTACAAAGACCCATTTCACTCACTCACTACATCACGGAGGGCCCACTGTCCAAACACCATTGGGAAATGCAAGTTAATCCTACTTGCGAACGGGGGTTTTCGTGTCATTTTCCCATAGGACACCAGCCCTACCCTTTCTTTTCATTACTCAGCGTTTGTTTGGGGGTACGTGATGACAGGCAGGGTGACGGGCCAGGGGGCTAAGCCGGAGTCCACCTCAGACTCCCCGTTCCCACAGCAGCCCCCTGCTGTGCTGGGTGCACACCAGCTCGTGTAGGTTCGTTTAAAACCAGAGCGATAGGCCTTTTACAAGTCCTTTTTCCTCCCAGAGGTAAGTCAGAACTTCAGATTACTCACACAGAAATATACATTGCATATGTATATTTAAACACATTGGCTAGATAAAATATTTCTTTCATTAAAAAGAAATAAGGTCAATGCTCAGGGTAATTATGATAGTTTTAGTTATCCTTGTAATGTACTTAAATGACCAAAATCTGATTCTTTAATTTCTTTTCAGCAGCAAGCTCTCGCAGGGACCCTGGTGGCAGGGGCTGGCGGCGCGGTAGAGACGGACCCCTTTAAGAGGCAGCAGGCGGGACCCCCGGCAGGTATGTCACGGTCGGGCCCAGCGGCTTCTCCGTGGGACTCAGAGCTCACGGCCACGTGGTCTCAGCTGTGAACGTTGCAGAGTGTGGTGCTGATTCGTTTCTCTCTGCTTTAAAGTTAACTTCTGTTTGGGGAGTATTTATGTGCATGTTCACGTGTGCTGAAGGTGCAGCTCATCAGTCACATGGGTGTGTCCGTTTTGATTTTTAGGTGCACTGCAGGGCTTTCCAGTCCTCCTGCCATGATTGAATGTAAAACCACTTGCATGGTATCCATCGCATAGGCAGTGCTTTCTTTATCCGTCAGACCTGGTTGGTGTTCATTTGTCAGTACCACCTTTTTTCTGGTGCTTTCAACAAACTGAACACTAGTCTCATATTTTTTCCTACAAGTTTATCAGTGTATCTTTTTTTAAAAATATGTTTTTATTACTTTCAGAGAGGAAGGGAGAGGGAGAGAGAGAGAGACATCAGTGATGAGAGACTCATTGATTAGTTGCCTCCTGCAAGCCCCACTCTGGGGATCAGGCTGGCAACCTAGGCATGTACCCTGACAGGGAATCGAACCCTGATCTGGCTCATAAGTTGACGCTCTCTGAGCCACACCGGCCAGGGTGTCAGGATATCTTAAGGGGAAACTCCTAGAAATGAAATGGCTGGATCAGAGCGACTTGCACTTAAGTGTCGGAGACGGTCATTTGCCTTCCAATTTCTGATCTCGTGGACAACTGCTGAGTGCTTTCCCCTCTCACCGTGACGGATCTTCCCTCTGCGAGCCGTGTTCTCTGCCCGTGTCTGTCTGGCTCCATCCTTTCTGTGTCCCCTGTGAGAGCTTCTGACGGCCAGCCAGCCAGCCTGTGCCCATCGTGTGCTGCAGATGTTGTCTCTGAGGATGTTGCTTGACCTTTGCCTTTTCATGGTGCCTTTTCTTATACTTGCACATCTTTAATGAAAAGAAATTATGTTTATCAATCTTTTATGGCTTTTGGATTTTGGTTCATGCATAGAAAGGTCTCCCTGTTCAAATATTATAAAAACACGTACACATGTTTTTTCTACTACTTTTGTGGTTTTATTTTTACATCAAACTGCACCTTTTCTGAAAATTATTCTAGAGCAGTCTAAACGACCTCGACTTGAAGTGGGTCACCAAGGGGTAGTTTTCCAGCACCCGGGGGTGAATACGGGAGTTCCTCTCCAGCAGTTAATGCCGACAGTTCAAGGTAAGACCCAGCGTCAGAGCCAGCTCCGGTAGCTCAGAGGAGGGCATGCAGAGGCCTACCGCCCGCGCAGACTAGGACACGTGCAGTTGAGCTGGCCGGGTTGAAGTGGCTCCTGAACTCGGGTGTCTGAGCTGTAGTGGCACAGTGTGAAGACCCCGGAGACTAGTTCCTGTCCCTTTACGGAGCCACTCGTGCCCTTGTCCTCAGCTTCTCTCCAGTTTCCACTCCTGTGTTTCCTAGTTGCTGCTGTCTAGGGACCCTGTGGCTGCTCAGTGCTGTCCTGCTTGGTGCTACCTTGCAAAGGCCCAGTGCCTTCTGTCCTTCTGCGTGTGCTTATTAATAACATTAGCTCTGCTATGACTCAGATTTCCCGCCAGTTAAACTTCCCGGTGGCGCGGCCATTCTGAGGGACGGGTCTGTGACAAGCCCTGGGAGGTGACGTCTGACCGTGGCGAATGCTTGCGAGCTCGGAGTCAGTGCTGGTGGGTCTTTCCTGTCTTGCAGGAGGGATGCCTCCCGCCCCGCAGGCCACCCAGCTGGCCGGACAGAAGCAAAGCCAGCAGCAGTATGACCCATCGACAGGGCCTCCAGTACAGAATGCCGCCAGCCTGCACACACCTCCACCGCCACTGCCCGGCAGGCTGCCCCCTGCCGGCCTCCCCGCTGCACCCCTGCCACCCACACTGCAGTACCCGCCACAGCCGCCGTTGGAGCCGCCGACACAGCTGCACGTGGCCACAAAGGCCCAGCAGCCCAGCACCCCAGTCCCTGTGCCCCCCGCCAGCCAGCTCCCCGTGCCCCCGCAGGGCACACAGCCGGCCCTGCTCGCCCCTGTACCCGGGAAGGCACAAATGCAGGCCCCTCCGCCGCCGTCCCAGCCGCAGGTACTCTGACCGCGGACTCTGCGGGGTGGAGGGGACAGGGCAGGTGTGACAGGTCAGCCAGCTGCAGCTGAGACGTGTGTGTTTGTAAACAAGGATGCTGGTGACCGAGATGTCCCTGCTGAATCATCAGGAAAAGTGGTTCTGGTTGCCTTGCTCAGAGCAGAGAGCGTGCGGAGGTGCTTGTAGCCACTGTGCCACTGGATGTGCCCAGGAGGCCGAGGCGGGGCAGGCGCCCGGGCGCCGTTGGGGAGATGAGACTGCTCCTACTCGTTGGCCAGGCTCCCCTGGGTCTGGGCCCTGACTCTGTAGACATGTCCAGGGGAGTTCCCAACTGGGACCCAGCGACACAGGGAAATGCTGAAGACATAGAGAAGAGGCTGGGAAAGGACAGGCTGAGACGGGACAGCATGGACAGGCACTGTTCACAGTGGGGTCTTAGTGACAGGCTGCGGATGGGGTTTAGTTTGTGTGTTGTTTGTGTGTGCTGCTGGGTGGGGGTGCCATGGCGTGCCTTCACCTGTTACCTCTTTTCTGCCCACCAGATGGCGGCATCCACAAGACCACCCACAGACCCCGCACAGCCCAGTCCTCGGCCCCCGCCCACCTCTTCCACCTCTTCCATCGCTCCCGGCAGTGGCTCCGGCCCAGGGCCCTTGCCAGCTCGGGCCTCCCCAGTGAATAGACCCTCCTCAGCAGCCAGCAAGTCTCTGTCTCCAGTCACCTCCCGGTCCTCAGGGGCAGCTGTGTCAGCCCCCCCAAAACCACAGAGCCCAGCTCAGAATGCGGCTGCACCCCAAGACGGTTCTCAGGACAAGCTGGCAGAACAGATGGCACTGGTGAGGGGCTGGCGCCCTCGTCCTGTGACACATGGCTGCACTCAGGTTGGGAGGCAGCAGTTTGAGCTGCACGCCTGGCAGTGAGGGTGGTTGGCTGCTGTGTAGCCAGGGACCATGATTGAAGCCAGTCCTGTGACCCTGTCCTGGAGGAGGGAGACTTGTGTGGTCTTCTCTTGCTGAAGTCAGCGGCCTGGGCTGCTGTCCTCGCAGGCTGTGGATGAGGGCCGGGACGTGGCAAGTATTGTGAGGCGGGGGACTGCACGGGCCCCAGGTCAGTGAGGGTCACGGCCAGCCAGAGGATTTTGCTGTTATCCGATGCAGCAGTTGTCTGTTCCACTTCATTTAAAGGAATTAAAAGAAACAAAAACAGGGTGGGCTCTGGTCTGTGGCCAGTGTTCCTTGTCTCCCTGATGCCAGTGGGTCAGTGCAGATGCCAGGCCTGTGAGGTTTCCTGGCGAGTGAACGGGGCTGTGACATGTTCTGAGGCTCCAGTCACTTGCCGTGCTTCCAACCTGGGGTCCCAGTCTTCCCTTCCCTTTGCTGCTGAGACTGCCGCATAGCAGGCCTCACGCCTGTGGGAACGCAGTCGCCGATCCTGTGCTCCCTTCCCCCAGGAAAACCACATCCATCAGCGGATAGCCGAGCTGAGGAAGGAAGGCCTGTGGTCCCTGCGGCGGCTGCCCAAGCTGCAGGAGGCCCCCCGGCCGCGGGCGCACTGGGACTACCTGCTGGAGGAGATGCAGTGGATGGCCACCGACTTCGCCCAGGAGCGGCGGTGGAAGGTGGCTGCTGCCAAGAAGGTGGGTGAGCGGGGAGCCCTGGGTTACCGTCCACGTGGGGAAGCAGGGAGCCTGGTCTCCCCCCTAGCACTGACGGCCGCGGAGCAGGGCCGCCCCTCGGAGGCTGTGGTCCTCGCTGAGAGTGTGAGAAGCTTCGTGTCGCCCTGTGCATTGGAGGGGGCAGGCTGGCCCTCAGGCACACGTGCAGGAGACACCCGATGGTGTTTCTCCTCTTCCTCCCTCTGAAATCATTTTTTATCTTAAATGACACTTTAAAGAAAAAGGAACCTCATGTCCTTTTTGTAGCTCGTCAGGACGGTGGTGCGTCACCACGAGGAAAAGAAGCTGCGCCAAGAGCGGGGCAAGAGAGAGGAGCAGAGCCGGCTGAGGCGCATCGCTGCCTCGGCTGCCAGAGAGATAGAGTATTTCTGGTCCAATATCGAACAGGTAAGCCTGGCAGTGAACGGGCCAGACCTGGACTGCTGGGGCTGGTGACGAGGCAGAGCGCTGAGGAGGGAGTGCGCGGGGGTCCCGCCAGCTTAGCCCTCGGCTGCAGCTCTTAGGAGGGCTCTTGCTCTGCTGGTGGCTGTGCGTGGACGTGTGGACACGCGGGGCTGCTGCTGGTGCGGGCTGGCAGGTCCCCAAGGAGCTGCTGTCCAGAGGGCGGCGCGTGCTCCGCTTCCTCTTTAAAGTGCTCTGAGCTCAGCACCTGGCGGGACGGGGCAGGTGCAGTTACTGCAGAGTCCGGGCGACAGCCAGTGGTGCTTGCAGACTGTGTGTGAGTTCCCCACCACTGAGCATTCTGGAGCCAGTTAACTTAACCTGTGGACACGTGCCTCTGTGCTGACTCTTGTGTTCAGGTTGTGGAAATCAAACTTCAAGTCGAGTTAGAGGAGAGGAGGAAGAAGGCCTTGCACTTACAGGAAGTCTCCAGGAAAGGTATGGCCCTCCGTGAAGCCTCCCTCTTTCGGGCTGCACTCGGCCAGCCCCGCACTCACCGGCACCTGGCGGCATGTGGCTTCCCCGGAGGCTGCCTGCCCGGCTGCACGAGCTGTGGCACCTGGTGGTCACCTTGCCCTTGGGTGCTGCTCTGCCGCCTATTTCCATTCTTCTGGGCTTTGCTGGAGCCAGAACCCCGGGCTGACCAGCTCGATGTGCTGGTGTTGTTCGGCCTTCACAGACTCCCACACTCTCCCACGCTTTGGGGCCCTCACTCTCAGCTGAGGTCTGAGCCTGTCTCCTTTGGCTCCTGGACAGGGAGATGGGCTCCCTGAGGTGTGTGGCCTGGAGCCCTGGGTGTAGCCAGTGCACGGTCTTGCTGCACTGCAGGGGCAGGGCGGGTGGGGTGGGTGGGACACTGACTCCCATTTTCCTGGTGTGGAAACTGGATGGGGGTGGTGACTGCTGAGGTCACAGCTGTGTGACCAGCCGGGGCAGAAGAAGGGAGCTTTGCTGGTCGCTCCTGTTTCCCTCCAGACCCGGGAGGCTGGGCTCCTCCCGAGGTCTCAGTGCTGAGGGCTGGGGGCTGCCTGGGCCCCGGTGAGGGTGGCAGTGAGCTGGCTCTGCATCGCCCCTGGGTCACTAGGAGGCGGGGGACGCGCTGGGATGTTTGCTCTGCGGGGATGTCAGTGGGCGTGGCCTAGACAGGCAGAGACGCCCCTGACGCGGTAAAGAATGTCACTTCCTCCGCTGTTCTCTCTCTAGGGAAGGAGCCGAGACCCAAGGGCCCTGATGTGCTGCTGGAAAGTGTTCCGGTGAGTTCCGGGCTGTTGCTGGCCGGTGGGGGGAGCATGTGAGTCAGTCTACACTGAGGAGCTTCCTGCTCTTATCTGGGAGACACTCCCTTTCCATGGGAAGAGCGGTTGTCCGTAGCGTGGGCCCAGGGGCGTTAACTTGGCGATGTGGATGAGGTGCGCCAGGCCCAGGCCCTCTGAGGCACACCCAGCACATCCCTGCTTGGGTTGCCGTCCGGGGCTTTAAGATCACAGCTGGCGATCTCTGTCCTTCCAGGACCCGGGAGCCCCCGGACGGAAACGGAAGGCGAGCAGGTCCCTCACTGATGACGAAGGTCTGTCCTGGTGACTGCACAGCAGGGTGCCCACTCGTTGAACCACGAGCAAGAGCCACTGGGGTTGCTGCCAGCCAGGGCCTCGGTGGCAGTGGCTTTGTGGGGAAGGCATGAGGCGCTGCCTGGGGAGCAGGGAGAGCCTAGGCCTGAGGGTGCGTCCTGTTCGTGAGGGAGGAGACACCATCCGTGCTGATGGGAGGGAGCCGGCCAGGGGCCGAGGCCAGTGCTGGGCGGTGCCGTCTCCCTGCCAGTGCCGCCGGGTGGTGAGGCTTGTGCCCAGGGGAGGATGGCCGTCCGGAGCCTCGTAGTGCTTGGTGAGCGCCCTGCCTCGCTGACACGGCTCTGACCGTCACCATTGCAGCGGAAGACGAGGAGGAGACGATTGAAGAGGAGGAGGCGAACGAAGGGGCCGTGGACCACCAGACGGAGCTGTCCAATCTCGCCATGGAAGGTAGGCTGGGCCTCCTGCCCACATGCGGCTAACACTGAGTCAGGAGGAGAGCGTGGGAGTCTGTGCAAGGCCAAACAACACCAGCACGTCGAGCTCCCGGGCACCTGGGCACCAGCCGAGCGCAGAGTGCCGAGTGCCACCCCCTCCCCTCGTCCCCGCCTCCCTCTCCCTGGTCCCCGCCAGGACTGCGTTCTGGATCTTGGGTCCTTCCCTCCTGCAGCTCTGTCCCCGCACTGTGCCCCCTGAGCACCCTGCTCCCTTCCCAGTGTCGGAGCCTCACGTGAACGTCCCGCTGTAGTTCACCCACTGGCCTTTCCTCTCGGCTCCTCTCAGCCTCTGCCGAGCTGCATCCACTCACTGGCTCTCACGGCGAGTAGCCACGGACACCTGCCTGCCCAGACTGTCTGTGGGCGGTTGGTGGGCCCCAGTCCTGCGCTCCGAGTGGAGGAGCGGGCGGAGGGCGTGGCAGCTGGCAGCTGGTGCGGTTGTGCTGAGTTTGGGTAGAACGGCTGCCGCAAGCTGCCCGCCTCGGGTGCACTGGTCTCACTGCAGCCTGTCCGTCCGTCGGGGTGAGACACACGTCTCTTCCTGTTCTGGTTTGGGGTTTTCTTTTCCGTGTTGACTGGTAGGTGATCCTGTGTGTCCTGGACACCCACTCCTCATCAGGCATATGTGTTGCATTTCCCCCGTTTCAGTCTCCTGTGGTAACTTGCTGCACGAGTTAGTTTTAGTAGAATTGGCTAACCTCATTTATTTAAAAACACAAATGAGCCGAAACCGGTGTGGCTCAGTGGATAGAGCGTCGGCCTGCGAACTGAAGGGTCCCAGGTTCGATTCCTGTCAAGGGCATGTACCCTGGTTGCGGGCACATCCCCAGTAGGAGGTATGCAAGAGGCGGCTGATCGATGTTTCTCTCTCATCGATGTTTCTCACTCTCTGTCCCTCTCTTCCTCTCTGTAAAAAATCAATAAAATATATATTTAAAAGCACACACGACACTCTTTTGGTCTCCAGCTTGTAAGGATGCCTTCCTGTATCGGCTGAAATGCTTGTGTTTATGCTCATGTGCGTGTCTCTGATAGAGAGTGACACCTCCCTCTGTGGCCCTTCCTAGCGGAGCTGCCCCTCATCGACCTGATGAAGCTGTACGAAGGCGCCTTCCTGCCGAGCTTCCAGTGGCCGCAGCCCCCGCCCGGCGGTGGCGAGGACACGAGTGAGGAAGAAGGTCTGTCCCGCCTGCAGGGCTCGGCTCTCAGCAGCTCACTGCAGAGCCAGGCCGGCAGCTGGCACCCTTGGTCTGGTGCTTGTGTAATTCTGTACTGAAGAGCACTTTATTGAATTCCGTGCTTCCTTTTTTGCCTTTCCTTTTTTAAAAATAAGCTTGGCACAGTCGTCAGAGCACTTGGTCGGGTTGTGAGCGGTTTATTTTCTCCAGGTTTAGGAAGGTGGTCATCACGTTTATTCAGGCTGTGCTGCTATGTGACACACCTGCTTTAAGAAGTCTATTTTACTTTGATTAGACGTCCCAACACACGCAGACGACCCAGGAGCTCTGCCCTGCTGCTGTCACTGCTTGTTCCGGCCCTTAAACATGTGCCTGGGGTGGGAGTGGCGCTGTCAGGACCCGGGCCGCAGGCCTGGGGGGCCGGCAGCCCCCGACGTGCTGGCCTGGGAGATGCGTGTAGTCAGGGACCCAGCAGGTGCGTGTAGTGGGGACAGCAGCTCCCTTGGCTGCGAGACCTCCTCCAGTTCACTGAGGGCTTTCCAGAGTGGGCCTCGGGCTGTGGTTCCGTAAGTTTTCTCTCCTTACAGAGAGCATTCTTAGGTGTGTAAAGTGGTCAGAATGGAAAGATGGCACTTGGTTCTGTGCGTGCAGCGTTTGGGTCCTGCCAGTTCTTCCCAGTGTTAAGGAGGCTGATAAACCGTGAACGCTGCTGCAACCCTCCCCGTTGCCCGCAGATGTGGACGACGGCCCGGGCGAGCAGGAGGGCCACCGGGACGTGGTGCTCATCGACTCGCTCTTCATCATGGACCAGTTCAAAGCCGCCGCCGAGAGGATGGGCGCCGGGAAGCCTCACACGAAGGACATCGCGGAGGTGACCGCCGTGGCCGAGGGCATCCTGCCCAAGGGCAGTGCTCGCATCAGCACCACGGTGAGCGCCTGGCGGGAGGGACGGGAGCTTCCTGCTCCCACAGAGCGCTTGCCTGGCTGCATATGTTATCGGAAAAGTGAACTCTGACCCTTTCCCTGGTGCCTAGAGGGCTTTCTACAGCTCTCCAGTCGCTTCCCGTGCGCCTGCCGCGAGTTCAGTCTGGAGACAAGGCTCAGGGGTCGTCTAAGCAGCACTCACGGCCCGTCTGTCCCGCAGGTGAAGCTGAGCGCCCCGCCCCTGCTGCACGGCACGCTCAGGGACTACCAGATGATCGGCCTGGACTGGCTGGCCAAGCTCTACCGCAAGAACCTCAACGGCATCCTGGCGGACGAGGCCGGGCTGGGCAAAACGGTGCAGATCATTGCCTTCTTTGCCCACCTCGCTTGCAATGAAGGTAGGAGCTTGTGGGAACAGCACGTGTTGCCGAGACTCAACTCAGTGTTTGGTTGAGCGAGGGTCAGGGGTGCCTATATTCTCTGCCCCTGGGCTGTTGCGGGCTGTGGCTCAGAACCTGAGGCAGCAGGTTGTACAGATGCGCAAGAGACTCCTTCCCGGTCAGCACTGGGCGGCAGCATGTCTCCTCACCGGGCTCTGTGACTCCCTGAGCCCTGCTGCCCGTCAGTGTGCAGAGAGCAGAGCAGACGGGTGAGCTGGTGCCACAGGGTGCCACCAAGGGGTGGTGGGAACGTCCCGCACCACTCGCCTCACTGCTGTCAGCCTCTGCATCACCAGCCGCCTCCTGAGCCAGCCCTGGAGGCCGTGGGCTCCTGGCCTGCTCAGCTCGGCTCCTCGTGGCGGTGCTTTTGAGTGTGGTCGGTGGCGCCTTGTGTCTGACCAGCCGTGACTGTCAGGTGGGCTGAGACATCTTTCCAAGCCTCTCGCTCCGTCTTCTCACGGGGTTGTGCTCTGTTTCTGACACAGACTTGGTCTGCTGTGTGGGTTGCTCTGACAACGTAAGAAGGCTCAGTTTTTAGAGGAATGAATTTAAACCACGTGTTTTGGGATGTTTGGGTGTGTGTGTGTGGGCTCGAGGTCGGAAGCCACATGTGACTGGTGTGTGCTGCGGGAGTGCCACCGGAGATGGGACGGGCCTTGGGTTCTGAGGGCTGTGGGCTGCTTACTGCTTTTTCCTGAGCGTTGGTCCTTGTAAACGGGGTTCCTCCCCATGCTCCTGGGGCTTTGCCACGTTTCTGAATAAGTGTCCGTGTTATTTGGTGACTACCCATCCAACCCTCCCCCCCTTTGCTGAGTGCCTCCGGAGAGTCAGGCTGCATCCTGGCTGCTGGGCGTCGGGGAGGGAGGCGCCATCCAAGTCCGGGAGCCGTGGTGGGAAGAGGCCCCTCACCCCACTGGACGGCTGCTTAGTCCCACCCGGGACGCTGCACACACAGCATGTGCCAGTGCCCAGACTTGGCGAGGATGGCGTGGCTGAGAGGAAGTGCTGTGTTTCCCCCTCTGCAGGCAACTGGGGCCCTCACCTGGTCATCGTGAGGAGCTGGAACGTCCTCAAGTGGGAGCTTGAGCTGAAGCGCTGGTGTCCTGGGCTTAAGACCCTTATGTATGTGGGCAGCCACCGAGAGCTCAAAGCCAAGAGACAGGTATTTCAGTTCAAATGTGAGCAAGACCAGAAAGAGACCGTCTTAATTTGCATGAGGCACATTTCCAAATGTGCTTTTAGTGTAATTACTGTGACAGACAGCAGCCTCCAGGTCATTCTAGATCTGCAGTTCCTGACAGCATCGACCGCCCTGCATGGAGGGCCCAGTGTACATCCCTCGGGAGGGCGGGGTGTACACGCCTCGGGAGGGGGGGTGTACACGCCTCGGGAAGGCCCACGTGTGGAGGCCTCTCATCCCTCCCTGGGAAGGGAGGCGTTTCCTCTGGCGCTGACGCCCGGTGGTGAGAGCTGTGGCCCTGTGAGCTGCAGGCCGTGGGCGCTCAGACCGAGAGGAGAAGGTGCTTCCCGGTCCGGAGGCCTGGGTGTGCGTAAGGGGCATGCGGATAGGGCTATGCGTGGAGGAGCATTCGCTGAAAAAGGGACACCTCAGTGCAGTTTGTTGTTGGCCGTTGGGTCACTCGTTGTAAAGCTTACAATGCAGCCGGTGGCAGCGTAGACGCGCGTTTCCGAGGGCCTCGGTGAGCGTTTGGCCTCGCTCAGGTCATGGCCGCCGAGAGCCGTCCTTCCTGGGTCATCTATTGCTCAGTCATCGTCAGTGCCCGCACGCCTCTGCGCGTGTCCACACACGTGCTGGAGGCTCGGAGGAAGGGTCTGCCTTGAGCAGAAACAGCGAGCTGTCAAACAGGGAGGAGACGCCTGTGTTCTGTGCTGCAGGGGTGGACCGAGCCCAACAGCTTCCACGTCTGCATCACGTCCTACAAGCAGCTCTTCCGGGGCTACACGGCCCTCGCGCGGGTGCGCTGGCGCTGCCTGGTCATCGACGAGATGCAGTGTGTGAAGGGCCTGAGCGAGCAGCACTGGGAGGCCGTGTTCACCCTGCAGAGGTCTGCCTGCCCCGGGCCGTGGGGGGTGGGGGCGGAGGGTTCAGTGACACAAACAGCCTTGTCCAGTCCCTCCCTCGGGGACACCAAAGGGTGCCTTAGTCATGCCGTCAGGTCCCCGGGACGCAGTGACCCGTAGAATTGCCTTGTCCTGGCTCGTCAGACCTGCAGTCCCAGCGGGCTCTCAGACGTGTCTGTCTCCTGTGCAGCCAGCAGCGCCTGCTCCTGATCGACGCGCCGCTGCACAACACCTTCCTGGAGCTGTGGACCATGGTGCACTTCCTCATCCCCGGCCTCTCCCGGCCCTACCTGCACGTCCCCCTGAAGGCGCCCACCGAGGAGAACCAGGACTACTACCACAAGGTGGTCATCCGCCTGCACCGGGTACGTGCGGCCTGGGGTGCTGGGACCACAGCGCCATGGACGATGTCCTCCCAGAGGCCAACCACAGCGTCTCCTTCCCCAGGTGACCCAGCCGTTCATCCTGAGGAGGACCAAGAGGGACGTGGAGAAGCAGCTGACCAAGAGGTACGAGCACGTGCTGAAGTGCCGCCTGACCAACCGGCAGAAAGCCCTGTACGAGGACGTCATCCTGCAGCCGGGGTGAGTGCGCCTGGCTGGTCCCCCGGTGAACCCCGGCCGGCCGCACCCCGTGTCTGTTCGCCTGGAGACACGTCCTGACGGGACCTGGGGCGTTGGGTTTCAGGCTAGCCTGGCCCCAGGATGGCCGCACAGTCGCCCCCCTCATCGCAGGGGAGTGTGCCAGGGCTGCCTGGAGCGGCAGGAGCCTCAGGCTGACTCCACAGCAGCCCTCACAGTCCCGGCGGGAGGGCTCATGCCGGCTCGACCTCAGACCCTCCCACAGCGCATTGTCTTCCCCGAGGGAGTGAGAACGCCCCCTTCCCCAGAGGAGCACGGCGGCTCGCTGGCATTCCCACTGGCCATTTTAAGTAATGTTCACTCTCTCTGTGGCGTCGTTCTAAGTAAAACAAGGGCATCGTGAACACGCGCTGCAGTGCCCGGACAGTCTGCCCAAGTGACTACAGGCAGGAGTGTCTACAGCGCGAGACACTGGACGAAGCGGGGACTGACACCCCAAAGGAGAGATGTCGGCACGCTGTGCAGAGTCGCACGCAGCGTAGCACCTAGCCGAGCCTATTTCTAGAACTTGGCACGTGGTGGCTTTGGACGGCCGGGCTCTGTGCTGCCTGCACCACTGCTGGACGAGAGTGTTGGCCTCGCTTCTCTCCTGACCCTCTGCCATGCCCTGTTTGGCTCCTTCCATCACCTGTTCATTTTCCCGAGTTTAAGTTAAAAACACAGTGAGCATGGAGGGAAAGTCCTGACGATGTCAGATAAACACATTTGTGCTCGGTAATCACAGCAACTGTCTCCCCACGGGGAGCTGAGGAGAATCACCCATAGTCCAGCCTCGCTGGCCTGAGAGGGCGTGGCTTCCAGATCAGGCTCCCATGTTTCTGTCAGATGGCCCACTGGCTGCTCACCAGGCCAGACGTGTCAGCGGGACCTCAAGTCCCCAGGGACAGGCCACACTCAGCTGCCTGAACCCAGAGCGTCCCCATCCCCGCTACCCGCTGAGCCCGGGAGCTGCAGCCTGCTGACCCTCCCCCGGCGCTCTGGCTCCCCGTGCTGCCGCGGGGCCGGGGGAGAGCCTGAGGGTGGTGAGACAGGAACCGGGTCCCAGGTGGTGACGGAGCCGAGCGTGGGCTGGACCTGCGTTGCTGTTTGGGCCCGAGTGGAGCAGACGCTGAGGGCTCGTGTCTCCGAGCAGGACCCAGGAGGTACTGAAGGGCGGGCACTTTGTGGACGTGCTGAGCATCCTGCTGAGGCTGCAGCGCATCTGCAACCACCCCGGGCTGCTGGAGCCCCGGCTCCCGCAGTCCTCCTTCTCGGCCAGGCCGCTGCAGCTCCGCCTGGCCTCCCTCGTGCTGAAGGCGCTCGACAGGGACGCCTGGAAGGTAAGGAGGGAGCTAGGGGGGTAGGTGTGTCCTGGGGTCCTGACACAGCAGCACCGAGCAGCCTCTGACGTGTCTTCCCCTGGACGTAGCGTCCGTGCCTGGCGCTGGCCTCGGGCGGCTTCCTCAGCATGGCGTGTGCTGATGGACTCTGAGAAAGGGGTGTGGCGTGGACATGACGGAGAGCTGGGCCAAGCGAGGCTCGTCTTCCTGTCTGCTAGTTGACGTGGGTTCTTCGTCCAGGTTTTTCCTACTGTCTCACGCAGCCGTTTCCTCCTCCTCCTCAGGAAGCCGACCTTTCTGTGTTTGACCTCATTGGCTTGGAAAACGCCATGACTCGCCACGAGGCCGAGTTGCTGTGCAGGAAAAGGGTGACGCGGAAGCTCATGGAGGAGCTCTTCACCGCCCCGCCCCCGCCCGGCAGGCCCCCGGCGGTCCGGCTGAAGCCCAGCAGGTGTGTGCTGACGGTGTGGCCTGCGGCTCACCATCTGGCCTGGCTGGGCCCGGCAGGTCCTGAACCGGCCCCTAGGCTGTGAGGTGGGAGTGACACTGGGAGGCTTGGGATCAGGTTGGAGTTTCCCATGAGTCCCTGGCTCCAGGCTGAGAAGAGGCCAGTCTCCTGCTTGGTTGTCTGCTCGGCGTTGCCTAGGCTTCTGCTCCCTGAGTGGCTCCCTGGAGGTGGGGAGTGTGGACACGTGGCTCTCGCCCCCCGAGGAGTGGTCTTCACCATCCTTAGGAAGCGTTAGGGTGTGGGAGGGGTGCGTGGGAAGAGCTGGGGCCAGTGGGCGGGTGGGGTAGCTGCATGGCCAGGTGTTGGGGAGTGAGGGCAGAGGGCGCTGCAGGGTGGTGTGCGCTGGCGGCAGCTAGGGCTCCTCCTGACGAAGGAAGGGACAGCTGGGAGGACGGTCGTGTTGCAGGCGCCTGAGGCTGGAGTGGGCAGAATGTCTGAGGACGAGCAAACCCAGTGGCTCAGGAGAGGCTGGTCCCGGGCTGGAGAGAGACGAAGACCTGGGCTCGAGCTAACCATGGGGCGAAGGGAAGCCAGCCTTTCAGAGACAGTCGATCCTGCACACGGACAGCCATTCTCGGTGCTCCTCTGTGTGTGACTTCCGGGCGCTCGGATGCTCCCTAGTCTGCACTGCAGCTGCCGTGTCTTCCTGTCCCACGCGTCCAGGTTGTTCCAGCCTGTGCAGTACGGCCAGAAGCCCGAGGGCCGCACGGTGGCTTTCCCCAGCACACACCTACCCCGCACGGCCACCTCCACGGCGGCCACTGCCACGCCACAGAGCCACGTTCGAGGACGGCCGCCCATCGCCACCTTCTCTGCCAACCCGGATGCCAAAGGTGTGTCCTGTGTGCGGGGTGTGTGTGCCACGGGGGTGCTCCCTGGCCTCTGACGAGGACCTCCTTTCTGCCGAAGAGACCTGTGCAGCCCTCGCGAGTTGGAGGCTTGCTTACAGCTTTAAGCCGGTGTCACAGGTGCCGCGTGCTCAGTGAGTTGTGTGCCGGCCACGAGGTGCCGGGAGCTCGCAGAGGGCATGCAGTTCAGGCTTCCGAGGCAGCGCCGCTGTGCTCGCACCCTGCTCTATCCCCGCCAGAGAGGACGGGCTGGTGAGCAGGTGCGCAGGCAGTGCCCCAGCCGCCAGCGGGTCCTGCCATGTGCACGCGGCTTTGTGCAAGCACCCCGGTGTCGCTGGGTGCCGCCTCTGTGTGTGCCTTTGTGGGGTTCACATGCTGACTTCTAGCTCCATTCGCTGAGGAGGGGCTCCGTGTAGGCTGCTGGTTCGCGCCAAGGTAAACGGATAAAAAAATCACACTCCGTCTGCAGACCACATCGGCCTTCACCCCTTTTTAGAGAGAGCTGCTCACTTGAGAGACAGTGTGAAATGTTGGTTTTATTGCTTTGAAAGTCAGGTTGAAGTACTGCGTTGCCATGAGAACCTCTAACAGCTCTGCACAAACCACCCTTGTCGATTGCAGCGGCAGCAGCCCCCCAGGCTCCCACCGGTGCTCCGAGACCCCAGGCCGCCTCGACCTGCAGCACAGCTCCTAGCCCAGCCCATCCTGCGAAACTGCGGGCTCAGACCGCTCCCCAGGCCTCCGCCCTGGGCCCGCCCCAGCCCCAGCCCCAGGCCCCCTCGCACCCAGCCGGGCAGAGCACGCTGCCTCCGGGGCTGCTGCTCACCTCGCAGGCCCAGGCGCGCCTGCCTAGTAAGTGGCCTCGCCTCTCCCGGGCTCTGCCTCTTCCCAGGAAGCTGTGTGCGGACCGGCAGTGTGATGAGCCTGCTGTCCACTCTGTGCCCTCAGGCCGGCGCTGCTTCGCCGTGCTGTGGCCTGGTGTCCTTTCCGGTCCGTCTCCAGGGCCAGCGCCCAGGGCTTGTCCTTTCTCTGTCTTTTCTCCTGACCATCCCGTCCGTCAGCTCTGCTCTCCTCCCACTCACTCTGAGCTTCGTGCCTCCCTCACTGTTAGCCGGGCTCCGGGCCAGGGTGAGGTCACCTGGGAATGGAAAAGCAGTCGCTTCCTGGAGAGTCGTGGGCCTCTTGGTCGTTTCTAAAGCCAGGACTTCCTTTTCCTCTCTCACCGTTACCAGATTTAAACCCGAGATGAGTTATTGCTCAACTGAGACATTTTACAATGGTTCAGCGACTAAGAAGTCAGTTTCACTAAGTACTAGAGGCCGGTGCTTGGCGTTCGTGCACGGGGCTCGGCCCTCGCAGCCCCAGCTTTGTCTGGAAGGATATCCAGTCTAATGAGCATATCACTCTTATTATTACAGACTTCAGTAGAGTGTTTCATTGTGACCAGTGAGATTAGCATATTTCCAAACTTCACGTGGACTCTGTCCACTCTGCTGTGGAAAGGGCCCTCCTTGGCACAGCTGCCTCGTCTCTTAGGTGCTGCCTCGAACCCTCGCTGTGGGAGGACGGGCTGTGCCGAGCCTCTGGATGGGAGAAGGGAGGCGCGGGTGTCCTGGGGGCCCACGTTCAGGCTGGGGCTGCGTCTTCTCGCTGCTGCCGCAGTCACCACTGGCCCCTGCCTGCAGGACGTGTTTCATGGCCTGGGACGGGCCTTTGTGGCTGAGCTTGGGCATTGTCCACACGCCAACTTCCGTGTAGTGGCCTTCTCCTCTGCTGGACCTCGAGGGCTCACTGGACCACTCTCTGCCTCTCCTTTTTCACTCCCTGTCCTTACAGTCCTGTGCACAGAGACTGAGTGTCTTCTCGTCTACTGACTGTCTTCACTTTCACACTAACAATTCTGCCGTGGATTTTCTTAGGAGCATTTAGACTCAGATATCAACCACTGGGCAGAAAACCTTTAAGCTGTGCAGTTACAGCCTTTCTGAACGAAACGCATGTGACTCCGCCCAAGTGCGTTTCCACAGAAAGGTTCTAAGCGATGGGACGCCTCGCGCTTCCTGACAGTAAACACTGCAGGTCAGGCCCTGCGTGCCCTGCGATGGGGCTTCGGTCTTGAAGCTCCAGCCCGGGCGTTCCAGACTGACTACGGTGTCACGCCTCCATCTGTGCTGGCAGACCCGCCCTCCCCTCAGCTCAGCTGCGCGGCGGGGAGGCTCTGAGGCCCTGCTCTTGTGAGGGTGGCCCTGGCTCACTGGCCGGGAGGAAAGGACGTGCCCTTCGTAGTGCGGATCCTGTGTCCTTCCAGTCCCCACAGTCAGGCTGCAGGAGTTAGCCGGTGCCGTCTGACATTAACCTTTCTTCTCTTTCCTGTGAAGAGCGCTCTTTCCTGCAAACGCCATCACTGCTTTCTGACACTCTGTTCACTGCCGAGGTCGTTCTCTGTGACAGACAGACAGTGTCCCGTTGGAACCCTCCCACAGAAGTTCACTCCCTCTCCTGTGTCCCCTCAGGTGGCGAGGTGGTCAAAATAGCACAGCTGGCCTCGCTCGCAGGACCACCGAGCCGCGTGGCACAGCCAGAGACCCCGGTGACGCTGCAGTTCCAGGGGAACAAGTTCACCTTGTCCCACAGCCAGCTGCGGCAGCTCACTGCCGGCCAGCCCCTGCAGCTGCAAGGTGAGCCGTGCCGGGGAGCCTGGCCGCGGGGCGGGAGTGCGGAGCGATGTGTGTGCCTGGCTGCCCAGGCCTGGCCCAGGCTCAGGAGATGGTAGTCATTTAAAACATCTACCCTGTGCCCAGCCGACGTGGCTCGGTGGCTGAGCATCCACCTATGAACCAGGAGGGTCACGGATGATTCCCAGTCAGGGCACAGGCCCAGGTGGTGGGCTCCATCCCCAGAAGGGGGCGTGTAGGAGGCAGCCAGCCCATGATCCTCTCTCATCCTGGAAGTTTCTCTCTCTCTCCTTCTGCCTTCCTCTCTGAAATCTATCAATCAGTAAATGATCTACCCTTTGGTAAAAGTTTCCTATTTTCAAAATAAAAACGGAAATACTTGCTGCTTTCTGGTTTTACTGTGAAGTGTGAGTTGTCCTAAGAGGCCATGCGCAGTCTGTATGGGAGGCGCTCTGCTCACAGACTGCGGATAATTCCAGCCAGACCTCTCGCCTGTGGCCACGGCGATGTCTGTGGAGTGGCTGCTTTCGAAAAAGAGGAGGGTGCGTGCTGACGTTAGTCCTGAGGGACCACAGGCAGCAGCTCAGCCATGAGGGTCCCTCTCAGTTGTGGGTTGGGATCCAGGGTAGTGTCATCACAGCCCCCTCCAGCACTTGCCCTTGGCTCGGCTGTGAAAGGCCAGAGCGGGGGCCTCTGGGAAGCCTGCAGCAAAGAAACGCCTCCATTGGTCTAACACCCCACTTCCCAGTGCTTTGGTCGAAGGAGCGAGGCGTTTCTGGTGGCCCCGTGTCTGTGGGACGGGGAGGTCTCTGCAGAGCTAGGCTGTGGAGAGACACGGTCACACCAGAGGTTGAGTGCCAGCTCCTTATGCAGAGCCACCGAGTCTGCACTTAACAGTCACATCAGCTATTTCCTCATCCAGCTGATGGGTCGGCAAGCACCAGCCTGTGACCAGGCAGCTGAGACCTCCACCTGGGACTTGGGGTCTCAAGCAGACATGACAGACCCTGAGCAAGTGCCCCTTGCATTGCCCCAGATCTCTAGGAATTTCTAGAAACCGGTGAGCTTTCTTTTGACATTAAGAAGAATGACAATTTTTCCTTTGTTTTAGTTTTTATTGATTTCAGAGAGGAAGGGGGAGAGAGGGAGAAACTTCAATGATGAGAGAGAATCACTGATTGGCTGCCTCCTGCACACCCCTATTAGGCATCAGCCTGCAACCCGGCACGTGCCCTGACCTGGAATCGAACTGTGACCTGGTTCGTAGGTCCACGCTCAGCCAGCTGGCTGTTCCTTAGAGTTACTTTCATTGCAAATGAAGTGTTTTCCTTTTTCTACGAGTAACTGAAGTCTAGACTGCCCCGTGGGAGCAGGTTTGGTTTTGGAGATTAGGTCTGTGGCCTGTGGGTGTGACCTGAGGTGAAGGCACCTGCGCGGCTGATCGTCCTTGCACACGTGTGATTGCAGGCAGTGTCCTTCAGATCGTGTCCGCCCCCGGGCAGTCCTACCTGCGCCCTCCTGGCCCCATGGTGATGCAGACCGTGTCTCAGGCGGGTACCCTGAGCACCCTGGGAAGCAAGCCCCCGACCAGCGGCCCAGGCCCCGCTCCCACGGCCCCCCCAGGTAGGTGCTCTGGGCGGGGAGCAGGCTGGGTGTGGAGCTGCCTTTGGCTCTCCTGCGAAGGGAACGGAAGGCCTTTAGGACCTGACTGTGGGGCCTCAGACCCTGACGGACCCGCCGTGGCCACATCTCATTTCCACGGACAGCGGTGTCCACTCGGTTTCCTGGTTTGTTGGTTCTCAGAATTGTTGGTTGAAGAGCTGTTTCCAACCTTGGTTTTGCTTTGTAGTTGGTGTGCCTAGTCGAGTGGCGGTCAATCCCCTGACAGTAGGAGAACCTGGAATGGCCTCCAAACCAGCTTCTCCCATCTCGGGGCCCACGCAGGTACTGAGCACTCCCCCACGTGCGTGGTGCTACTGGCAGTGCTTCTGAGCGCCTTCAGAAGGATGTTGCCAGATTATGTACCCTTTGTTTTAAAGATACTTTTCTAGTAAAAGAAGTGAAACGGCTTTATAATTGCTGGGCTCCGCCGGCTGGCCTCTGCTTCTCACTGGCCATTTCCATCACTTTGTGATGCAGGAGGACAAGACCCGACTTCTGAAGGAGCGGCTGGACCAGGTCTACTCCGTCAACGAGCGGCGCTGCTCCCGTGCCCCCGTCTACGGCGCAGACCTGCTGGCGGCTTGTTCTCTGGCCGGCAGAGATCGGGGATTGGGGCTCGGAGTTCTGGGGCGCAGGTCTGGGAAGGGGGCCCAGCCAGCGAGTGTCTGTCCGTCGGCCTCAGACACTCTGCGGGACCTGATCTTGACACAGACTCAACGGCAAGAGTCCCTCCAGGACGTGATTGACAGGTGAGGTGGTTTCACTGCGTTCGGCCCTGTGTGCTCTCCTTGCCCTCCTCCCTCCCCCTGCCCTGCCTGGTGCCCTGCTGACCCCTGATATTGTTTTCCTGGCTGTGCCTTATCTGGGCGTCACCGAGCTGGTGCCCACCGTGTGGCCTTGCAGAGGGGATTCTTTCACTGCTCATGGACATTGCAGGTCCCGCCGTGCCTTTTCCTGGCTGGAGGACATTGTCTTATCCGTTCCTGGTTCCCGGCCGGAGGACATCCGGTCGTCTCCCAGCTTGGGCGGCCATGGAGAAGCAGCGCGCACCGGGCGGCTTCCCACTCCCCCGGGCGGGCAGCAGGAACCTCAGTTTTGTCAGAAACAGTCTTTTTCTTCCCGCAGCGAGGGCGGGTCCTGGTGCTGCCGCCTCTGTTTCCAGAGCTCTGTGTTTTGTTTTGTTTTTTAATTTATTTTATTGATTTTTTACAGAGAAGAAGAGAGAGGGGTAGAGAGTTAGAAACATCATCGATGAGAGAGAAACATCCATCAGTTGCCTCCTGCACACCCCTTACTGGGGATGTGCCTGCAACCAAGGCACATGCCCTTAACCGGAATCGAACCTGGGACACTCTATCCACTGAGCCAAACCGGTCAGGGCCTTCTTACTCTCTCGACAGCACCCTTTGCAGAGAGAAGTTGTTAATTCTAGTGGAGTCCGGCTGACCGATCCTTTCTCTCGTGGATTGTGTCTTTGGTGTTGTAGCTAAAAGCCTGGCACCCACGCTCCTTGTGTTACCTTCAGGAGTTGGTTGTTGTACAGCTCACACTGAGGTCATGACCCGAGTCGGTATTTGTGTCCGGCCCTTTTCTGCTCGTGGTGTCTGCTGTGTGGCCGTCCTGTGCCTCTGTCGTGGTCAGGTGGCCAGAGGAGGTCTGCTCCTGCGCGCTCCACGCCGCCCAGACCTGCTGCCTTGATGTCTCCTCGGACTCCTCCATGTTGTGTGGCTGTGGTGGTCTTTTGCCTCCAGATAAACTTTAAAATCAGCTGCTCGGGACCATCTGCTGGGTTCTGATGGGATGGTGCTAGTCTCTGTGTGCCGCTGCGAGCTGGCCCTGGCAGTGGTAACTGTCCATGAGGTTTCTTAGTCACTGGTCTCCCTTGTCAGTGTTTCTGTGGCGGTGGCTTTGGCTTGCATTTGGCAGCAAGTCATGGAGACGACGGCGCTGGCTGCCCGAGGAAGGGCTCCTGTACAGGGGCGTCCGGCGTCCGGTGGCCGGGCGATGGCTGTCAGGTCGGCCTCGAGACGCCCTTCTTCCCTGCTGCCCTCCTGGCGGCACCCGACCGTAGCCGCTCTGTGTTCACATTCTTCCCCCACCCGTCCAGGAGACGGCCCGTGTCCCGTCGTTCCCATCAGAAGAGGTGCCCTTCGAGGGCCTGGGGGACCCTGCCCGGGGTGTCTCCCCGCTGGCACTCATCGGCCAGGGCTGTCGGGACCTGTGCCCTGGTCGCTGGGACAGTGTGGGCAGCAGGCTTGTCTCCACGGTGACAGGTCAGAGCTGCTGCCTGTGGGATGTGCAGTGCCGCTGTGACGAGCGTGCTTTCTGCCCCGCAGGGTGGCGTGTGTGATCCCCCCCGTGGTGGCCGCGCCCCCGGCCCTGTGTGTGTCACGGCCGCCCTCCCTCTACAGCCACCGGATGAGGCTCTTCAGGCACCGCCTGCGGGAGCACGTGGCGCCCTACGCCCAACAGCTGCAGCGGGTGACCGCCCCGCGCTCGCTGCAGCTCCCCGAGCTGCGGCTGGTCCAGCTGGACTCAGGTAGGAGGCGCGCCCGCACGCCGCGCTCCCGCCTCCCTGTGCTCCGGGGTGACCTCGCGTGCTCCCGCAGGGAAGCTGGACGCGCTGTGGATGCTGCTGAAGAAGCTGCGGTCCGAACGGCGCCGGGTGCTCATCGTGTCGCAGATGGTCCTCATGCTGGACATCCTGGAGCTGTTCCTCAACTTCCACTTCCTCACCTACATCCGCATCGACGAGAACGCCAGCAGCGAGCAGCGGCAGGTGAGGCGGCGGCGGCCCTCCCGGTCCGGCCCGGCATCAGCGCTGTGCACGTCCGGTGCTGTCGCCCTTCCGATCAGGGCGTGCGGCACCTCTGGGCCGGGACCCAATAGTCTCTGCAGCCTCTCCTCCTCCTTTTCCCTTGGATGCGCTGCCGAGCGCTCACGGGGGCAGGACCGTCCTCGGGAGGCAGCCCGCTGGTGGCTTTACGTTAAATGAGTACTGTCAGCCACGGGCCTGGTCGCTTGTCAGAGCAGCACTGCTGGGCGTGAGCGCCACAGCTTCCAGGCCGGGCACTGCACGTGACCCTCCAGCGTGGTCGCCCTCCCAGCACCCCCTCCTGCAGGCTGGTGTGCACAGCTGTTTGCTGTGGAAGCGCTAACCCCGCTGGGCTGGCGTGTCCCGAGCAGCTGCCCGCCCCCGGGAGCAGTCAGCGTGCTCCGTTCCCGAGAGCAGAGGCTGCTGCTGGCCCTGCAGCCTCAGCCTCGTGCGGCACACGGGCCTGCAGGGAGGCCACTGCTCACAGTGACAGCGTCTCGAGAATTCCTGTTTAAAAATACATTCTTAGAGAGAAAGGAAAGGAGAGAGAGAGAAACAGCAATGAGGGAGAAACATCATTGATTGGCTGCCTCCTCCCCTCCCCTCCTGGGGATCCAAGCTGCATCCCGGGCGTGTGCCCTGACCAGGATTGAACGGTGACCTCCCGGTTCCTGGGTGGACATCAGCCACTGAGCCGTGCCGGCCGGGCGGGGTTCCTGGAGGAGGAGGGCTGTGTGCCTGCTGTGGCCGTACCGGTGCTGCACTCACTGCGGAGAGCCGTGTCCGGGAGGCTCGGTGCTGGCCAGTGGTGGAGGCGCCTGTCGGGCCGTTCCCTCCCTCAGCCTTACTCCGGGGGCTTCTGCTGTGGAGTGCCCTGGCATTGCCTGGGGGGACAGGAGGAAGCGCAGATCCCTCCCCAGGGATCCTTAGCGTAAAACCGTGCTCCTGTGGGGCCTACCAACTGCGCTGACACGCTTGTCACCTGGAACCAGGCGGTCTCCTTCCGTGACGACTTGTGCGGTTTAAACCATGTGTGTGTGTGTGTGTGTGTGTGTGTGTGTGTGTAGGCCTGGTGAGCCAGGACCAGCCGTACAGAGAGCCGTGTCAAAGCCAGAAATCTGGCGTGACTCAAACGTGGGAACGTGGACCCCACAGTCCTGCTGTGCGTGAGCGTGCGTGAGCATCCGGTCTCCCCGAGCCCCGGCGCCGTCCTGAGGCGGGCTTGTCGTCGCAGGAGCTGGTGAAGAGCTTCAACAGGGACCGGCGCATCTTCTGCGTCCTGCTGTCCACGCGCAGCCGCTCGGCAGGCCTGAGCCTGATGGACGCCGACGCCGTGGTGGTCTACGACCACGACCTGAACCCCGTGCGGGACGCCCAGGTCCAGCGCTGGTGCGACAAGATGGCACGGCGCAAGGACGTGCACATGTACCGGTGAGGCTGGGCGGGGGCCGGCGGGGATGGGCGGGGGAGGGCGTGCCGCACTGCGTGCCATACTGCGTGCCACACCGTGTGCCGGTGCTGCGTGGGTGGGCACGGAGTGGGGCTGAGATGGGGAGGCCCAGGGGCACGAGGGCAGGATCACGGGAGCCCATGGAGCGCCACAGCATGTGCTTCAAGCCTGTGGCGCCCTCTTCCGGGTGGTCTCTTTGCTGGCGCCACGGGCCCGTGCTCCGGGACTCAGTGCCTCTGTGTGTGGGTCTTTGTAGGCTTGTGAGTGCCAATTCTGTGGAAGAGAAACTTCTGAAGAACGGGACCAAGGATCTGATCCGAGAAGTGGCTGCCCAGGGAAACAACTACTCCATGGCGTTCCTGACGCAGGTACCTCGTCCGTGGCCGGGGGGAGGGCCATGGTGCAGGGCGCGTGGCTCTAGGCACTGAGTGAGCAGCACGCCCGAGCTGGGGGTGAGCCAGCCTCTCGCGGGGGGTCACCTGCGTCTCTGTGCTCAGCGCACCATCCAGGAGCTGTTTGAGGTGTGCATGCCCATGGAGGACACGGGCTTCCCTGTGACAGCCGAGGAGTTGGTTGTCCTTCCCCAGGAGCCGACCGTCACGGAGACCATCGCCCCCAAGATCGCACGGCCTTTCATCGAGGTGAGGACAGCCTCCCGTCCCGGGTGAGGCGCTGCCTCCGTGGTCTCCCCGGGTCCTGGCTGTGCAGGGCCTCTGCTGGGAAGCACCCTGGGGACCCGCAGCCCCCTCCCCCTGCCTCCTTGGTGAGGAGGTGCGCCACCACCTCATCCATTACTTTTTAAAATTTAACTTAGTTGCTGGGACCGGTTTGGCTCAATGGATAGAGCATTGGCTTGGGGACTGAAGGGTCCCGGGTTCGATTCCGGTCAAGGGCATGTACCTTGGTTGAGGGCATATCCCCAGTAGGGGGTGTGCAAGAGGCAACTGATCGATGACTCTCTCTCATCGATGTTTCTGGCTCTCCATTTCTCTCCCTTCCTCTCTGAACAAAATCAATAAAATATATTTTTTTAAAAAATTTAAGTTATTGTTGAATGTATTATATTACATATGTCTCCTTTACCCCCATTGACCTCTCCCGCTCCCCCCCCCCCGCCAGCTCATGCCCTCCCCCCTACTGTCTGTGTCTATTAGTTATGCTTCTATACTTCATCCATTTTTAAAAATTAACTGTTTGGTCCTGGCCAGTGTGGTTCAGTGGATAGAGTGTTGGCCTATAGACCAAAAAGTCCTAGACTCTGTTCCAAGCCAATCAAGGGTACATTCCTCGCTTGCAGGCTTCTCCCTGGCCCAGGCCCCGATCAGGGTGCGTGCAGGAAGCACCCAGTCAACCTGTCTCTCTCACGTTGATGTTTCTCTCTGACTCTCCCTCTCCCTCTCCCTCCCACTCTCTCTAACCGGGTGAGGGTTAACACACAGAAGCTTGCTCTGTCAGCACCATCTGACCCAGCATGCACTTCCCCAGGCCCTAAAGAGCATTGAGTGCCTGGAGGGTGACACGCAGGAGCCCGCAGGGGAGGCCATGCCCACATCACCGGACCCCGACTGCTCGAGGGACCCGGAGCCCTCGCAGCTGGAGGAGTTGGCCGACTTCATGGAACAGGTTTGGGCATTTTCTCCTTTCTGCCTTCACATAGTGGTTCTCTTTACAAGTCATCGTCTTAAAACCCTCACCCAGGGACGTTTTCTTCGTCGATAGTGTGAGACATACTGGAAAAGAGAGAAACATTGGCACGTTGGTTGGTTGCCTCCCACATGCCCCTCCCAGAGCTGGGGATTAAATCTGCAGCTGAGGTGCCCTCGGCCGGAGCAGAACCTGCAGCCGTTCCGTCCTCAGCCAGTGCTCCGCCCACAGAGCGAGCGGCCAGGGCACAGCCACTTTCTGACTCAGGCGTTGGTGGGGCTGTGAGGATCATAACCCTATTAACCTGCAGTTAACTGTCCAAAACGTGTATTTGAAACAGCTCACCCCGATTGAAAAGTACGCTCTGAATTACCTGGAACTCTTCCATGCTTCCATCGGTCCCGACAAGGAGAGCAGCGGCGAGGTGAGGGTCATCTTCACCGCGGGCAGCGCAGGGTCTGTGTGACAGTGTGGTGTGGAGGACAGGGAGTGCCTGGAGTCATGGAGTGAGCCCAAACCCACCCGTGCAGACCAGGGACCGCAGCCGGGAGGCCCCTGCAGGGTTCCAGGTGTGGGGAGGAGCGGTGGCGGGGAGAGGTTCCATGCTGCGCCCAGAGCAAGTGCTGGGAGATGGGTGACCGCAGCGTGGAGGGGACACGACAGGGAAGAGAGGCCCTTGGTCCGAGTGTGAGAACGGGAAGGGGTCGGGGCAGGTGTGTTCCTGTGGAACGGCGCTGGGAGCCGTGTCCGAGCCCGTGGCCTCCCAGCAGGACGCCGTGCTGACTGCGGTGCGAGCCTGGGAGGCCCAGAACCTGCTGACGCTGCAGGAGCAGGAGGCCCGGGCGCTGCAGGAGCTGGAGCAGGAGCAGCTGCTCACCTACACCCGGGAGGACGCCTACAACGCGGTGCGCACCCTCCGCCGGCCATGCTGCTGCTCCCGGGGGGTGGGGGGGGAGGGGGCGGGGAGTCCCAGAAGTCACAAGGGCGCCTGCAGCGTGAAACGGACTCCGCCACTGAAAGCCCCTTTCCCGCAGGAGTACATCTACGAAGGAGCGGACGGGCAGACGGAAGTCATGCCGGTGCGTGCCCCGTCCCGTCCCGTCCCGTCCCGTCCCGTCCCCGTCCCGTCCCCGTCCCGTCCCCGTCCCGTCCCGTCCCCGTCCCGTCCCGTCCCGTCCCGTCCCGGTGCGGGCTGCCTTCCCCAGGCCCCGGCTCACCTCTTGCCTCTCCGGCAGCTCTGGACCCCGCCCACGCCGCCCCAGGACGACAACGACATCTACATCGACTCGGTCATGTGCCTCATGTACGAGACCACGCCCATCCCCGAGGCCAAGCTGCCCCCCGTGTACGTGCGGAAGGAGCGCCGGCGGCACAGGACGGACCCCTCAGGTGCGCCCCCTGTCGCGCCGCGGCGTGCGGCCAGTGGAGGGAGGCAGGCGCCGGCCGGGCTCCTGGGTGGCGGCCTCCCGTCAGCCGGCCTCGGGGCTCGCCGTGGGCGGCTGGCAGCGCCTGAGCGGCCTCTCTGTGCAGCTGCCGGCAGGAAGAAGAAGCAGCGGCACGGGGAGGCGGTGGTGCCCCCGCGCTCGCTCTTCGACCGGGCCGCGCCGGGCCTGCTGAAGGTGCGGCGGGAGGGCAAGGAGCAGAAGAAGAACCTGCTGCTGAAGCAGCAGGCGCAGTTCGCCAAGCCGCTGCCCACCTTTGCCAAGCCCGCCGCCGAGGCCGGTCCGGACAACCCCGAGTGGCTCATCAGCGAGGACTGGGCGCTGCTGCAGGTGAGCCTGGACCTGCGCTGTGCCCGCCGCGCCGTGCCCGCCGGGGCGCAGGCAGCCTCCGGTGGTGACCGTGCTGCCCTGCCCTCTAGGCCGTGAAGCAGCTGCTGGAGCTGCCCCTGAACCTCACCGTCGTGTCGCCGGCCCACACGCCCAACTGGGACCTCGTCAGCGACGTCGTCAACTCCTGCAGCCGCATCTACCGCTCCTCCAAGCAGTGCCGCAGCCGCTACGAGAGCGTGCTCATCCCCCGCGAGGAGGGCAAGGTGGGCCGGGCCTGTGCGGGCGAGGGGCTCCGCGGGGGGCGGCGGGCGTACGCACTGGGCCACTCGGGCCTGGGAGGTGCGCTCCTGTGGCTCACGGGGCTCACGGAAAGCAGCGTCTGTGCTTTCCCTGCGTGGCCGCTGGGCTGGTTGGTGGCTAGGCCCTTGGGTCCACGCTGACCGAGCATTATGCGGCTGCACCCCTAGGACAGCTGGGTCCTTGGCGTCAGTCACCGGGTGTCGCTGTGGGACTCCGGAGGCGGGTCACCAGGCACAAGCAGTGCAGCGCCTTGAGAGAAGCCTGAGGCAGGAGTGCCCACCCCGTCCCAGCCCGCTGTGGGGAAGGCCAGGAAGGCCGGGTGCTGGGAATGGTGCTGGCTTTACCCGTGTCTGTGGCCTCCACGCTTGGCCAGCTGCTCTCTCTGCAGCTGCTGATGGGGGCTCACTCGGGTGACATGCGGAAGGGCCTGCAGGGACCGAGGAGGTGGGGGTGGCAGGTGCTGTCATGTCCGTGCTGTCCTAGGAAGGAGGGGTTGAACCACGGCCTCACCGGAGGCCTCCCGGTCAGTGAGCCAGTCCCGGCGTCCCTGTCTGACCGGCCGTTCTGTTTCAGAGCAAGAACAACCGTCCCCTGCGCACGGGCCAGATTTACGCCCAGGACGAGAACGCCACGCACACGCAGCTGTACACGAGCCACTTTGACCTGATGAAGATGACGGCCGGAAAGAGGAGCCCCCCCATCAAGCCCCTGTAGGCCCACGGCCTGCGCTGCCGAGCCGGCGGGCGGGCGGGCGGGCGGGCGGGCGGCTCTCCTGTCCTTGCTCACACGGTGACTTGTCTCCGTCTTGGCCGTAGGCTCGGCATGAACCCCTTCCAGAAGAACCCCAAGCACGCATCCGTGCTGGCGGAAAGGTACTGCGTGACGCGCTTCCAGGGTTCTCTTAACGCCGTCGGTGGAGCGGGTTGCTGAGCAGCGGGATGGCGTGTCCTGGCCTCGCTGGGTGGTGGCGTGCCCGGGCACGGCCCACAGGGGCTCATGCAGGGAGATCCTGTTCGCACAGGGAGGGCATGGAGTTGGAGGGCACAGCAGCGGGATGGGCACTCTCCTCCTCACCCTGACCTGGCAAACATCTTGTTGGCTCTTCTGTAAAAATGTGTCCAGTTTTGGGGTGGACGTACTTGCTTTGAATCAAGGAGGTCTGAGGTGGCGATGGGAGGACGCAGAGTCCTGGGAGCAGGTCCATGAGAGGGTGGGGAGACCTGTGGGAACCGTAGCCCTGGGCTTGCCGGCCGGGCGCCGTGCCCGGATGTGGGCGCAGTGCTCATGCAGCTGGGGGCCTGGGAGGGAACGGACCATGGGCGGGGGGCCCATCAGCCTTTCTCCTTCCCAGGCTGGTCGCCCTACGCCGCCTCTGGGCTGGGTGGGAGCTCCCCAGCACCCTCAGCGTTAGGAGGGGCAGTGGTTTCAGGAATGTCTGCTTCAGAACTCGCGGCTCATTGTCATTTCTCTGTCTTCAGTGGCATCAACTACGACAAGCCCCTGCCTCCCATCCAGGTCGCATCTCTTCGTGCAGAGCGAATCGCCAAGGAGAAGAAGGTGTGGGCCCGGGCGAGCGGGGCAGCTGCCATTAGGCAGCCGAGGCCCCAGGTGCTCAGCTCCTTTTTCCTGCCCTGCAGGCGCTGGCTGACCAGCAGAAGGCGCAGCAGCCGCCTGTGACGCAGCCCCCTCCGCCCCCGCCGCAGCCACAGCCCCCACCAACCCAGCAGCCGCCACCACCTCTGCCCCAGCCTCCCGCGGCAGCAGGCAGCCAGCAGCCCTCGGGGCCACCCACCGTGCAGCCCCCTGCCCAGGCACAGCCTCCAGCACAGCCTGTGCAGCCCCCGCAGAAGGCACCCCCTGCCATCACTACGGTGGGCAGTGCTGCCGTGCTGGTGAGCAGGCCCTGCCCACCCTCAAGCGCCTGAGGCCCCTGCAGCCCCGGAGCAGCGGGCTTCCTGTTGGGGAGATGGGTGTCGGGCTCAGCAGAGGCAGAGGGTGGATGAGCCATGACAGGAAGTCGCCCCTTCCTCCCCATAAACTTTCAGAGCAGGTGCTGTTTGCCAGTTTGCAAACTTCTGACTTCGTAGTTTTCCTCAAAGCATGTGCATGTGTGCTCGTGCACACGCGGGAGTCTTCAGTGCATGTCAGAGAAGAAGGGTGAAATGCACAAAAAAGGAAGAAAAGTGGGCTTGTGATCCCACAGGCCCTACGCTGGCACCGTCACACCCTGGCTCACGCTGAGCTCACCGTGGGGGAGCCTGGGAGGGACGGAGGCTCAGCTGCTCCGCTCTATCAGCCACGTGTGGGATGCCTGCAGAGCAGCCCCTTTGCTCGGGGCGACTTCCGTGTGTGCCCGGGCAGCCTCCTTCCTCGTTCATTCAAAGAGGCACCACGGAGCTCCTGCTGCAGGGGCTCTGGCCTGCGGGCAAGCATCTGGCCAGACCGGACCCAGGAGAACCTGGGGGTGCTCGTGAGGGGCTGTGCCTGAGCAGCCGGAGTCAGAAAGGAAGGGTCCTGAGCCTGGCAGCTCTGGGCCGGCAGGGTCAGCTCGCCAGGGCACCCTCACTGAGGGGTGGACACGCGGCGGGAGGAGCTGGGACGGGGCTGTAGGCGGCCGTGTGGCCAGCAGCCTGATGGAGAATTTGGATTTGGCGTGGACCGAAGGGGAGCTGGGGAGGGTGTCCGTGGGCACGTGCAAGTCCCTTATCTCTCCAGCAGGCCGGGGCCATTAAGACGTCCGTGCCGGGGACGAGCATGCCCGCAGGTAAGGCCAGCGAGGTGGGCAGGCGCTCCCTCTCCCCGTGCTCTTGCCCACACCCCCTCTCCCTGCAGGCACCGTGAGCGGAAACGTGATCGTAAACACCATCGCGGGGGTCCCTGCTGCCACCTTCCAGTCCATCAACAAGCGCCTGGCCTCGCCCGTGGCGCCGGGCGCCCTGACGGTGAGCGGGTGCTCCGGTCAGCAGCCTGGGACGCTGGCAGGTCGTGTGCTCTTTGGGGAAAGCACTGACCTACATGGACCTGTGATGCTTTGTTTTATTTATTAGTAATTATACTTCATTCATTTTAGCAATACTTATTTGCTTGTATATTAATGTCTAAAGTTTTACATATGTCTCCTTTTTCCCTATTTACCACCCACCCACTGCCCCGTGTCTGTGTCCATTGGTTATGCTAATTATAATGCGTTTTTATTGATGTCAAAGAGGGAGAGAGATGGAAACATCAAGATGAGAGAGAATTATTGATTAGCTGCCTCCTGCACACCCCCTACTGGGGATTGATCCCACAACTTGGGCCTGTGCCCTTGACCAGAGCTGTACCTGGGACCCTTCAGTCCATAGGCCCATGCTCTATCCCCTTAGCCACACTGGCTAGGGCAGACTGTGATGTTTTAAAAGGTAAAGGAATTCATTCATGATGCATTTTTGAGCACCTCTTCCTGTGATGTGGGGATAGGACACGGCTGAAGCCCATGTGCTTGCATGGGGCTCTTCTGGTCCGAGGCTGGGGCGCTGGTGCCGGCAGCAGGAGGGGCAGCAGCAGCAGGCAGTGGGCAGGTCCTCAAGCTCCGGATAGAGGGATCCCTGGGTGTAGATTATGAAAGAGTTATACTTTCTGTTTAAAAGAAATAAAGAAGAGAGTGTCTATAAACACCTGGAAACTATTTTAAAAGAATGTGGAGACCTTTGGGAAATGAAAACTGGTTATCAGAATTGTAGAAAGAAAACCTCATCATTGGGCTTACTGTCAGTCACCCGGTAGGAGAGAGAATCAGTGAACTGGAAGACAAGTCTGAGGAAATTTTCCCAAACGCAGGATGGGGGCGGCAGTGGAGGGCAGGGAGAAGGTAAATCCGTGACAGGGGGCGGAGAGGATGGCGGTCAGACAGAGTGAAGGCGTGTTTCTGAAACAATGGCCCAGGCCCAGGACAGGGAGGGTCCCACCTGTGCACAGTGCAGGCAGCAGGGGGCGGTCTCTGGAGGCCCAGCAACTCGCCTCTCCCAGGAGCTGAGGGGACCACAAGCAGACCAGCCCCGTCTCTGGAAATAACTCAAGGGGTTTGCCAACCCTGAGGACGTGCAGAGTGAGCTGCTCTGGCTCAGGGCAGGGCTTCGCCTCGGCACCCCCAGGGCTGGCCGTGGTTCACCTGGTGCCCTTTCCACCCCGCGCTAGGCCCTCCTTTTGCCTTTGCAGAGCTCCGGAGGCTCGACGCCGGCCCAGGTGGTCCACACCCAGCCCCGAGCAGTGGGCTCCCCGGCCACGTCTGACCTGGTGTCCCTGGCACCGACGCAGGGCGTTCGTGCGGTCACCTCGGTGACAGCCTCGGCCGTGGTCACCACCAGCCTGGCTGCGGTGCAGACCCCAGCCCGGTCTTTGGTGACTCAGGTGTCCCAAGGTAAGGGATGTGGTTCCTGTGCTGCCCCCTCGGCAGGCTCGGCTCCGTGTGCTGGGTGGGAGGGAGCGTGTCCCTGACGAGACGCCTTCTCCAGCCACAGGGGTCCAGCTGCCGGGGAAGACGCTCACGCCCGCTCACTTCCAGCTCCTCCGGCAGCAGCAACCGCCGCCGCCGCCGCCGCCGCCACCGCCCGCCCAGGCGCAGGTCCCGCAGCTGCAGGGCCAGGCCCAGTCGCCCGCGCAGATCAAAGCTGTCAGCAAGCTGACCCCGGTGAGCACTCCTGGGGAGCCACGGGCCACGCGGGTGCGCGGTCCCATGCCGTGGTTCGGAGTGTGTCCTGCATCAACGCTCCGCCGTCTGGGCGGGAGGTGTCTTTAGAAACGGCGTTTGGTGGCAGCACCCTGGGGGCCGCCTCCCACCTGCTCTGTGCTGTGTGCTGGGGGCAGGCTCCAGGAGGCGGAGGCCACGGTCCACTCCCCCCAGAGGTCAGGAGGGCAGCACCTCCCCAGGCGGCTTATGGGGCACCTCCCGTGCAGCCTCGGTCTCAGGTAGTGGTTGAGTGCGATGGCGAGCGTGGCCAGGCTGCACACATGCTGCCATGGATGTGAGCACGTTCCTCTTAAGGAGGAAGAACTCACACCAGGTGTGAACCAGAAAACAGGAAACAAAGTCCCAGCGGCTGCCGGGCCTGCCCTTCCCCGTCCAGCAGGGACATGCGACCTGGGGGAGGCGCTCCAGCCACGTCGGAGCCTCGTGACCACCCTTGGCGTCGCTGCAGCATGGCAGGCTCGGGTCAGACGTCACACCGTCAGGATGTGCGACGTGGTGCAGCTGATGTGCTAAGCAGCCCCTCCCTGGGTTTCAGGAACACCTGATCAAAATGCAGAAGCAGAAGCTGCAGCTGCCCCAGCAGGCTCCCCCGCCCCAGGCCCCTCCTGGCCCCCCGCCGCCCACTGCACAGGTGCAGGTGCAGCCTCCGCCGCCGGCACAGCAGCCGAGCCCCCAGCTCACCACCGTCACCGCCTCGCGGCCCGGAGCCCTGCTCACGGGCACCACCGTGACCAACCTCCAGGTGGCCCGGCTCGTAAGTCCCCTGGCATGTCTGTCTTTCCCACGCTCCTGCCTGGCTCCTCTCGTGTGGCCGAGATGTTCGGGTGGACGTGCGAGTGAAGTGGAAGGTGTGCTTCCCCCCAGATCCTGTTCTCCGTGGAGGGGAGAAAGCAGCCCCAGGGGACGGCTGAGTAATTGTACTTCCTGGCACTGAGCGCTCGGGGAAGGAGGAGGGGGAAGCTGGACCATGGAGGGAGGGCCGGTCTCTGTCAGGGTCGGCACATGGGCATGCGGGAGGGGGTACCAGGCTCAGAGCGACTTTGGGAGGGGCTGCATCAGGACAACGTGGAGTCAGGAAGGTCCTTCACGTTCAGCCATTCCAGCCAGGCCAGGCTGCCAGCTTAGGAGACCGCATCCTGGCACGGGTGCAGCTACCATCACTGCCCTACCTTACACCTGCCCCCTGCCCGGTGCACAGGCAGGATGGGTGTTCAGCGTCGCTCCACTTTGCATGTGCAGAGCCTGAAGCTGGTGGGTTAGGTAACCTCCAGTCCTAGGTGGTCGCCCCCAGCATGCTGGCTCTGCGCTGGGTGTGCTTCACCCACTTAAGTCTGCAAGATGGGACAGAAGTGGGCAAAGCCCGAGAAAGCACGTTTGGCTCCATGTGTGTTCATGTGACAAGGGCTTGGACACAGTGACAGGAAGTTGATGGCCTTCACAGGAGTCTCGGGTGAGCTCCAGGCTGACCTTTGGCTGCTCTAAGGTCAGACGTGAATGCCGTGTGACCAGTGAGCGTGGGTGACGGAACAGGGTAGGTCAGCCTCTGGGGAGATGCTGGTCTTTGCTGGCTACTGCTCCCCACCTGGGACCCTCCACGTCTCGCCGTTTGGCCTCGGCGATGTCTGCAGACACACGAGTTGCTGAGTCTCTGGGCCCTTCTTCCTGTTTAGACCCGGGTCCCCACGTCGCAGCTGCAGGCACAAGGCCAGATGCAGGCGCAGGCGCCCCCGCCAGCTCAGGTGGCCCTGGCGAAGCCTCCGGTGGTGTCCGTGCCCGCGGCCGTGGTCTCCTCGCCAGGCGTCACGACCCTGCCCATGAACGTTGCCGGGATCAGCGTGGCCATCGGGCAGCCGCAGAAAGCCACAGGTGCCTGCCACGCCCGGGGCCTGGGGGGCTGACGGCTTCCTGTGGACGCGGCTCCCTCACCAGACACCATTCCCAGCGCCGCGGTGCCCGAGTACAAGTTTTGACCCTCAAATTGACCGTAAACATCTGGAACTTCCCTTCATCTCAGCCATTTCCAACCGCTCTGCCACAGGGGGTTTAAACAGGCAGTGATGGACTCTGCCATCGGGGCACTGACCCCCTTCCCCTCAGGTCAGGGCCGGAGAATCTTGTTCTGCCCGGAGCCACTTACACCGAACGGCATTGTTCACAGGCCAGACATTGTCACCAGCTTAAACGTGAGCCTGCGGCATTTGGTCCAACAATTAACTCACCCCAATGCCGTGGCAGGGCCAGACCAAATGATTCCCCACTCCCTGCCTAGGTTGTCGAACTGACAGCCACCAGCAGTCCTAGTCATCGAGGTGAGGGAACCACCGCCGCACCTGTTGGGTCAGTTCGGTGAACAGTATTGTTGGGAGAGCTGCAGGATTTTAGCCGTCTGTGTGCCGGGAGGTGGGAAGGTGAGTGTCCTGGCGGCCAAGGAGCGCCTCGCAGGTCAGGGAGCCGTGCTTGTAGACGCAGCCAATCTGAACAGCTCAGTGACTCGGGAAGCGCGGGGAACATGGGTGAGCCTGCCTCCATGCTGACTCCCCGCTCGGTGGTGTTTGCAGGCCAGACCGTGGTGGCCCAGCCCGTGCACGTGCAGCAGCTGCTGAAGCTCAAGCAGCAGGCCGTGCAGCAGCAGAAGGCCATCCAGCCCCAGGCCGCCCCGGGCCCGGCCGCCGTCCAGCAGAAGGTACTGGCTCCTGCGGGCTCGGTCACCCTGTGCCGAGCCAGGCCCTCCACCAGACACAGGGTGCAGAGGACGGGGTCCCAGTGGGCCCTGCCTCGCTGCCTGACACCCACCCAAGGAACCCCAAGGCCCTGCATTTGGGGTGGCCTGGATGCTGGTGCTGCTCCAAGGCTCCCCGGGGCACGGGGGCGGCAGGGGGAAGCTTTGTTCTCTGCGGACCTTTGGGGAACATTGAGGATCGGGAAGGGCCACGGGGTTTGGGGAAGCAGCTGTAGATCCTAGTGTGAGACCCACCTGGGCGTTAGTGCACAGAACCGAGGATCCAGGCGGGGACCTGGTCTTGGGAGTGCTCGAGGGGGGGAGGGGAGGCTGCACTGAACTGATGGAGGCCCCAACACAGAAGCCTTCTCAGCAGGCTGACCTCTGGGCACGAGGGGACTCGGGGGAGAGGCGAGTGGCCCGGGTTGGGCACTGCTGAGTGCAGAGGGGACGGCCTGTGGCCCTGACCCTGGCATCTCCCTTCAGATCACCGCCCAGCAGATGGCTGCTCAGGGCCAGCCACAGAAGGTCACCTATGCCACCCAGCCAGCCCTGAAGACCCAGTTCCTCACCACCCCCATCTCCCAGGCCCAGAAGCTGGCCGGGACGCAGCAGGTGCAGACCCAGATCCAGGTGAGCAGCAGCCAGCCAGGCACCCAGGACAGCGAGGGCCACAGCCTCACTGGCTGAATCACTTCCCCTGCTCCCCTCCTCCCTCCCCCCCGCTCGGGCCGCCCCCCAACCTAGAAGGTCACCCAGACTTGAAGAAGGGGCTCTGAGATCCGTGAAAGGCCAGGATGTGTCATTTCATCCTTTGTCCTCTCACGTGAACTCTGTGTGAGACCAAGTTACACGTGACTGCAGACGGGAGGATGGTCAGCATCAGCACGGAGGTCTCGGCTGCCAGGCGAGCTCTCGTGACAAAGGTCTTTCCTGTCATCGGGTTGTTTTGAAATGAACCACCGAGAAGGAAAGAAAGGGCATCTTTCTGTGCGTGTGTCCTTGTGAATCCTGCACATGCTTCTCTGTTCTGTCCCAGGTGGCCAAGCTCCCTCAGGTGGTGCAGCAGCAGACCCCGGTGGCTGGCATCCCACAGGTCGCCTCCGCTTCCCAGCAGGTAGGTGCAGGAGGGCAGCCCTCGGGAAGTTCCCACGGGGCTTCTCAGCAGCCTCCGTGGGAGTTCCTGGCTTTCCTCCTGAGAAAGGAGAATTCTGATTATAGAGAATCACTCTGATTTCCATCATACAAGACACTCAGACTCAGGGCCGAAGGCACTCACTTATAGCTCAGTGGTGTCCTCGGCCGCAGGGAAGCTACAGATGTGACCACTGAGGACAGCCTGGCGGGCGGCTGTCACAATCATTTCCTCCACAAAATGTGGCGCATGAAAGTGGCCTTCCCACATCTTTATTTCCAGAACCACAGAGTGTGTGTTTCAAGAAATCAAAGCCAGTCGACCCTGGAGCAGCGTGGGGGTGGGGGCAGCACCAGCTGAGCAGCTGAGAGTCTGTGTCGGACTCAGGCTGCCTCCACACACCCCGTCCCAGCCCGAGTGGCTCCAGGGACAGCCTGACCGTCAGGGCTGATGTCCCCACCAGCCCGGCCCTCAGCCTCACTCGCCCGGGGCATCGCTCCAGCACCGGCCGTTTCGTCTCCTTGTTTGGTTGGCCCAGTGGCCATGTTTCAACACGCGGGGTATTTTCACATTTCTCCAAAGAACCCACGCTGACTAAGTCTGACCTCGCGGCCCCGGGGCGTGGTTTGCCAGGCAGCTGGCCTGCACCCAGGATAGGTGACGGTTTCTGTTTCGGCCAGGCTTCCCCGCAGACGGTGACCCTCACGCAGGCGGCGGCGGGGCAGCAGGTGCAGATGATCCCCGCGGTGACGGCGGCCGCCCAGGTGGTCCAGCAGAAGCTCCTGCAGCAGCAGGTGGTGACCACGGCGGCGGCCCAGCTGCAGAGCCCGGGCGTCCCCAACCCCACGCAGGTGCCGGCCGGCGCCGACAGCCCCAGCCAGCAGCCCAAGTTACAAATGCGAGTCCCCGCCGTCCGGTTAAAGACGCCCACCAAGCCTCCGTGCCCCTAGTCCGGAAGGCGGGCGCCTCGGGCCACCACCAAGCAGGTCTCCATCGGGCCAGAACCGGCAGGTGCCCTGGGGCCACGTCCTGTCCTGTGAGGTTCAGCCCCTGCAGAGCGGCAGCGAGTGGAGCATCCGCAGCGCGCGCTCAGGCTGATCGAAGCTTCCGTACGGACCAGTGGGAGGCGCACCTTGGCAGCTTCCCTGGGTCCTGCCGCCTCCAGAGCCGCAGGGCTGGGTCTGAGTCTCCAGGACCACTCATCACAGAGCGACTCCAACGGCAGTGCGTGTGCATGACTTCCTGAAGCCGGGCACATCATGGGCAGTGCAGTGCTGGCCTGCGTGCTTCTGTGGACCCAACGGAAACGCGTCAGGGTGCTTGGAGGAGCGGCCACCTGAGGTGGTCCACTCGGACCCGAAACCACCAGGGCTGCTTCCTTCTCTGCTCCGTGTGACTCGCTGGAACCTTCCCAGGAGCCACCTGGTCCCGGGCCATCGAGGCGGTTCTGGCACGAACTCCGCTTGCATGGAGGACAACGCTGGGATCGAACTTCATTCCAAAGAGGAGCCATGTGACTTGTTTCCGTGCAGCTGGCGCCTGCCAGCCGCTCCCCATCCCAGCGCAGCTCCGTCCTTCCCCGCGTTCGGACGTGGGCTGAGGCAGCTCCAGGAGCCGGGGCTCTGGACTCACGTGGTCAGGGCCCAGGCAGGTGCTTTTTTGCAGGTGTCACAGCCCGTGTGCGTGTGCACGGCATGGGGCTCAGTGAGACGTGCCTGTCACCCTCTCCCTTGCTCGTGCCCAGCCGGCCTGTCTGCGGAGCTGGGAACCTGCTCTCACAGGTGGTCTGCTGTGCCGTTTCCCATGGACGAGCTCAGGTTTCTGTGCCGGGGCCCCCCTCACCAGCAGGTGCGTGCCATCGTGCTGTGTGCCAGGCGAACCACGGTTGAGGGCAGATAGGCCATCCGTGTCTTCTCGGGCGCGATGGCAGCAGTTGCAGTGGACACGTCTGGCTGGTGGCGTCTGCACTGGCAGTGCTCCCCACGCACTGTGCTCCATGGACGCGGGGGCGTCTGCCTCGCTCCACACGGGTTGTCGGCTGTGTGCGCCGAGATGAGCTCGTGTCCGGAGTCGCACGGCTCTCCTGCCCCCTCCCCACTGGGCCGCTCTCTGCAGGACGTCTTCTGTCCCCACTGATTCCGTTTGTGTGCATGGCAGTGCAGCGACCCCTAGGGGGCTAGTGAGTGGAGCTCGTGAGGTCAGAGGAAAGGAAAAACCGTGTTGAAAGGGGAAGACACACTTAACATTTCAGGGACCTGGATGTATGGAAACAACCTTAGCCAGGCCTGTGGGTTGTTTGCTACCAGCCAGTGGGCAGGACGGCGCTGAGCGGGCTCCACCTCGTCACGGGGAGACCTCCTGCTTCTCGTGACCCTCGTCATCGTGTGCAGAGCCACGCGCAGAGGTGTTTCTGGCTAATGTTGTGACCGTTTGCGTTCCTGGTCGGCCGAGGGCGCTGGCAGTCCCTCCATGAAATGGCGACGCACTTAGGCTGCCCTCAGAGCTCCCGGGAGCTGAGGCAGAGCCAGAGGGAAGGAGCCGCCGGCCGGTGGAGCGGCAGCTGCTATTGGAGGATCCTCGCTCGGGGCACTTCCTTCAGCCGCTCCACCGCGAAGCGGGGACAGACTGTCCTGTCCCGCGGGGCTCAGGCCCATCCAGGTCAGTAGTCACGGAGGCAAACGCCCTCCTTCCAGTCTTACTTCAGGGGGAGACCTTCCCACTGAGGAGCTAGTGTGGGCTCCGGAGGGGTTTAGGCCCCACACACACATACACCCGGGAGCAGGCTTCCCCAGAGCCGAGTCCGGGAAGGCGGGCTGTGGGCACAGCGCCCGGGAGGCAGGAGCTGGTCCCCACGCAGACGTGGTGCCCATAGGGCTTTTCGTTAGGGTTTTAAGTATTGTAACCAAATAGTTGTTGTGTTTTGAGATTAGAGACTGAGATGTAAATACTTTGTAAACAATCATTTGTACTTGAACAGTAGGGTTTTGAAGAGCACTGATGTCCCCCCACAGAAAGGCTTAATAAACAACTTTTTCATACGCTCTCGCTCTCATCTCGTCTCCCAGGAAAGGGGTGGAAGATGCTGGTTGTCTCGGGCACTTGGCAGAGGGCTCAGTGAGGCTCCCAGGAGGCGGTGGGTGCAGGTGGCGCTGAGGGAGGGACAGGGAACGCAAGCCTGGACTGCAACCCCCTCTGCGCAGTGGAAGACTCAGAACCAGCCACGGGTCTCATGCTCATGGCACTTTTTGAAATATATTTTTATTGATTTGTGAGAAAGGGAGCAGAAATAAACATCAGTGATGAGACTCACTGATCGGCTGTCTCCTGCAGGCCCCCTACTGGGGATCGAGCCCACAACCCAGGCATGTGCCCTGATCAGATCGAGCCCAGGACCCTTCAGTCCACAGGCAGACACTCTGAGGTCCACAGCCATACCAGCCAGGGCTCCCGGCACTTCTTGGTATTTGGATGCTTTTTTTTATGTCCGGGGGGGAGGGGGGGGGGAGAAGTAACTTGAATAGGTGTTTTGGTTACAAAGGCAAAGCCTAAACTGTTCACGAGTAGGAATGTCCATGAACCCAGAGGAAAGCCTTCCTCAGACCTGCAAGAGGTCACCTTGTTCAGGTCCACGTGCCCACGGCCCCACAAGGCAGTGCCGCAGCAGCCTGGGACCACCTCCCCAAGAGGTCCCGGCCACCAGCGAGGCCCCAGCCAGCAGCCTCAAGTTCAGAGGCAGGCAGGCCCCCACCACCAGGTTCAAGGCCCTGCCGAGAGGCCGCATGATGGCTGCAGGAGTCCTGCATTCCAGACGCCAGAGCACGAGCAAGCCGGCTCACAACCACGCTCGGCGGCTCCACCTGGCCAGGTCTCATCCCATCATCCTGAGCCCAACCTAGGCCGCCTTCTGCCTCGATTCTTCCTGGGGGAGGAAAGCAAGCACTCAGCTCCAGGCCCCTCCCTAGTGTTCAACCCCGCCCAGCCCCCCTCCCGGGCCCAGCACCTCCACCCCAGGCCCAGGGTCTCCTGCCCTCGGCCAGGGAGCCGAAGGCACCCGAGACCTCCTCTCGGAGGAGTAGCCTTGCGGCTCCCAGAACCGCCAGGGCCTCACCTTGACGGCCCTCTCCAGCTGGGACAGGGCCTCCTCGTACCGCGGGACCAGGGGCTGCAGGAGCTCGCTGGGGGTGTCGTGCCGCTCCAGCTCGGGCACCCCGGCTTCAGCCAGCATCCGGAGGAATCTCCTCTCCTGGGGGGCATGCCAAGTTCCGGGAGGGGCTCCCATCCGCCCTGCCCCTCCCCACCAGCCCTCGCCTGACCTGCACTTGGAGCAGCAGCGTGAAGGCTTGTCCGGTTTTCCCAGCTCGAGCCGTTCTCCCCACCCTGAAACCAAGCACCGGCGCCTCAGAGCGGCCCCCAGGAACAGCGAGCCCTCCCCCCCAATCCAACCACAGCCCTCACCGGTGCACGTAGGTCCGCAGGTACTGGGGGGCGTCGTAGTTCACCACCAGCTGCACCCCCTGCACGTCGATGCCGCGGGCAGTGGCATCTGTGCTGATGAGGCTGTTGAGAAGCGAGGGGTGTGGGCCTGCCTGAGACTGGGAGCCCCCCGCCCCCTACAGACACACTGGGGGCCAGGCAGACACTGGAGCAAGCATCCTCCCAGGGCACTCACAGCTGGATCTTCCCCTGTTCAAACTGCTTCAAGATCCACTTCCTCTGGCCGGGCCCGTAGCGGGAGGAGAACTCGGCCACCGTCACGCCACCGAAAGCCTGGACGAGCAGGAAGAGCCTGGAGGGAGAGCCGCTGGGCAGAGAGCGCGCCTCCCACAGCCCCGCCCGCCCCGCGCTGCCTGCCCGGCCTCACCTGTGGGAGTGCTCCCGGGAGTTGGTGAAGCAGAGGATCCTGGAGCAGCCCAGGTGCAGGATCAGGTGCAGGACCACCAGCGGCTTGGAGCGCAGGCGGCAGGGCACGTAGTGGTGCTGGGGAACAGCGTGGGGTTGGCTCGGCCTGAGCACCCGGGAGCCACCCTCCCCATCCCCCCTCACCCCGTGCCCCCAGCTCACCGAGAGCCCTGCAGGGAAGGTGTACTTCCCGCCGGCGTCCACATCCATGTCGGTGCCTGCCGGAGCCCCGCGCGCAGGCCGCGTGGAGAAGAGCCAGGGCTGGTGCAGGCCCAGCTGCTGCAGCTTCTCGGGATTCTGGGTCAGCGTGGCCGAGAAGAGCAGCTTCTGCAGGGGCATCTGAGGGCAGCAGGTGCTGGAAGAGCACAGACACTGGGGCGCAGCCGGGCTGGCCACCCGCCCTGACCCAGACAGACCGACCGGGCACTCCCCCAGGGCAGGGCAGGGAGGGCAGGGCAGGGCCGAGCTGGGGCCAGTACCTGGCAGCGGTCACGACCTGGGGCCGCCGTCTCTGGAGCAGAGCAAAGGGGTCCTTGGCCCCCTCCCCCGGGAAGGCCGCCGCCACCACACGGGGGAGCCAGGACTGGTGCATGCTGTCGATCATCCGGTCGGCCTCGTCGACAACCTGTCGACGAGGAGGCAAGCCAGGTGGGTGCGGTGGCCTCAGCGGGGCCCGAGCCTCCCCCGGGGTGGGGGGCTGGGGGGGGGCATCCTACCAGGAAGCGGAGGTGCTTGAGGCTGAACCCCGGGGTCTGGTCGACGTGGTCCACCAGGCGGCCGGGAGTGGCCACCACGATGTCAGCCAGGCAGCGGAAGCCATCCACCCTGCAGAGCGGAGGGCACTCAGCCAGGCCCCACGGGCCCCGAGCCGGCCGTGCCCTCCTGCGCCCGCCCCCCCGGGGCCCTGCCCAGCAGCACCTACGTCTCCTGGACGAGGCTCTCCTGCTCCTTGGCCAGCGACTTCTGCCCGGTGACCAGGGCGACGCGCAGAGGCGTGGCGTCCGTGTAGGCGTGGAACACCTTGCTCACCTGCAGGACACCACGTCACCGCCCGCCCGAGGCGTCCCAGGGGAAGGGCTCTGGGGCAGCCCAGCCCGGGGCCCTCATACCTGCTGGGCCAGCTCCTTGGTGGGCAGCACGACCAGGGCACGCACCTGGCACACCGCTCGCTGCAGCAGGGCCTGCGGGGAGGAGGACCGCGGTGACCGCTGGACCCCGCCCGCCGGCCCCGCCCGCGGCCTGCAGGGAGGGAGGCCCCGCGCTCACCTGCACCACGGGTATGACGAAGGCCAGGGTCTTCCCGCTGCCCGTCGGGGCGGAGACACAGAGGTCCCTGGGCTGGTAGCCGCCTCTGCCCACCAGGAACCCATGGGCGGCGCTCTCCAGGAGAGCAGGGATGACTGCCGCCTGCACTGGAGGGGAGAGGAGGCGCCGGTCAGGCTCACGCAGGGGCAACCGTCCGTCAGCACAGGGACCGGGGCCGATCCGTGACCTCGAGCTGGAGTGCTCTCCCGAGGGCTGTGTCGGTGCAGGGCTGCCCCCCATGGCTCCGGAGGAGTCCGGGCCCCCGGCCCCCGGCCCCCGGCCCGAGGCCGGAGCACCTGGGAAGTAGGACGAGATGCCGTGGGCACGCAGCTTCCTCTGCAGGTCAGGGTGGACTTCCGGGACGTCCTCGAGAGGCACCAGGCCTTCGGTGACATTCTTCCCGACGCGGCGCGGCTCGGCCAGCCACGTGGGCAGGAAAGGCTGGACCTGTGGCAAAGGGAAGACATGGGGGCCAGGTGACGGCTCCCCACCCTGCCTGGGAGCGCGGCCGCGGAGGCTTTGCCTGGGGTGGCTGGTGTTGCTCGGTGACTAAAATATCAGTCCGCGCGTAGAAGGGTCCCGGCTTCGATGCCAGAGCAACACCTGGCCTGCAGGTCTGTCCCTGCCCAGGTCAGGCGGGGCAGGAGAGGGAGGAAACCAATGCATGTGTCTTGCCCTCACATCCATGCTTCTCCCCCGCCAACGCCTCCCACTCTCTCTCTTTAAAAAAACGGAAAAAATGGCCCCAGGCTTGGGTTTTCAACAAGAAAACCCTATAAGATACAAGCTGAGGCGCAGGCGCCCTCCCCGCAACTACCCCACGGAGCGCCGCTGGGTTGACAGCAGCCACCCAACCCTGCAGCTCCGCACCCCGATCCCGGCCGCCCCACCTCCAGGCCGCTCACCTTCGGCGCCCTGCTCCTCCCGAAGCCCCCGAGCAGCAGAGGGTGGGCTGGGGGTGCACCGGCCGCGTCGGGGGGCTGTTCCCCTGGGGCTTCGGGCGGCCCCGCGGCCTCGGCGTCCACGCTGCCCTCCCGCGGCGCCTCCTCGCTGCTCTCTGCGGGGCGGAAGCCAGGCAGGGGCGGCGCGTCAGCCTCCGGCAGACCCGGGTCCCGGCCCGCGCTCCGGCCCCTCCCGCCCCGCCGGGCCCACCTGCGCCGGCCGCCTCGCCGTCCTCTCTCCGCCGCTTGCTGCGCGGGGCCTGCGGGCTCCCGGGCGCCCCGCCGCCCTTGCACCTCCGCGGCCGCCGCCGCCGCCGCTTCCCCGGCGCGCCCTCGGTCTGCGCGGCCGCCTCGGGCTCCTGCTGCCGCGACTGCTGCTGGCGCTGCCGCTCGAGGGCCCGGCTCTGCAGCCGCTCCAGCAGCGCGCGGGCCCGGCCGTCCGCCTCCGCCTCCGCCCCGGCCGCCTCGGGCCCCGCGTACCGCGCTACATGGAAGAGCGCCATGCCTGAAGCCCGCGCCTCTGCGGCCGGGCGCGCGGCGATGGCGACAGGCGACGCACAGGGAGTCCCAGTCTCTGATTGGTGGAGCGCCGGCAGGGGGCGGGGCGCGTCCCGGCAGGCGGCTTTGGCGGCGGAGGCGCGGGCCGTGACGTCAGTGCTGCGCCGGAAGTCGGCGCGTGGGTCGGGCTTCTCGCGCGTGGGGCGGCGGCATGGAGCGGGCCCGCGGCCCCAGGGGCGCGCGCCGGGCGCTGGGCCGCCTGCTGGAGGCGGTGCTGGCGGACCGCGCGGAGGCCAACGCCGTGTTCGACATCCTGGCGGTGCTGCAGGTGTGGCGTGCGGGCTGGGCGGGCGGCCGGCCGCGATCGCGGGGTCGGAGGCCGGCTGAGGGCCCCCGGGCTGGGCCTCGGGGGAGTCCGGGCTGCCAGGCGGGGCCCAGGGCCTCACTGGGGGGTCTGCTCTCATCGCGCGGGGCCCCGGCTGGAGGGTCCGGCGGGAGGCGGCCGACAGAGGTGGGTGGCGAGTCCCGCTGGGGTCATGGTTGTGGTTCGATGGAGCGGAGTCCCAATGGGGACCCTGAGCGGGGGCCGCCGTGTCCCGCGGGGCTCCCTGAGACCGGCCTCTCCCCGCAGGCGGAGGACCCGGAGGAGATCCAGGATGCGGTGCGCGCGTGCAGCCGCCTGTTCGGGGCCTTGCTGGAGCGGGGGGAGCTGTTTGTGGGCCAGCTGCCCCCAGAGGAGACTGTCATGGCAGGTGAACGGCCTGGGAGCCACGGCCTTGTCCCTGGCGAGGCTGGAGGGAGACGTGATGAGCCCCCAAAAAACCTCTTCACCCTTGGAATGGGTGTCTCTCTCTCTCTCTCTCTCTCTCTCTCTCTCTCTCTCTCTCTCTCTGGCTCGGGGGCATGCTGGTCTGGGGTTGTGGCTTCCACTCGTGTGTCTGACTGGGCTGGGCAGTGGGCATGGACGTGGGCTGACACCCGCCCCCCTCGCCCACCGGCAGGGTCGCAGGGGGCCAACCGGAAGTACAAGGTGTGGATGCGGCATCGCTACCAGAGCTGCTGCAACCGCCTGGCGGAGCTCCTGGCCCATCCCTCCTTCCAGGTCAAGGTGAGTTTTGGGGACCCCGACCTTGCTTGTCCTGAGTGTTCCCCGCACCCCAGCCACGAGCCCCCCCCCATACACACACACATAATGGAGGTTGGACTCTTGTTTTCCCCTGCTTGCTTCCTTTTTGGCTGGTTTTGTGGGGGCGGACAGTCAGGCTGAAGTTGGGGGGCGCTCTGTGGGCCGGTCCACGGGAAGGTGACGAGCTGTCGGGGCACCGCGGCCACCCCCCCTCCCCGCCCCCAGGAGCTGGCCCTCGGCACCCTCATGAAGTTTGTTCAGCTGGAAGGAGCGCACCCCCTGGAGAAGCCCAAGTGGGAGGGCAGCTACCTGTTTCCCCGCCAGCTCTTCAAGGTGAGGGGCCGGTGCCAGCGGGAGCCAGGGCGGGAGGCTGTCGCTGGGACCTCGGGGAGGGCCTCCCGGGGCGTCTCTGGTCGTGGGCTCGGCCAGGTGGGCCATCCTGGGACGGAGAAGTCTCACCTGCCCGCCCCGCGCCGCGCCCAGGCGGTGGTGGACGGCCTGCTGTCCCCGGAGGAGGACTGCTCGCTGCTCCTCTCCCAGTTCTGCACGTACCTGGAGCACGACGACCTGCGCTACCACGCCATGCGGGCGGCCACGGACGCCGTGGCCAGGGTCGCCGACGCCCACGCCGAGGTGAGGGGGGGGGCCGGCGGCGCAGCAGGGGGAGGGGGGCGGAGCCCCGCAGCTGGGGGAGGGGATGGAGCCCCGCAGCTGGGGGAGGGGGGAGGGGAGGGGGCGGGCGGAGCCCAGGAGCTCAGGAGCTCAGGCCCGGCCCCCGCAGGTGCCCCTGGCTTTCTGGAACAACGTGTTCACACTGCTGTCCGCCGTGAGCCTGCCCCGCCAGGAGAGCGACGTGGCGAGCTTCTACGTGAAGCACGCAGGTGAGCGTCCAGCCGGGCCTGCAGGCGGGCACCAGGCCCTGCACCCCGGGCCTCATACCGCCTCTCCCCTCTCCCTCGCAGAGCTGTCGGACAAGTGGAAGGTCACTCATCTGAAGGTGAGTCTCTGGGCGGGGGGGCTCCCTGGGAACAGGCCCGTCCTGGGGTGCAGCCTCAGGCGGCAGGTGGGGGACTTGGGGAGAAGGGAGCCCCCCGTTTCCTGGCCCGGACAGCCCCTGGTCACTCAGAGGACCCCCGGGAGCAAGGAGGTCCCAGGCCACCTGAGCGTCACGTGTCTGCTGGGGGGGGGTGGACTCCGCGTGGCAGCCCAAACGTCTGGACAGGGCCTTGGGTTCGGGCCCGGGCGCTCCGGCTTCCACGTGGCGGGCGGGGGCGGGATTGGGGGGACGGGAGCACCTGGTGCAGCCTCGGACCCTTTCCTCACCAGGAGCACAGGAAGGCCTTCCAGCTCATGTGGCTCGGCTTCCTCAAGCACAAGGTAGGCCGGGAGGGAGGGGGCTCCAGTCGGCCTGGCCTGTGCGGGGCGGCAGACGGGACCCTGACCGCTCACCCCCGCTCCCGCCCCCCCAGCTGCCCCTCAGCCTCTACAAGAAGGTGCTGGTGATCATGCACGAGTCCATCCTGCCGCACCTGGCCCAGCCCAGCCTCATGATCGACTTCCTCACCCGCGCCTATGACGTCGGTGAGCGGGGCACCCAGAGGGGCCCCACCGGTGGGGCCGGTCCTTGTCTCCCTGTGAGACCGAGGGGGATGCGGGGGGCCTGGGCAGCTGACTCCGTCGCCTGGAGCCTGGCCTCCACTTTCCGGACTGGTCCTGGGGGGTTCGGTGCAGGCTGGCTGCAGCTCCGTGCCGTGTCTGTCTGCAGGGGGCGCCATCAGCCTTCTGGCCTTGAACGGGCTCTTCATCCTGATTCATGAGCACAACCTGTGAGTGTCCGTCTGGGGAGTGAGGCCTCTCCTTTCCCTTCGCCTCTGTCCCCGACCCCCTTCCCCTCCCCCTGCCGCTCTGGCAGGGCTCAGCAGCTCCAGGAGCTCCTGGGGCCCTGACCTGTCCGCTTGCTTCGTGCTCCCCCCTCCTGCTGCCCCTCAGGGAGTACCCCGACTTCTACCGCAAGCTCTACGGCCTCCTGCACCCGCCCGTCTTCCACGCCAAGCACCGGGCGCGCTTCTTCCACCTGGCCGACCTCTTCCTGTCGTCCTCGTGAGTGGGGGCGCGGCTGTCCGGGGGCGGGGGGGTGGGGCGCGGGCCGTCCGGGGGCGGGGGGGGGGCCGGAGGGCTGGCGTGCGGGCAGCCTCTCACGCCCGCTCTCCCCAGCCACCTGCCCGCCTACCTGGTGGCTGCCTTCGCCAAGCGCCTGGCCCGCCTGGCCCTGACGGCGCCCCCCGAGGCCCTGCTCATGGTGCTGCCCTTCATCTGCAACCTGCTGCGGCGGCACCCGGCCTGCCGCGTCCTGGTGCACCGGCCTCGGGGCCCTGGTGAGTGCCGGCGGGCCCGGGGAGGCGGGCGCGGGGCCGGGGAGGAGAGGCCGGCGGGGCCAGGAAGGGGAGGCCGGTGTGGGGCCCTGGTGAGTGCTGGCGGGGCCAGGGAGGGGAGGAGGGGCCCTGGTGAGTGCCGGCGGGGCCAGGGAGGGGAGGTCGGCCCGGGGAGGGGAGGCCAGCGCAGGGCTCGCGGAGGCCGGCGCGGGGCGGGTGGCAGGGAGGACAGGGACACGGCTGTCTTGTCCCTAGAGCTGGACGCCGACCCCTACGACCCCGAGGAGGAGGACCCCGCCCAGAGCCGCGCCCTGGAGAGCTCGCTGTGGGAGCTGCAGGTGAGCCGGCGCCCGGGTCCGTCCCGCCCCTGGTTACCGGGCGCCTGACCTCGGTCTGCAGCTGCCCCTCTCCCTCCAGGCGCTGCAGCGGCACTACCACCCCGAGGTGTCCAAGGCCGCCGGCGTCATCAACCAGGCGCTGTCCATGCCCGAGGCCAGCATCGCGCCCCTGCTGGAGCTCACCGCCTTCGAGGTGAGGGCCGGGCGGCTGGGGAGGGGGCGGTGAGGGCTCCGGGCGAGAGCGTCCGTCCGTCCGTCCGCCCGCCCGCAGATCTTCGAGCGGGACCTGAAGAAGAAGTGGCCGGAGGCGGTGCCGCTGGAGTTCATCCCCCCGCCGGGCCTGCTGGGCCGGCGTGACGACCTGTGCGCCCAGCACTTCTCCCTCCGCTGACGCTCCCCTCCCCCGTGGGGGGCTGGGCAGGCGGGGGCTGGCCCGGGGCTGCCCGCTGGCTCCCACCTGCCAGGACTGCACCCCCCGAGCCGACTGGGGCCCTGACCCCGGCTCCTCTCGGCCCCACACGGAGCAGCCCCGGGCACTGGGCCCTCAGGGAGGCTCAGCAGCTTCCTGCCCCCCCGTAGCCAGCCCCTGTGTCAAATGCCCTTTCCGGCCTGAACCCAACAGCACAGACGTCTCCCCTCACACCCGCCAGCCCAGGGCGGGGCCCTGACCACAGACCCACCTCGTCAGGTCCCGGCGGAGCTTAAAATGCTGGGGGGGGGGGGGGGTGCTGGCACGGCTCAGGGGTTGAGTTCGACCTGGGAACCAGGAGGTCATGGTCCAATGCCCAGTCAGGGCACAGGCCCGGGTAGGGGCTCAATCCCCAGTGGCGGGAGTGCAGAAGGCAGCCGGTCCATAGTTCTCTCCTCAACGTTTCTCCTTTTGTGAAACCAATAAAAGTATAATTTAAAGTAAAATGGAGTTTGCTTCTGTGACCAAGGTGCTGGCCTGGTGTGTCCTCCCTCCCAGACCCCTGCCTGGCATCCCCAACCTGTGACGTTGGGTTCAGCATTTTAGGAGAAGCATCCCAGAGGCTGGTCTTGACTGGTCACCTGCTGTGGGGGAGGGTCCCCTGATGGAGGCAGCCCAGCAATAAGGAGTCGCCACTCAATGCTCAAGTGCTTGCCAGGGCATCGGCTGCAGACAAGTCAATGCCTGGAGGCAGGTCCTGCAGCGTTGGGTGGGGCAGACGCTTCCCCTCGGCCGTGAGGACAGCGTGTCCCCTGCAGGGGCTGGTGAGGCCAGGCCCCTGTCCAGCAGAGGGGAGCTAGCTGCACGCCCTCGGTGACAGCTGTCGCGCCCAGTGTGCTGTTCCCAGGTCCCCGCTGCTCAGGAGGTCGAGCCCGTCCTGAGGGCACAGGCCATGGGCAGAGCGGGAGCCGCAGGGGCCAGCTTTCACGTCTGATTGCTGGGACTCCGGAGCACGTGGCCTCTGCTCAGGCTGAGCTAAGCTGCAGCTGGGCTCCTGGGGTCACAGGTCAGGGAACCCCGCTTGGCAGTGCGCCTAGGTTTGCTCTGTGTCCAAGGCCTGGAGTCGCTGCTCCAGTGGCTCCGGGGGTGGGGGGCCCTCCTGTCCAGCAGATGGGGTTCGGCCAGAGCTCGACCACCATCCGAGAGGGTCAGGGTCGGCCGGTGAGGACAGTCCTGCCGGGAGGGCCTGGAGGAGAGAGAGGTGCTGGAGCCCGGCCCGTGTGGCTCAGCAGTTGAGCACTGACCTCCAAGCAGGAGGTCACGGTTCGGTTCCGGGTCCAGGGCACAGGCCCAGGTTGCAGGCTCCATCCCCCGTGGGGGGCATGCAGGAGGCAGCCGGTCCAGGATGCTCTCTCATCACTGATGTTTCCATCGCTCTCTCTTCCTTTCCCTCTGAGATCAATTAAAAATAATTAACGAAGAAAAGCTGGGACTCCCAGCCCACAGACTGTGACCTCGGGATGAGTGGGCCGGGCCTGAGCTCCCTCCCTCCCGCCCGGGGCCGCCCACGCGTGCGGAAATGACTGATGTTTGCGGGCTCGGCCGGCAGCCCGGGGGGCGACGCGGAGACAGATGGCCCTGTCCGTCTGCATTAGCGCAGATAAGCCTCTTAATTTAATTCCGGAACGACTGCCGGGCGCTTAAAAGAGCGAGAGGAGTCACAGATGAGGCCTCGCGCCGTTTGTCCCGGGCGGTGACGGCCGGCTTCCCGGGTCGCGGTTTAATTAACTCGGCGTCGGGGACGCGGCTCCCCTCCCGTGGGCGCCTCTGTCCGCCCGGTGCTGCTTCTCGGGGGGCGTCGGGGGCTCTGGGTCCGGGGCCTCGCGCCCCAGCGGCCGGGCCTCCCGGGCAGCCTGTGGCCGAGGTGCCTCGCCTCTTCCCGCTGCCACTGGCTTTTTGGCGTTCGGGTTGGAGCCGGCGGGATTCTGTGAGAAGATGAAAGTGGGGCACTTCTCCCAGCAGCAGGACGCCAGGAACCGGGGGGCTGGGGGCTGGGGGGGCACAAGGGGGTTAGGGGCCCCAGGGAGCTGGACGCCACTGGAATGAACGACTTCCCTTTCTGCAAGGGACGCTGTCCAGAGAGTAAGGCCTGACTGGTGTGGCTCAGTGGATAGAGCGTCAGCCTGCAGACTGAAAGGTCCCGGGTTCGATTCCGGTCAAGGGCATGGACCTTGGTTGCGGGCACATTCCCAGTGGGGGCGTGCAGGAAGTGGCTGATGGATGTTTCTCTCTCATGGATGTTTCTGACTCTCTATCCCTCTCCCTCCCTCTCTATGGAAAATCAATAATATATATATATATATATATATATATATATATATTTTTTTTTTTTTTTTTTTTAAGAGGCTACAGGCACCATACATAGGCAGGTGGCCGTGGCCGTGTGCCGATAAAACTTTATTTATAAAAACAGGCGAGGGGCTGTGGGTCCTCCTTGGCTAACTCCTGCCTTAGAGTGACAGGGGTCGCGCCTGGTCCAGGCTGGAGGGGGAGTGGGGAGCAGGAGACGTGGGACAGGGACCCGGCCCTGGATGCTGGCCAGCTCAGACCCGTGGACGAGACGCAGGCCCGTGTCCTCCGAGTCCCGTCTTCGGGACCCTGAGGCCGGTCTCGGTTCCCCTCTCAGCTCTGCTCCCTCGGGTCCGACGGGGCAGGCGCAGGAGGATGGGCACGGCAGGAGGCCAGCCCGCCGTCTCCGCGTCCACGGGCAGTTCTGCGGGGGGCGTGAGGGCGGTGCATGCAGAGGGCGGCCGTCGGGGCGGCCGGACAGGAAAACCGGGAAAAGGCACGTGGTTTGGAGCTGGAGCGGCGTCAGCGCTGCCCGTGGGCCCCCTCTCCACTGTCCCGGGGTCAGGACCTGCCGACCCCCCACCCTGAGGCCCAGATGAAGTCCCTGCCCGAGCCGGCGTGGGCACAGGGGGGTCTGAGGGCTCCGGGCGTGGGCACAGCCGGGTCCTCTGGCTTTGGGCATGGGCACAGCGGGGTCCTATGGCTCCAGGCACGGGCACAGCCGGGTCCGGGGGCTCCGGGCGTGGGCTAGGCGGGTCCTATGGCTCCAGGCACGGGCACAGCCGGGTCCGGGGGCTCCGGGCGTGGGCACAGCAGGGTCCTCTGGCTCCGGGCGTGGGCACAGCAGGGTCTCAGAGCTCCGGGTGTGGGCACAGCTGCGTCCTCAGGGCTCGGACCCAGGATCGGCGGGAAGGGCAGGCTCCTGCCCAGGCCTCCGGGGCTGCGTGGGGCCGGGTCCGGCCGGGGTCAGTGCCGGCCGTGCTTGACCCAGTTGCGGATCGCCCACTTCTGCCCGGAGCACCGCTGCAGCACCAGCCGCAGCCCGAAGTTGGCGTCCTTGGACATCTCCACCTCCAGACACCGGCCCGTGTCCCGGCTCACGATGGGGCCGCCCTGCGCGAGGCGGGGAGACCGAGTCAGCGCGGCGCCTGGGCCCGGCGTGGGCGCGTCCGGGGTGAGGGCTGGCTGCCCCCATTCCTCTGCCCTCCACCCCCCCCCGCCCCCGTCAGCCATCCCACCGGCTCCCGGCCCCGCCTGCTGACCCGCCGGCCGCGGACCTGGGTGAAGTCCCATAGCCGCTGGGCGGGCCGGGCCACCTCCTCGCACTTCCTGAGGGCCGGCGTGCGGGCCCTGCCGTCGTCCACCAGGCACTTGGAGTCGGGCAGGAAGGCGGTGGAGCCGAGGGGGCCGAGCTGCAGCAGGCCCTCCGTGCTGTAGCGCACGAGCTGGCAGGGGGGGGGGGGGGGATGGGGGGGGAGCAGGGTGACTCTGAGCTCCAGTGGGGGGGAGCCTGCCCAGGGGCAGCCCTGCTCCCAGCCTGTCCTGCTCCATCTGAGGCTGTCTGTGTGCTGATAAAGCTTTATTTATAAAAACAGGCGAACCCTGACCGGTGTGGCTCAGTGGATAGAGCGTCAGCCTGTGGACGGAAGGGTCCCGGGTTCAATTCCGGTCAAGGGCATGTGCCTTGGTTGGGGCACATCCCCAGTGGGGGGCGTGCAGGAGGCAGCTGGTCGATGTTTCTCATCAATGTTTCTAACTCTGTCTCTCTCCCTCTCTGTAAAAAAATCAATAAAATTTTATATATATATATTAAGTTTAAAAACAGGTGTGAGGCTGTGGGACACCTCAGCCTCTTCTCTGGAACTTTGCTGGGAACCCCACCCGCACCCCCAGCGCCTGGCCTCCCAGCCACGGTGACATCGGAAGCCCAGTGCTCCCCCCTGCGGTTGGGGCGCCCCCCGCACCCCCACCTGGGAGGACATCCCGTGGCAGGGGTAGAGGATGGCTCGGTCATCGTCCTCCGCTCCCTGGTCCAAGCAGTAGCCGCTGGCTTTGCTGTTTCTCACCTGCAACCGGGATCCACAGGAGAAGCCAGTGGCGAGGGGTGCGAGGCCGAGGGGCGGCCGAGGGGGTCTGCTCTGGGCAGGTGAGGGGGGTGAGGGGAGGGGAGGAGAAGAGGGGTGATCTGTAAGGATGGCCCTGCTTGTCCCTGGGGGAGGCAGACAGACGTGCCTCCCTCCCAGCTGAGCAGGGACTCAGCGCACAGGGATGTCCATGAACATATGGGGGGCGGGAGGGGAGCACTGGGGCGTCAGGACCAAAGGGGGCGGACTCGGCCCAGGGGGAGCTGCCTGCCGGGCCTTGGGGCGGCGGTACCTCTCCGTACGTGAGGGTGTTGTTGTAGGTCCGCATCTCGGGGTACACGTTCTCCAGGTACCACTGGAAGCTCCGGCACTTCAGCCTCCGGCGCAGGGCCAGCCGCTCCGACACGTCCCCGAAGTCCACGCCCGGGTTCTGGGGCGGAGGGGAGAGGGGGGAGGGGTGGGCCCGGGGTCCCGGCCTCCGCGGGAGGGGGTAGGGGGTCGGCAGGGGGTCCAGGCCTCCGCCGGGAGGGGGAGCGGGATCTGGGGGTCCCCGCCCCGGGCCTCCCGGGGGCGCTGTCCCGGTGGGGGCCCCCCGGCGGCTCACGGTCATGGGCAGGTTCCAGGCCATGTACACGTGCGACTTGAAGCCGTCCATCCACACCTCGGCCGCGCGCAGCGCGTTGCGCTTGGCGTAGTAGTCGATGTCGTTGTTGTAGGGCTTCCGGGTGCGCTCGATGTGCGCCACGCGCGAGCAGGGCAGCACCTCCATGCTGCCGCCGCACTGCCACACCTGCCCACAGGACGGCGCTCTTCAGCCCGCCCCCAGCCCCTCACGGGCCCGCCCACAAACCGCCCCAGACCAATCACAGCCCCGCCTGGCCTCAGCCCCGCCCACAGGCCTCAACCCCGCCCACAGGCCCATGGCCCCTCCCACATGCCCTCATGGCCCCGCCCATAGGCCCTCACAGCCACGCCCACAACCAAATCACAGCCCCACCCAGACCTCAGCCCCGCCCACAAACCAATCACAGCCCCGCCCCTGGCCTCAGCCCCACCCACAGACCTCAGACCCCCATGGCCCCGAATGCCCCAGCCCCGCCCACCGCCCCTCACAGCCCCGCCCCGGCCTCAGCCCCGCCCCCATACCCATGGCCCCGCCCATATGCCACAGCCCCGCCCCAGACCTCAGCCCCGCCCCCGGCCCTCACAGCCCCGCCCCAGACCTCAGCCCCGCCCACAGCCCTCACAGCCCCGTCCACCAGCTCCTTGAAGCCCAGCTCACCTCATTTTCCGCCCCACCCTGCTTTTCCCAACCCCGCCCCCGTCCTACCAGCCCCGCCCACATCTCTTCCGAGCCCCGCCCAGCCTTTCCCAGCCCCGCCCCCAGCACTCCCCGCCCTGGACACGCCCCTGGCCCTTCCCCAGCTCCATGCTGCTCACAGGCCCAGGACACCCCTGTGTGCTGGCCCCAGGTCCGTGGCCAAAGAGGAGCCTGGGCCTGGGGTTCAGGCCCCAAAGCACGGAAGAGACCGCCCCCGGGGGCACTGGCTACCAAATTCCCCGGCTCTTCACGTGACAGGACACAGACAACAGAGGGACACTCCGTGGGGGACCGGCTCCCAGCGCCAGTCTCCGTGGGAGCTGGGGAGATGGTGCACACCACGGGCTTCCCCACGGGTCACCCGACTGGACAGACACTGCCCTCCCTCAGGTGGCCGCTGCTGCTGCCCTCCAGGCCCCATCCCACTGCTCCCCCCCAGCCCCGGTCCCCCAGTTCCCCTCCCCCCAGGCCGGTCCCCCTGTTCCCCTCCCCAGGCCGGTCCCCCTGCTCCCCGGCTGCACACAGCCCTGAGTGTTCCCAAGGATCCAGACTCGGCAAGCGATTGCTTTATCAGACACGCGGGATTCTCTCTGTGCACCTGGGGGGGCGCCTGCTATGACATCCGGCAATGAAACACTTACAGAGGAGAGAAAACTCATTTATACACATCGTTTTAAAAGGCTGGGGGGCGCTGACAGCAGGCGCATGGAGCTGGCTGTGTGACGGCATTTAGCCGGTGCCCCGAGGTGATCAGACATTCATCAAAGGGAAGGGGAGGTGAGCGCTGCTCGGTCCGATTTACAGCCCTCGTCACGCGACCCCTCGGTTTTAACCGCCACGCCTGCGGCAAGCGGGTCGGAAAGGGGCCACGTCGATACACGGCCTATAAATTTTTAAACACTTGCCTTAAATAATCTCTTCTGTGAATGAAAAGGCCGCAGGCAAAACATCAAAACAACAATAAAAAATAAATAAATAAATAAAAACACCAGAAACACACAGAACAAGAACCACGCACCAATCAGAGCTCTCCCACAGCTCAACCCCGGGAGCCCACGGCCCAGGTCCCTGGATGGGTGGGTATCTTACAGAGCACCCTGACCGCACCCTCGCTTCCATGCACAGCAAGCCCTCAGGTCCCAGAGGCCTGGGCAGGAGGCCGCCCCCACACCAGCATCAGCAGCTCCTGGGAGTCAGGGGTGGACGGCGGCCCCACCCACGGCCGTCCCACCACCCCAAGTCACACCCCCTCTGACAGAGCAGGAGGGCGCTGTCGGCCTGGGGTCCTCGCTGGACCCATCCTGTGGGGCCAGCACCTCCGGCCCCTGAACCGAGTTCCCCACACAGAGGGACTCGGGCGCCCACAACCCCGTCGGCACCCCGACTTTCCTTCCACATCCAAAGGCGACAGACACACCAACGGCTCAGGGACGGGCCACATGCCGGGGCCTGGAGGGACAAGCTCCCAGAATCCCCAGCATCCTCGCTGCCCACTCGCTGCGCTCAGCGATGCAGCGAGAATGAATGGCTACCCCCCCTCCCCCGGCCGGCGCGGCTCCGTGGCTGAGCGTCGACCTAGGAACCGGGAGGTCCCGGTTCGATTCCCGGTCAGGACACAGGCCCAGGTTTGAGGTCAAGCAGGAGGCAGCCGATCCATGATTCTCTCTCATCATTGATGTCTCTCTCTCTCTCTCCCTCTGAAATATCTATAACAACAAAAGCGTACTATGCTAATGAGACCGGACGTCCTTCGGGCATCTTTCCGGACGCAGCAGCCGGGGCTGCGAGGAAAGCCAGGGTCCCGGGGGCCAGAGGGAAGCCGGTGCGGGCAGCCGGGGAAGGAAATTTCGTGCACCGGCCTCTAACAGATATATCAGAACGAATGGCTCAGAGGACGGAGATGAGCCTAAGTGCGCATCTTCTGCTGTCAGATTCGGCAGATGTCACGCTCCTTGTGCCAATGCCATCGAGCTCACACGTGGACGCTCGGCGGGGGACACGCAGTCTCGGGCCCACCCGCCGGCACCCCAGCCAGCTCCCCGGGCCGGCTCACCCTCATGCCCAGCTCGATGTTCTCGCCGCCGTACACCTCCATGCCCGGGTCCAGCAGGCCAATGTCCCCAAAGTACTCCCGGTCCACCACGAAGGAGCAGCCGATCATGGCGGGGGTCCTGGGGGGGGCAGACAGTGCGTGTGAGCGAGCGGGGCGGGCCAGCGCCCTGCAGCCCTCTCCCCATCCCCTACCCCCTCCCCTGGGCTCCTGGGCTCTCAGCCGCCTGGACGGTCGCAGGGGCGGTGGGGGGGCCCCCCACAGACTGCTCTCTGCGTCCCTCCGGGCCCGGGGACCCGCCCGGCTGGCCAGTCCGGGGGCTCATTCCAGCCCCGGCATGCAGTCCTGGCCCCTCCGAGCAGGGGATTTAAGAAACCAGGCCCCGGCGCCTTGACCGGTGTGGCTCAGTGAGAAGGCAGGTCCCCGCCGGGCCGGGGCTCAGAGGCCGGGCCCCGGCGGCTCACCGGATGGGCGCGGCCTCGTCCCCGCGGTCCAGCCAGTCCTGGGGCGGGATGATGTACATGCACCACAGCCCCCAGTTGTAGCCGTGGGCGGCGCTGGCGTACTGCTGCACCTCGAACGTGTCGAAGCGGATGTTGTCGATGGCGGGCAGCACGATGCGGCGGCGGTCCTCCCGGATCCGGGTCAGCGCCGGTTCGGCCCTGCGGGCGGCGGGCTCAGGACACCCCTCCCCCCGGCCCACCCCCAGCCCCACCCCCTTCCCTCCACCCCCCGCCTCCCGCTGGCTCCCTGCATCCCACTCGGCCGGTGGGCACACCAAGGTGATCGGACCGCGTGGGCCGGCCCGGCCTTCATGGCTGAGCGATTGAGCATCGGCCTATGAACCAGGAGGTCAGGGTTCGACTCCCGGTCCCGGCACAGGCCCCGGGTGGCGGGCTCCATCCCCAGTGGGGGGCGCTCAGGAGGCAGCCGGTCCATGACTCTCTCTCATTGTGGATGTTTCTATCTCTCCCTTCCTCTCTCTGAAATCCATAAAAATATATTGAAAACTTTTTTAAAAATATACTTTATTGGGTTTTTTTTTACACAGAGAGGAAGGGAGAGGGACAGAGAGTTAGAAACATCCATCAGCTGCTTCCTGCACACCCACCACTGGGGATGTCTCCACAACCAAGGTGCATGCCCTTAACTGGAATCAAACCCGGGACCCTTCAGTCCGCAGGCCGATGCTCTATCCACTGAGTCACACCTGTTAAGGCTATTGAAAACTTTTTTTTAAAGTCGCATTTGGCCCTAACCAGTCTGGCTCAGTGGGTAGAGCGTCGGCCTGCGGACTGAAGGGTCCCGGGTTCGATTCCAATCCAGGGCATGGACCTTGGTTGTGGGCACATCCCCGGTGGGGGGTGTGCAGGAGGCAGCTGATGGATGTTTCTAACTCTCTGTCCCTCTCCCTTCCTCTCTGTAAAAACCAATACAATATATATTTAATTTTTTAAAAAAAACCAGTTGCATGTGGAGGGGACGCGTGGCCCAGCCCCGCCTCACCAGCCGGCGCTGAACTCCACGTGGGCGTCGAAGAAGCCGACGACAGGCGCAGTGGCCACCCTCCAGCCCTGCAGCCGCGCCCGGATCAGGCCCTCGCGCCGGCTGTTCCGGACGACCTTCACCAGCCCCGGGTACCGCCTGTGCACGTACTGGTCCAGGCTGGCCTTGAGCTCCGCTGGGCGGGGGCAGAGAGACCCTCAGCGCCCGGCCCCGCGTGCCCGTCCACGTCCCAGCCGCGTCCCAGCCACGTCCCAGCCACGTCCCAGCCACGTCCCATCTCCGGAGACCACACTGAGACACCCTCAGCGCCCGGCACCGCGTGCCGTCCACCAATACAATATATATTTAAATTTTTTTTAAAAAAAACAGTTGCATGTGGAGGGGACGCTGTGTCCCTCTCGCCCCGCCTCCCCGCCCCGATGCCCCGCCTCCCCGCCCCGATGCCCCGCCTCCCCGCCCCGCCCCCGCCCGGACGCCCCGCCCCCGCCCGGACGCCCCGCCCCCAGCCCCCTGGATGCGCCACCTCCCCGCCCCGCCCCCCGACGCCCCGCCCGGCCGCCCCGCCCCCGCCCGGGCGCCCCGCCCCCAGCCCCCTGGATGCCCCACCTCCCCGCCCCGACGCCCCACCGCCCCGCCCCGCCCCCCGCCGCCCCGCCCCGCCCCCCGCCGCCCCGCCCGGCCGCCCCGCCCCCGCCCGGGCGCTCACCGTTGTCGCTGTTGTCGTCCACCAGGATGACCTCCTTGAGCAGCGGCGAGGGCGTGTGGTTGACCACGCTGTGCACCGAGCGCAGCAGCACGGACAGCGCCTCGTTGACGAAGATGAACACCACGGAGAGCTGGGGCAGGTCGTGGGCGTAGCTCAGCTGCCGGCACCTGCGGGGGCGGGGGGGGGGGCCGGGCCGGGAGGGAGGGAGGGAGGGGGTGGGGAGGAGGGGGGCAGTGTGAGGGCCAGCTCGGCCAGGGCCCGTCCCAGGCCAACCACAGAGGGCGATCAGAACAGCCCGGCCGGCCCCAGCCGGTGCGGCTCAGTGGATAGAGCGTCGGCCTGCGGACGGAAGGGTCCCGGGTTCGATTTCTAGTCAAGGGCACAGGCCTGGGTTGCGGGCTGGATCCCCAGTAGGGGAGCGTGCAGGAGGCAGCCGATCCATGATTCTCGTCATTGATGTTTCTAGCTCTCCCTCTCCCTTTCTGAAATCAATTAAAATAAATTTTTAAAAAGTTAAAAAAAAAAAAAAAAAAAAAAAAAAAAAAAAAAGAAACAGCCCAGTCAGCCTGGCTCAAGGGTGGAACCGGGAGGTCAGGGTTCGATTCCCGGCCAGGGCACAGACCCGGGTAGTGGACTCCATCCCCAGTGTGGGGCGTGCAGGAGGCAGCTGGTCCATGATTCTCTCTCTTCACTGATGCTTCTCTCTCTTTCTCTCTCTCTCCTCCTTCCTCTTGAAATTAATAAAAATATATTTTAAAAATACTGGGAAAATGTCCTCCGGAGAGGGTTAATTTAAAAACCCACCGGCCATGATGTTATCTGCTCGCTCGCGGTAACCAGAACCTGCCCTCCCACATCTGGCCGACCTGGAAAGTGTCCTCTCCCGCCCAGCGCTGGGCACACGGTGCTGCCCGCACCGGGGCGGACCCGGGCTCGGCCACAGCGGGCCGGCTCAGCCTCACGTCCCTCCGGCCCCGGGCGGGCGGGCGGCGGAGATTTACGGCCGAGCAGAGGCGGTGGCACCAGGCCCCGCAGCCGCCCCGGAGGCCGGCCGGCTGGGAGGCGGCAGAGCCGGCTGGCCTCCAGCACAGGCCGCGGCCGCCCTGGCGGGTCATGGAAATGCCCGCCTCTGCCTCCGGAGACACAGCTCTGGGAGTGGCGGGCGGGTGCTCCCAGGGGGGCTGCCCTGCCGGGACCGGTCGGGCTCCGCGCGGCCGGGAAGCTGTGTCTGGTCCTGGAGACCCGGGACAGCTGGGGAGGGTCACGGAAGGTCACCCCAGCCGGTTCTGCCGCTGACATCCTGGACACCTTCCTGGTGGCGGCATCTGCCCGCAGTGACACCATCCCTCCCGCCCGCCCGCCCGCCCGCGGCACCGATTGAGTGGGGCCACATGATGCTAGAGGAGGAGGAGGAAGAGGGGGGAGGAGGAGGAGGGAGAGGAGGAGGAAGAGGAGCTGGAGGAGGAGGGAGGGAGGAAGGAGGAGGCGGAGGAAGGAGGAGGAGGAGGAGGAGGAGGAGGAGGAGGAGCTGGAGGAGGAGGGAGGGAGGAAGGAGGAGGCGGAGGAAGGAGGAGGAGGAGGAGGAGGAGGGAGGAAGGAGGAGGCGGAGGAAGGAGGAGGAGGAGGAGGAGGAGGAGAAGGAAGGAGGAGGCGGAGGAAGGAGGAGGAGCCGGAGGAGGAGGGAGGAAGGAGGAGGAGGAGGAGGAGGAGGAGGCGGAGCGGACCCAGCGTCGGCTCACCGTTTGGGCCCGTAGTCGGGGATGGTCCTGTCCAGGGAGAGGAGGGGGAGGAGGAGGAGGAGGAGGAGGAAGAGGAGGAGGAGGAGGAGCTGGAGGAGGAGGGAGGAAGGAGGAGGAGGAGGAGGAGGAGGCGGAGCAGGACCTGGCGCCGGCTCACCGTTTGGGCCGGTAGTCGGGGACGGTCCTGTCCAGGGAGAGGAGGGGGAGGAGGAGGAGGGGGAGGAGGAGGAGGAGAAGGAGCCGGAGGAGGAGGAGGAGGAGGAGGAGGGAGGAGGAGGAGGAGATGGAGGAGGCGGAGCGGACCCGGCGCCGGCTCACCGTTTGGGCCGGTAGTCGGGGACGGTCCTGTCCAGGGAGATGCGGTCGCTCAGCTGTGCGTTGTAGCCGAACTCCTCGAAGCTGCCTGCGGCCTCCTGGCCGTCGCCCTGCAGCGTGGCCGCCGCCCCGCCCTGGCCCAGGCCGCCCGGGCCCTCCACCAGCCCCATGGGCCTGGCGAGGCCTGGGGAGAGGAGAGAGGGTCAGGCAGGTCCCGGACAGACGGACCGCGGAGAGGGCCCGGAGACCGTGGCGGCCCCTGGCGGGTCGGAGAGAGCATCGGCCTGTGGACGGAAGGGTCCGGGGTTTGATCCCGGCGGGGCCCAGGCCCGGGTGGCGGAGGCAGCCTGGTCATGACTCTCTCCTCACCGACGTGTCCCTCTCTCCCTCTCCCTTCCCCTCTGAGGTCCTTAAAAATGTCCAGAAAAAAAAGAGGAAAACTACCAGGAAGTGGCTCTGAGAGTCGCCGTGGCCCAGGGGCACGGCTTCTCCTGGTTTGAGTCCCTCCTGTGCGGCCCCTCGAACCCGCCCGTGACGGCCTGGGTGCTTTCTGTGCGCAGGGCCACGGCCCGCGCCTCCCGCCCCCCCCCCGTCTTTCTGCGCCCCGTGGCTGGTTTCCGTGGTTCCCGTGGTCACGGCAGTGAACCAGGAGGGCAGCTCGTGGCTCTGTTTCCGGAGGGTCCACGTCAGCCCATCGTCGGGCGCCCTCCGGGGCGGAGGAGAAATCAGCGTGGGCACGTATGTGCACACACGTGTACTTACATGAGCACATCCATCCACACGGGGGCTCAGGGGCCACCCTGAGTTGGAGTGGGTCCCAACCCAGCCACAGGGTCTTTTTTTAAATTTTATTTTAAACATATTTTATTGATTTTTTTACAGAGAGGAAGGGAGAGGGATAGAGAGTTAGAAACATCGATGAAAGAGAATCATCGGTCAGCTGCCTCCTGCACACCCCCCACTGGGGATATGCCTGCAACCAAGGTACATGCCCTTGACTGGAATCGAACCTGGACCCTTTAGTCTGCAGGCCGACGCTCTATCCACTGAGCCACACCGGATACAGCTTTTTAAAAAATTTAATATATATATATTTAATTTATTTCAGAGAGGAAGGGGGGGGGGAGAGAAACATCCATGAGAAGAGAGAATCATGGATGGGCTGCTCCTGCACGCCCCCCACTGGAGATAGAGCCCACAACCCGGGCACATGCCTTGACCGGGAATCGAACCTGTGACCTCCTGGTTCCTAGGTCGACGCTCAAGCACTGAGTCCACCCTCTGGGCAATGGGGGGACACGGGGGGACAGCAGAGCGGGGGCAGAGGTGGGGGTGGTCCGGCAGCGTCTGGATCTCAGCTCCGTGAGGAAGAAAAGGCCAGCGGAGCCTGACGCTGGGAGGAGCGGGCATGGGTGTTTCGGGGCGGGGGGCGGGGGGGAGACAAGGGGGACGCGCTGGCCCTGTCTGGCCATGGCCGGCTTCCGGAGCCCCGTGGACAGCCTCTGCCCCTGCCCGCCCCGAAGAGCCATCTCCGGCTCCTCCCGGCTCCCGGACGTGTGGGCGGCTGTGAGGCTCAGCCTCGGACGAAGTGTGGCTTCCCAGCCCCAGCTTCTGAGTCACCGAGTCCCATCTGTCACGGGGCCTTGCCAGCCTTCCCGGAGAGGAGACAGCCGCGCGGCAGGGCTGCGAGGGAGAGCCGCCTGCGGGCCTCGGGGAGGGGGCGGCGTGCCCGCCGGAGGCTCAGGATTCGGGGACCGGACCCCCTGGGGACGGGGACGGCCTCTGGCAGCCGCAGGAGGGGTCTCGGTGTCGGCCGGGGTCCCGGGAGGGCGGGGCAGGGGCGGGAACCGCGGGGAGCGTTAGACGTGGACCCCAAGAATCACCTCCGCTTCTCTGAGCTGTGACTGCCCGGCCGGGAGCCACCAGGCCCAAAGGGAGGACAACGGGAACCAAGCAGGTGACTGGGCTCCTCAGAGGGGGCAGGGGGGCGTCTAGATACTGCAAACTCCCCCAGAGCATCGACCTAGGAACCAGGAGGTCAGGGTTCGAGTCCCGTCAGGGCACAGGCGGGGGTTGTGGGCTCGATCCCCAGTAGGGGGGGCATGCAGGAGGCAGCCGGTCCGTGATTCTCTCTCCTCATGGATGTTTCTCTCTCCCTCTCTCTCCCCCTCTCCCTCCCTCTCTGAAATCAGTATATATATATATATATATATATATTTATTTATTTTTTTTTTTTAATTGATTTTTTAGAGAGGAAGAGAGGGGGATAGAGAACTAGAAATGTCAATGAGAGAGAAACATCAACCAGCTGCCTCTTGCACACTCCCTACTGGGGATGTGCCTGCAACCAAGGTACATGCCCTTGACCAGAATCGAACCCGGGACCTTTCAGTCCGCAGGCCGAGGCTCTATCCATTGAGCCAAACTGGTTTCGGCTTTTTTTTTTTAATATTACAAACCACATTTCAGAGAGGACAGGAGGGGGAAGACGTTCAAGGGCCACCTGGAACCCGTGTGGGCACGGCCTGAGCGACCCAAGGGCCTCGGTGGGGGTGGGAGGGCAGCTCCCAGCGTGACAGACCGACCGACAGACACAGACAGACGTGGGACGGGCGCTGCATGGCCGGCGGGTCCGCACACGCCCTGGGACCAGAGAGGCCAGCACCTCCGACCCCTGAGCCAGCAGGAAGTCCCTGGCCAGCTGCTGTGACCTTAGCGGTCGACCCCATGGAGTGTGCGTGCGGAGGGGGGGGGTAGCGGTGAGGAGGTGGGAACGGCCTCGAGCAGAGCATCCCGCCAGGGAGGGGTTCCTAGCTCTTCCTGGTAAACACTGAGGCCTCGGATGCACGGCTGTCCATGCCGAGGATTGCCAAGTGCAGATACTAGGTGTACTGGTTAAAAACACGGATTAACCGTCAACCGGTTAAAAGTGTGGCTTTTGTCATCAAAGAAAACACGGTAATTTCAAGAGAAACATCAAAAGTGCTTTATCCAAAGCGATGTCCGTCGCCAGCCACACATTCCTCCATCTTCCAGGTCACTGGTGGGTACCGTCCCGATAGAACTGTCCTTGTTTGGGGCAGACCATGCAGAGACCCCACTGTCCACGTCTGCGTCCGTGTGGCCGTGCCGCTCAGACAGGGCGTGTGCGGTCGATCGGAACACGGGTCCTCTGGAGGAGCGAGGGCTGGTGAACACGGCGGGCGGATTCACACTTCCCGGCAAGGTTTTTTCACGTGCCTTTACCTGGATTTGAAGGGTGTGATGGTGCGTCATCGCGGAGCAGAATTACTTTGCCGCATCCTCTGGCCCATTGTGGTCTTTTTACGATCAAAGCGCGGTTCCAATTGATTCCTTGCTCTCGGCAGCGATCAGCATTAACGGTTTCACCTGGTTAGAGAAGCTCATACTACGCCACACCTTCCTGATCCCACCAGACGCAGAGCAGTGTCTTCTTCCCGAAGCGATTTGGCCTGGCCGTCGATGTTGAAGGTTCAACTGGATCAACCCCTGATTCTGTGCATTTGGGATTCTCAAAATAAACCCACTTTTCATCGCCAGTCACAATTCGATGCAAAAAGACTTTATTTTGTGCTGTTGAAGCAGCATTTTACTGATGACTTTTCCGTTTTCCATTTGTCTTCCGTTCAGTTGATGTGGCACCCGTTTTCCTTCCTTTAAAATCTTTCCCGTTGCTTGTAAACGATCGGAAATTGTTTGCTGAGCAACGTTTAATCTTTCTGCGAGCTGTTTTTGAGTTTGACAGGCATCTTCATCCAGTAATGCTTGTCACTGTTGGTCTTCAAACTTTTTCGGGTGACTTGGACGTTCTCTGTCTTTCACGTGGAAATCATCCCTTTTAAGGCGTTTAAACCAGCGTCCACAAGTGTCTTGAGATGGAGCGTGTTCACCATAAGCTTCCTGATCACTTTCAGCAGCACTTTTCTTCAAAATAAAGTAATGAATTAAAACTTCCCGCAAATGCTCTTTTTTTTTTTTAGCACAAAATTCGACATTTTTTAAGCGTAAAAATATCTATGATGTTAACACCTTCAGAAAATTTGACATGTGGGGTTTTGAAGCTTGTTGTCCATACAACAAAGTAGCCTACATATCAAATCACATGCATATCAGCATACCTGTAACTCTAACCAGTGAACAAATCTGAATTGTTAACCGGCTGATGGTTAACCCGAATTACTAAACAGTTGATGGTTAACTGTTAACCGGTTGATGGTTAACCCGCATTGCTAACCAGTTGATTAACCCGCATTGCTAACCAGCTGATGGCTAATTATTAACCGGTTGATGGTTAACCCGCATGATTAACTGGCTGGCGGTTAATCTGCATTGTTAACGGAGGCACAGCTGCGGGACCTCGAAGAGAACCGTGCTCCCGCCCAGCCTCAGCTGGACCCACTCTCCCTCCGATTCGGCAGCTGCTCTCACTGCCGACAGGACTCTCATGGGTCCCGGGGCCCAAACGGGTAACGGATTGCCGATGGAGGACAGATGGACGACCCTGGGGGACGAGGGAGCCACGAATATTTCGCTGTGCCCGCGACGCCTGTAACATATTCCCTCGCCGAGACTAACGAGTGTGTGATAAATCCCCTCCATCGTCAGCGCGTCCCCAAAGATGATGAATACGGATGGGCAGGGGTGTGTGTGTGTGTGTGTGTGTGGAAATGCCGCCCATGATTCCCTCCACCAGGAAGGGAAGGGAGGGAGGGTGAGGACTGCCTTCGGCCAGCTCCTCCCAACCAGCGGGCCCACCTGCCCCGGTTCAGGTGGGAGCGAGAGACATTTGGGTCCTGCGGCCTTGGCAGCCATCCAGCTCCGAGGGGCCCTGCACCAGAGGGTCAGACGGTCAGGCCCGGCTCCCCACGCCCACCCAGGTCTAGATCCCAATGGCAGCCCGGCGGTGTGGCTCGGTGGCTGAGCGTCAGCCTAGGAACCAGGAGGTCAGGGTTCGACGCCCAGTCAGGGTACAGGCCCGGGGTGTGGGCTCCATCCCCAGTGGGGGGCGTGCAGGAGGCAGCTGGTCCATGATGCGCTCTCCTCATGGATGTTTCTCTCCCTCTCCCTCTCCCTTCCTCTCTGACATCAATAAAAACAGATTCAAACATAAATAAATAAATAAATAAATAAAACGGAGCTGTCTGACCTCTGCTCCTTCAGAGTCCTTCCCAAGTGGGTTTTTAGGATCAACCGTCCACCCTGCTCCTGAACTGCCCCCCTCCTGGGGACCCCTGGGCGGGGGGTGGCCTGGGGACTCCCTGATCATTTCCTGGGGGAGACACTGTGCTGTGTACCTGGCTGGGGTGAGGGGGGGCAGAGAGGGAGGGAGAGACAGACACAGAGAGATACAGAGACAGAGGGACAGAGAGGGGGGAGGCAGAGACAGACAGACAGGCAGATGGAGACAGAGGGAAACCGACAGAGATGGGGGAAGGTGGAGAAAGTCGGGGGGGGGGGGGCAGGGACATTGAGGAGGAGGAAGAAACTAGGGGGAGGGAGAGAGGAAGGGAGGAGAGAAGGTTTTTTACAGGAAAAGGAGGGAGGAGGGAGAGGGGAGAGGCCCGTGGGCCTGGGAGAGCCTCTGTCCGTCCGGAGACACATCCTCATCGCAGGTCAGAGCTGGGAAGCGGGAAGGGCCAGGGAAGGCCCCCGTTTTCCGAGAGTCCGGCTCTCCCTTCTCCCCGGGAAGGGCCGCCGGCCGGATGTTACACAACCGGGAGCTGTCCTGTTTTCACACAACCTCGGGCTCTCCGGGGAACCGGCCTCACCGGCCATCCCTCCCGCAGCGGGGGCTCCGGGGGCACACGCTCCGGAGTGCCCCTCCCCCTGGCGGGCCGCGGCCCCGGCGAGGAGGGGACACCGGCACGGCCCAGGCCCTTCGGGACCCCCGGGGGGCAGGACTGGGCGTCCTGTCCTGTTGGGAGGCAGGGTTGGGGGGTTTGGGGGTGCGAGGGGGTTGGGGGCCAGCGAGTTTGCAGACAGGGCCTGCGTCTCTCTGGGTCATGAGGCTCCAGGTTGAGGGGTGCTGTCAGAGGTGGGCGAGCACCCGGAGGGGAGCCCCACCAGGACCCCCTCGGGCAGGGCCGGGCAGACCGGCCGGGCACCTCCCGGGAGCCGGGGACGGGAGCCGGGGACCGGTGCTGCTGCATGCGGCCGGGCTGCCCAAACAGGAACCCGAGGGAAAGGCCCAGAGAGACCAGCGCACACCTTCCCTGCTCCCCAGGACCGCACGGAGCGGCCCGCGGGATGGGAACGGGTTTGAGGCCGGCGGTGGCTACGGCCCCAACCCCCGGGGGGACACAGACTCTCCGGGGTGACCCCATCTGCTCCCGATGCAACGAGGACCCCCTCCCCCAGCAGCTGAGCCTCCCACGGACACTCCCTGGGTGTGGGCCACCTGCTTCGTGCACACACTGTGCGCCCCCCGCCCCGGCTCCCAGCCTCACGCTGACCCCCACGCCTCCTGCAGCAGGCGAGCCCCGGGCTCCCCCAGGATGGGTAGCAGAGTGAACCCCATGATCAGCGAGCCCCTTTCCCCACGAGCATAAAAGGGGCCCAGCCTTGTGGCTCAGCTCAGGGGCTGAGCGGCGACCTAGGAACCAGGTGGTCAGGGTTCGATTCCCGGTCAGGGCACAGGCCAGGGTTGTGGGTTCCATCCCCAGTCGGGGGCGTGCAGGAGGCAGCTGATCGATGACTCTCTCATCGATGTTTCTAACTCTATATTTTTTTAAAAAAGAGGGCTGGGTCAGCCACCTCTGAAGGGCAGCGTCACCCTCTGGTACCCAACCCCTGACCCCTGACCCCTCAGCGGCCGGAGAAGCACACATGTCCACACTCTTGCCCCCTGGGCACCACCTGCCCTCAAGCGGGTCCTACAGCCTCTTATTATTATTTTTTAAATCCTCGCCGGAGGATATTTTCCCATTGCTTTTTAGGGCGAGTGAGAGAAACATGGAGGGGCTGCCTCCTGCACACGCCCCCACCGGCCAGGGAGGAGCCTGCAACTGAGGTCGGTGCCCTTGACTGGAATGGAGCCCAGGACCTTTGGTCCGCAGGCGAGGCTCCGCTGCTGAGCCGAGCCGGGCCAGGGCAGGGCCGCAGCCTCGGGAATTCCTCTGTGGGCCAGGCCCAGCGGGGGCAGCGGAGCCCGGGGGCTTGGGGAGGGGTGGCCAGCGGGGGGGTCAGCGGGGTGGCCCCCAGGCCCAGCGGGGGCAGCGGAGCCCGGGGGCTTGGGGAGGGGTGGTCAGCGGGGTGGCCAGCGGGGGGGTCAGCGGGGTGGCCAGCGGGGGGGTCAGCGGGGTGGCCAGCGGGGGGGTCAGCGGGGTGGCCAGCGGGGTGGCCCCCAGGCCCAGTGGGGGCAGCGGAGCCCGGGGGCTTGGGGAGGGGTGGCCAGCGGGGGGGTCAGCGGGGTGGCCAGCGGGGGGGTCAGCGGGGGGGTCAGCGGGGGGGTCAGCGGGGTGGCCAGCGGGGTGGCCAGCGGGGTGGCCCCCAGGCCCAGCGGGGGCAGCGGAGCCCGGGGGCTTGGGGAGGGGTGGTCAGCGGGGGGGTCAGCAGTCACCAGACAACGCCCTCTGTGGCCGGAGCCCCCCAGAGCCTTGCTCTCCCCCCGCTCCCGGAGCCCCCAAAGTTCCAGCCCAGCCTGTGGGCCACCCCCATCTGCCCGGGGTCAGTGCAGGGTCAGCAGCTGAGGCCAGGGCAGTGGCTGGACCAGAGAGCCCCCCACTTCCCCCTGCACCCCTTCCCCCCAGCCCCCTACTTTCCCCTGCACCCCCACTTCCCCCCAGCCCCTACTTCCCCCTGCACCCCTTCCCCCCAAACTCCCACTTCCCCCAGCCCCCCACTTCCCCCCAGCCCCCACTTCCCCCTGCACCCCTTCCCCCCAGCCCCCCACTTCCTCCTAGCCCTCACTTCCTTCTGCACCCCTTCCCCCAGCCCCCTACTTCCCCCAGCCCCCCACTTCCCCCAGCCCCCCACTTCCCCCAGCCCCCACTTCCCCTGCACCCCTTCCCCCAAGCCCCCCACTCCCCCAGCCCCCCACTCCCCCCAGCCCCCCACTTCCCCCAGCCCCCCACTTCCCCCAGCCCCCCACTTCCCCCAGCCCCCCACTTCCCCTGCACCCCTTCCCCCAAGCCCCCCACTCCCCCAGCCCCCCACTCCCCCCAGCCCCCCACTTCCCCCAAGCCCCCCACTTCCCCAGCCCCCCACTCCCCCCAGCCCCCCACTCCCCCCAGCCCCCCACTTCCCCAGCCCCCCACTCCCCCAGCCCCAGGCCGGCTCACCGTTGAGCTGGCGGAACACCGCCTCCTCCAGGTGGTCCAGGCGCCGCAGGATGGCCTCGCGGTCCGCGGCCCCCGCCCCGGCCCCCCGCCCCGGCCCCGGCCCCGGGCGGCCCCCGCGGCGGCAGAGCGCGGCGAAGAGCACGAGCCCCGCGAGCGCCAGCAGGTTCGCCGCCAGCAGCGCCCGCACCCGCCGCGCCGCCGCCATGGGCGCCGGCTCCCCGCTCCCGCGCCGGCACCTCCCGGCACCCGCCGCCCGGCCGGCCCCGCCCGCCCGCCCGCCCGCCCGCCCGCCCGGGACCGGCGGCTGCTGGCGGCCCGGCCGCTGTGCGGGGCGGCTGCGGGGCACGGGCGGGGCTGAGCCGGGAGCTGGGGGCCGGGGTTTGGGGGCCGGGGTTTGGGGGGCCGGGGTTTGGGGGGCCGGGGTTTGGGGGCCGGGGTTTGGGGGGCCGGGGTTTGGGGGCCGGGGGTTTGGGGGCCGGGGTTTGGGGGGCCGGGGTTTGGGGGGCCGGGGTTTGGGGGGTTGGGGGAGAGGGGCTGGGAAAGGGGGGCTGTGGGTGCGGCGGGCGGAGGGGGTGGGGGTTTGGGATGGGAAAGGGGGGCTGGGATTTGGGGGTTTGGGGTGCGGCGGGGCGGGAGGAGGAGGGGGCTGGGGTTTGGGGAAGCGGATTGGGGGTTTGCGGGGGCCGGGGCTGGGGTTTGGGGTGCGGCGGGCCCGGGCGGGGCGGGGAGGAGGCCGCGGGCGCTGTCCCTTCAGCACCACCGCGCCCGCCCCGCCGCCGCCCGGGTCCCCGCGCTCCGGGGCCGCCCGGGGCCGGGGGCGCGGGGCGCGGCCGGCATCCCCCCCTCGAGGGGCGCGGCCCGGGTCGCGGGGGGCCGGGGGCCGGGGACCAGGAGGCGGAGACGGAGGCGGAGGCGGAGGCGGCCGGCGGCCTCGGGCTGGGCGGCCCCGCAGTCACGGTCACGGCGCCGGTGCGGAGGACGCGCCGCCCAGCCCATCGGCCCCCTCCCCGCTCCCCGCTCCCGCCGGGACTGTCCCCCTCCTTTCCCTCCCCCCCGGGGCGGGTCCGAGCGCTCCCGGCGCCCCCTCCCCACCCCGGGTTGGGGGCCCGGGCGGGGGCGGGACCGCGCGCTCCGGGGACCCAGCCCAAGGGCGTCCGGGCGCAGGGCGGGGCGGAGCCAGCGGGTCCCCCCACATCTCCCCCCCCTTATTCCCTCCCGGACTCGATGGATCTCCAGGGGGACCCCGGGCTGACCCATATAAATCACTTCTTCCGAGCAGAGCCAGAGGGCCTGCTTTTATTTTTTATTTTTTTATTATTAATATGGTCCGGACGCGCGGCCCACCTGGGGGGGTCGGGCCTCTGTGGGTGGAGCACAGAGAGCGGGGTCCCCCCCCAACCCCCTCCCCTCCGTCCTGGGTGGACCGGGCCTGAGGTTGACGGGATCACAGACCCCGCCCCGGTTCTCCAGGCGGGTCCCCTCCGCCCTGGCCTGGCCCGCTCCCCACACCCGTTTCCTGACCTCTGACACCTCCGCCCACCGGGTGGGTGCAGCCAGGTCCGAGGGACCCGTTCCTCTCCCACATGGAAAGTCTTTTCTTTTGTCCAGAGAAATCCAGAGGCCGGCCGGCGTGGCTCTGCGGCTGAGCATGGACCCATGACCCAGGAGGCCACGCTGGATTCCCGGTCAGGGCACGGTCGGATTCCCACGTTGTGGGCTCCATCCCCAGGAGAGGGCAATGCAGGAGGCAGCTGGTCCGTGATTCTCTCTCATCATGGATGTATCTATCTCTCTCTCCCTCACCCTTCCTCTCCGAAGTCAATAAAAAAAATTATTATGCCCTTGCCAGTGTGGCTCAGTGGATTGAGCGTCAGCCTGTGGACCAAAGGGTCCTGGGTTCGATTCCAGTTAGGAGCACTCACCTCAGTTGCAGGCTCCTCCTCGGCCCAGGCCCTGGTCAGGGCCCCTGGAGGAGGCAACTTATCGATGCGTTTCTCTCACGTCGATGTTTCTCTCTGTCTCGCCCTCTCTTCCATGCTTTCTGAAAATCAATGGGAAAATATCCTTGGATGAGGATTTTTTAAAATCATAAAAATATATTTAAAAAAGAAAGAGAGAGAGAGAGAGGAATTCAGAGAACCCCCAGCAGGAAGGACCAGCCATCGGGACGTTAGACCCACTGTCTAGTTTGCCATATAAATCACTTCTTCCGAGCGGAGCCAGGGGGCCTGCTTTTATTTTTTATTTTTTATTTTTAAATATATATTATTGATTTTTTTTTTTACAGAGAGGAAGGGGAAGGGGCAGAGAGTCAGAAACATCGATGAGAGAGAAACATCCATCAGCTGCCTCCTACATGCCCCCCTACTGGGGATGTGCCCGCAACCAAGTTACGTGGCCTTGACCAGAATCGACCCCGGGATTCCTCAGTCCACAGGCCGACGCTCTATCCACTGAGCCACACTAGCCAGGGCTTTAGCCCATTTGCATCCGGGCTGCTGCTGGCCTCAGACAAAGGAGCAGATGTGTCCCCTCCATTCCACCCCAGGACCGCCGCCCCTCCCCCCCGACCCGCCCCCCGCAGGGGACTAGCTGCCCCAGCTCTCTCCCTCTCCTCCCTCCCCTCCCTCCCCCTCTCGCCTCTTTGAGCCCCGAGTTTCCTGGCGCAGAGATGCGGGAGGGGATTGGCAGCATGGACTGAACAAGCCCCATATGGTCCTTCCCAGAGAAGCGGCTTCTCAAGTGGGTGCACTGAAGCCTCCTCTCTTCCTGCCAGCTTCCCACGCCTGGCAGCGCCGCAGGCTGCCCCCCTCGGCCCCGGCGGGCGGGCGCAGAGAGGACGGGGAAGGAGGAAGCGGAGGCAGGAGCGGAAACGGTAAATAAAGACGGCCGCCTCGAGCAGAGTCCTGTGCCCTCTCAGGGTCATTCTCAGGGTCCTTCTCACGGTCAGCCCTGCACGGCCCTGACCTGCCCGCGGAAGGAGAGAGGAGGCTGAGCACCGGCGTTCACACCTGGCTTCCCCTGGGAGACGGGCGTCTCTGGGTCTGTGGCCCCGTGAGGCCAGCTGTGAGGAGAGGGCGACCTCAGGACCACTGCAATGACTGTCTGCTCAGCTGCTCTCCCCTCTGCAGACGCCCGAGAATGTCCCAGAGACGATGCAAACAGAGCTCCTCCATCAGCCTGTGAGAAATACTTTGCAGCCAGGCCGGCCGGCCGGCATGGCCCAGAGGGTGAGTGTCGACCTACGAACCAGGAGCTCCCAGTTCGATTCCCGGTCAGGGCACAGGCCTGGGTAGTGGACCCGCTCCCCAGTGGGGGGCGTGCAGGAGGCAGCTGATCCATGATGCTCTCCCATCGTGGATGTTTCTCTCTCTCTACCTCTCCCTTCCTCTCTGAAATCAATACAAATATATTCAAAATATAAATACTTCATCTAGACCTAACCCGTTTGGCTCAGTGGATAGAGCGTTGGCCTACGAACTGAAGGGTCCTGGGTTCGATTCCGGTCAAGGGCATTTACCTTGGTTGCGAGCACATCCCCAGTAGGAGGTGTGCAGGAGGCAGCTGATGGAAGTTTCTCTCATCGATGTTTCTAACTCTCTATCCCTCTCCCTCTGTAAAGAAAAATCAATAAAATATATATTTTTAAAATACTTCATCTATGGCTTCTCCTTGGTATGTGCGTCCAATGTCTGGGGGGAGGCGGGACCAGTTCTTCTCAGAACCTGCCAATCTAGCTGCCTCTGTCAATCACAGGGATCCCAGGCGCAGGAGGCCCAGAGGCTGAGGACAGCTGGTCAGGGCCTGCCTTCCAACCTCTTCTACATGGGCACGCCGCTGGACTACATTTCCCAGACTCCCTTGCTGCCCAGTCTAACCATGTGACTGCATTCTGACCAATGGCGTGCAAGCAGAAATGATAGGCTTCCTGTCCAGGCTGGGACCTGGTCCTCAGTCTGTCTCCAAAGCTGGTGATGGAGAGGGTTCGGTTCCTGTCTCTACCGGGGTGCGGTATGTCCATCCTGTGCCAACAAGCGCACTCTCCATCACCTGCCACCCAAAGGGGCCCGCACGCTGTCCACAGTCGGGGTCTTCCCTCTCTGCTGTAATGAAAGATCAGATTTCTCTGAAGCCATTTCTGCTTGTTTTTTATTTTTTTTAAATATATTTTATGGATTTTTTTCACAGAGAGGAAGGGAGAGGGACAGAGAGTCAAAAACATTGAATGCAACGGAACATCGATCAGCTGCCTCCTGCACGCCCCCGACTGGGGATGTGCCCGCAACCAAGGTCCACGCCCTTGACAGGAACCGAACCCGGGACCCTTCAGTCTGCAGGCCGACACTCTGTCCACTGAGCCACACGGGTCAGGACAACAACTGACGTTTTTACTTAAGTTTTCTTGCTCCACCCGCCTCTGCTGTAATAGTTCCAGGTGGGAATAGCGTCCTCTGCTCTCCCCTGCCCGGAGCCGGAAGGAGTTGGTGGGTCCACGGACAGCGGAATCGGGGAGACTTAGTCTTCCCCTGGCCACACGTGAGCCTGCCCTGCCATGGTGGGACTCCAACCAGGACCCCGGTGGCCTTCCCACTGCCGACCGTGCCTGGCCCGTGGGAAGGCCCCCCCCCCCACGAGGGGACAGAAATACAGGGGACCCGGCTGGAGTCCAGGCCCTTCCCCGCGTTGGCTGGGCTCCGGGAGACGGTTGAAGAGGGAGGAGGAGGAGAGAGAGGAGCAGGCGTTCCCCGCCTCGCAGAGCGGGGTCCCTCGGCTCCTGTGGATGGGGTACACCCCGACCTCCCGGGGAAGGAGCGATTCCAGCACCTGGGCCTCGCCATCTGGAACGTTCCAACGCCCGCCCGCTGGCGCTCGCTTCCCGGAACGCCGCGCATCCCAGGTCTGGATGGGGAGCAACTGTGTGTGGCAAATACACGCTCCCTCATATGTTCGGGGACACGCAGCAGATGGCTCTCAGCCGGGAGCAAACACAGCCCCAGAAAAGGAAGCAGGGAAAGCACAGCCTCTGCCAAGCGCGCTCCTCGCCCGGAGAAATCCCCGTGGTGCAGGGCTGCAGGAAGGGCTGGGGACGTGGCAGGCGGCCGGCTTCCAGGTGCCCACGAAGGGGGGGGCAGGGAGGCCATTTGTAACGGAGGAGCAGAAACCCCGTCCACCGCCCGGTGGAGCCCAAACCTGCCGGGCCAGCGG